CTGCAAACGTGACCAAGCTTTGAGCAAGTGAGCGACCTTTTTTTCATACATGTACAGCACCTACTGCGACATGGGATCACGGTTTATATTATAAAAATACGGTTTTATTGAAATGACTGGTTCCCACATCCTGAAGATGGGATTGGAAACCGCGACGTAAGGATCTAGACAATATACTCCACGACTCTAGAGGAAACGCTCTTACCACTTCGCAACGCGGATTGCTACAATAAAAGCCCCTTATTTACAAGCAATATTTACCCTGGTCTGTTTCCTATTACTAGTATGTCTACCTCACGACAGGGTGTTTCTTAGGAACATCATGCGATCCTTTGAATCTGAACTATACCCGTCAATGAATTACCGAATTTACGAACAATTGTTAAGTTGTGATGTATTGAATTTCACTGTATGGAGATAACGAACGGTATTCAAGCTCAAAAGTACATGTACATTAAACAATACAAAACAAGAGCAGAGCAAAAACGATCCTCCGAAACATCAGAGGTGGGATCAGGTGCCATGGCGACACCAGCCGTGTGTTCCTTGTCATGATCAGAAAATAACGGAAATTCCGTCGGAACCTCGGAATTTCCCAATATAGATAAACGAATGACTCACTTAAATAATCCCATTATTGTAGAATTTTTGTTAGAAATGGTGGCTTTTGTGATAATAAGCCTGCCTTGATTCAAACAACTCTCTTGGTAATGCGTAAGATATGAAGAACTAAGCAAGCACACCGTTAGTTTTATGTTCAATTTTTGGGGGTTTGTTTCTCGTGCGATAATTTTTCCTAAGATTCCCCTTTGCTCAATCATTCATAATAAATTTTAACATTCAGAGAGCCGTAATCGATCTCTGACTAGATCACACTGTCTCCTGATAAAAATATGCCAATATGCGAGAATCAAAACGGTGCCTTGAATTATTCAAACCATATTGCATTCATGTAAATATGTAGAATACATGGAATTGAATTGGATAGTAGACGAAGCCTGTTTGAACTCTCATCAAATAGCAGGTCAAATAATATGCATAGAACAAAACAAATTGTATTTAAACAAAGAAAAAGTAAAATCTGAACTAAGGAACATGTACAGTTGTTTGACCAGTTCCGAATAAGAAATCGATTCGGCGGTGCTACATGTATAAATATACGAGGCATTATTTCAAAATCTAAGTTTTTTGTCAAGGTAGTTCAGTGACTTGTGGAATTAAATATTGTTTCATAAAAGTTCAGCCTTCCCCCAAAAAAATTATTTAGCAAGTTAACACAGGTACTCATTTTACCAGTTACGAATAAGCCGACGAGTTCCGAATACCCTAGCGGTTCCCATTCAATTCAATCCTTAATTTAAAAATATTTGTCCCACACATTATCCTTTGGCATGCCTAAAAAAAGTTAAATTAATTGCTTACCAATAAGTCATTTGAATTTCCAAAAGATAAAGAGAAACTAGAGGTACTGTGAGCACTGAGCTCACTTTAATGATACCCCACGCCTCCTATATGATTATCATGACAAAGTCCATGTATTTTTCTCTGGAAGACCCGAAATCAGGGTCATATCAAAAAGTAAAATAAGAGGTTACAATGGCATTATGTAATAAAGAATCTTTGAAAGTATCATTAAATCTTATTCAGTGTTATAGGTGGAATTGCGGATAAGAGATGGGTATACCCTTCAATATAAGAAGGAATAGCAGTATCTATTTTTTGCTATTAAGAGGGCCCAAATTATGTGTCGGATCAAAAATTAAAATAAAAGGTGCACTTTGGCTTTATTTAACAAAGATTCTGTGAAAATCGTGAAATTCTGTGAAGCCTTATCAAATTTCATTCAGTGGAGGAAGAGTTGTGGATAAGAATTAAGTGGGTGCCCCAAAGCATGTCAGACAGACGGACGTACAGACAGCTAGACAGACGTACAGACGGATGTATGGACAAGCATCCTTTCACTATATACTCTTCCCCCTGCTTTTCAAGGGGGGTGGGGGTAATAAGTCACGTTTACAATAAAGAAAACAACGAAGATTGAATTTATAATAGTGTTTATAACTGGTATTCGGAACTAGTAAAATGACAACACAAATATATTGGTATATCTTTCATTGTTCTGAATATTTATTTTAAAAAAGTTTTCAGTATTTGTTTGAGTACATATCAAACTTACTTTTGATACCTGAAATGTTGTTTTATTGAAAAATTGGTGTCGCTACCGAGGTTTTTCTGCGGACTTACACGTCAAGGTGATTCAGATTTGTTGCATTGTAAAAGTATGTCGACTCTTTCAAGTACGATAACGAAACCGAACTGACGGCAAAAAATCAAAACTACGCATAATTCAGTCACTCATAGATAAGCCTTCTTACCATAGGTATCAATTTATTTTTACACCTCTGAATGAATTAATTATCAGCTCTTAAATTGATAATTACATGTATTCTGAACTGGTCAAAATTCGGAACTGGCCAAACGACTGTACATATAATGGAGCAACATCAACATTATACCGGTTAGAGGACCTTGACACTCTACAGGATACCAAGCCTCTTTCTTTACCTCTAGCTAAAATAATAACAATATTTTTTTTTTACAATCAATTGTCGACTCGATATATCCCAGTGAACTTAAAATAGAAGAATCTGACATATCTATTTTGCATTTATTATATTTTACTAGAAGCCTTAAATGGTAACCTAACAATAAAACCTTATGATAAACAAGATAACTCTATCGTCATCTTCTCTTACATATATAGCTATATACCCTTTTCATCTGCATTAGTGTTTGAATAGCAGTTGAATAGATACAAAGAACATGCTTTACTGTTCGTTCAACTTGTCGTGATTAGTTGATGAAACAAAAATATTAACAGTCTCGTCTGAAGTCTTCATTTCGCAATCTCTTTTAAATGATTGATATAATGACCTTCTCAGCAAATACATTGTACAGTCAAAGTAGTTTCAAAAACAGTAGGTTCATTTTGACAAAGACAGAACATTCATTTGCTAGTCCACTGTGTGCTGGTCATTATACGAGGGCTGTTCAATAAATAATGTCCTCGGTGCTCAGAAAGAATCAAAAGACATTTTTCAATGATTTAGTCTTCATGATTTTACTTATTAATCTCTTTTAAGCAAAATACATCTCCGTAACATTTTTGATCCAATTTCTGATGTTTTTTCACAACATCATGTATACTGGAAAAAAATTTTTCCTTGTTTTATTTTGAGGTTTTTTGCTTTTTGGAAATAGAAACAAGTCAAAAGGTCAACGTAGAATATTGTTAATGTAAAAAAACATTAACTTTTGTTAATCGAAAACCCCTTTACTCTTCATGGCATGCGGGTTTATATGAACCTTTTCTTTAATAAACCTTTTGATTTTTTTCTACAAAAGCAGATCTCTGTACGAATTTGAACAACAATACCACTAATTTTTAAGAAAATTACTTATATCTGTCTTTGTGCTCTTGCATACCTGTGCTCTAATTTGTTTTTATTAAGTACATCTTATGGTAAATTTTGTTTTTAGGGTTTTAAGCAATAGATTCATGTTCCAATATCTGTTTGAAAATAAAACAAACGTGGATAACTACAAAGATATTTTAAAATAATTGTTAAGAATTTCGTATAAAAGTTCAAAATATAGGGTGGAGCTTTTTTACCGTCAAATGTTTTTTTTAAAACTGTGTAAACTACTCCCGATATGATATCTATCAAATTTGCTATGTGTCTTAAAGTCAATCATACATCATCAAATATTATTTGTTGAAATTTGGCGAACAGTACATAAGTTGTTATAATTTTTGTCGGCAAGGACGGTACCTATCTTTGATGCCCATTATATAATTTTTTTTTATCATTGAAATCCACCTGCTCTTTTGTTATAAAACAATATATGTCACATATTTCAGAATAGTACAAGTTTTGTAGCTTTATAAGGCATTTATTTTCAAAGTTTACTGATTCTTTCATTAATAATGAATTCAATTCATGCACTTGAAATATGTGATGAAAAGGTCACATAAACTGTTATGAATTCTTAATAATTTGCTTCAAGACAAATGAAAACATCTAGTATATATATCAAGAAAGTACTGTAATAAGGAAAGAAAAAAAACTATCATTAATCCTGAATTCAATTCATGCACTAAATATAGAAGAAAGGTTAATGTGACTTAATAATTTGCTTCAAAACATCTTTTTTGGTGCATTAATGAATGCATTTGTTACAGCATTGATAACGACCGTAATTGATAATTGGAACGAAGATATTTCATCTGAAATAAGGTAAAATTATCAAGAAACATCCTTGTTTCGTTAGCAGAGTTGATCATAGATAATTTTTTAAATTGACAGTGGTGATAAACTTTCATCCTGATACAGAGATAATGAGAAACTTCCTTATGAAAAATATCACCAGGATATATATTTTTACATGGTGAAACAATTATTGGTGCTCAATCTGAATTTGTTGAGACAATGTTTTTATATTGACGAACAAACCAATAAAATTACTCCAGTGTTTATTTTAGATCTATTGAATAAATATAGATATGTAACTGAATAAAAACCGAAACTTATATTAATCACGAGAAATGTTGAGAATAAATATTATCAATCTATTTGAGGCATTTGCGTAAAATATTTCATGTTTTGCCGTTTAGTATTTTGAAAATAATAACATCATTAATTTTATTTAGATTGCATGGTACATGGTACAAATTCTAGTATAGTCATGAAACATACAGATAAATAAACAATCGAAAGAAAAAAACTGTATCAGTATTATTACAATAACAAGAGAAACATATTATGAATTAACTCATGATAAGTAGGCTTTAGGACTTTTGAAAATGAGAAACTTGTAAAAAAAAAAAAAATACCAGTGGATAACCTGCTATTTAGAGGATCTGAGTTATTTTTGGATGTTTGAATGTCTTGTAAAAAGAATGCTGAATGAAACACTAATATTTAATTTCTCTTTTCCAGATTCTATGGTGGAAATTCTGAAAGAGTATTCTTGGTCTCATCTAGCCATTCTGTATGACCAGGATTACGTGTTCTTTAACTTGGCCGGAAGTCAGTTGGCTATTGACCTTAAGGGCATAGAGAGCTTACCACGACCAGTTGACATTCCCTTTTCAGCCACGAAACTCAAAGACCCCGGTTCTCTGCTTCTAGAAGCCAGTCAGTTCGCCAGATGTAAGACACGTTTTCCTGTCGGAATATAAAATACAGAGATTTACAAATGTTCAAAGTAATATTCATTTATGACCACTGAATGCATACTTGTGCGTTTTTCTGATTAAGAATTGCATCAAATGAACGATCTTCAGGCCATTATATTACTTAATGACAAATTCTTCTTATTTCATCGGGATTGTTGACAGATGAACTTCCTCTAATGAATATTGTCCATCCACCATTTTCTGTCAGAATCATGGCAATAAGTACCTAGGGATATCGTATTCAATTAGTAGTGTAGGAAATGCTGGCAATACGTATTAGGAAACAAACGTTGATATTATTATTACTAAACATGTTTTGCTGAATGAAATTAATAAAATACATAAATACATTTACTTGATAATTACTAATGATAATTGTATATGAACTTACTTTAAAAAAGAAATATTGAGTAGTATATTTATAAGAGGTAGTGACTTGCTTTGAAATCAAGATTTTGCAGATATTTTGAGTTTTACTTGTTGAAGCTCTTAATTGCTATTGCATGCATGCATCCTAGGTTCATTCAAAAAATTCAACCCAAATAGAACTAAAGTTTTTCATTACCTTTATATCACCCATGTTAAGCCACTCATTGTACGTCTTACAATACAAAACTTTCTATATACACTGTAACATAAAAATGCTTGCCATTCACAGTTTTTGTCATCTTCTGCTCTGCGGACCTCCTCAGGAGTTTTCTGTACCGTGCCGATCAGCTCGGGATGACCAGTGGTGGATATGTGTTCCTGGCAATGGAGTTATTTCCGTCCGATTGGCTGGGACATTATATGCTCTTTTACAGAGGTGAGATTTAGTTCTTTATTATTTCAAACTTTTACAGAGATGTTTCAAAGAAATTTCCTAGATGAATATATCGTTTGAAAAACTGGGTACCGGTACATAAAATCTTGACGCTTTATTTTAGATTCATTTTTTCGAATGTAAACTTTTCTAAAAATTAACTGCCTAAGAGAGCATTATTAAGCATAATTTTACGTCAAATCCTAAATTTTTTCTAAAATTTCCACTTCTATATGGATGACCATTCCTAATTTTCTAATGTAATTAAATTTCAATTCATCTTGATCACATCAATTGTGTATGAAAGCAACGGCACTTTAAGGCACTTTCCACATTTAACATTAGAGATATGCGATCATTAGTGGATTACACCTACGTTATGGTTTATAACATGCAGTAAATAATGTGAAGCAAAGGGAGAATGATAAATGAACAAGGTTTTTGATAAATATTATTACATGGCGCAATCAGAGCAACAAAAATGTGTTAATTTTTTTTATATAGGTAACTATATTTACAAATTGAAAGAAATATTTTTATTTTGAAATATATTCTATTTAACAGGTGACTATATGGACACTGCTGTTACCAAGGCGTACCGGTCCCTTCTCCTTCTGACCATTCATCAGGCGGACAATGTAGAATACCTCAGATTCGCTGAAGATGTCAAGCTGAGGAGTAAACGGGACTACGGCTATGATTTCGGACAAGTAGAGGTAAGTTGAAGAAAAAGCACCTTGGATTCCTTTTTTCAAAGAGCACTGTTTTAAACAAATCGAGTCCTTCTACTTTAAGTAGCATATTAAAGGAAAAGAATTTAAATTCAAATTGTTGTAGTGCGCTGTTCTTATGCCTAACACTGCAAGATACTGCTTTTCTATTAATTATTGAGTACATTGTTAGGCGTTTATCAGCTTTAAACACGATTTTTTGATGTTTTCTGCCAACCTATGATAAGAAAAGGAATTCAAGATTTGTCTTGAATTAGTTTTTCATCACTCTCATTGTTCTAGTAGGCTCATGCAATTCCATATCCTTAGTTGATGATTATTTTTTTTTAAATAGATTTTTTTACACGTAAATTGTGTTTCACTATTGAAACTAAGGAAATAATTTATTATTAATAGGATGTGTTAATTAAGATAAAGTATCTCAATTTGAACCATCATTATCAAAGAGAGAAACAAACCAGTGGCCATGAACCTGTTTCTCTCAGATGATAAAGCATCATTTTAAAATGCAAATTCGTCTCTAGACATTTAAAATGGAAAAACGGTTACACAAAGCCATCATTACATTACATTAAAAATAGGAATTACTTTGCATTTCCTCGGTACAATCTTGATAAAAAAAATATATTTGAGATCCAGCCGTAAGTATAATATTGTGTTGTAGTTTGCAGAAGATATGTTAGACATAAAAATGTTGATTTATTAAGGGAACAATGGATACCATATAAAAATTTACTTAATTTGTTTTATGTTACGATTTAAGCATCGTCCATAAGGAGTCTAAATGAACATTTGAAGTATTATTTTATCACAGTAAAGCTCCATTTTATTATAGGTTGTTAACTACTTCATAACAGCATTCTATGATGCTGCTATTTATTTGGCGGAGAGTTATAATAGAACAATTCAAGATGGCGGGTCTGTTAGTGACGGATTGGCAGTGGCACAGAGAATGTGGAACACCACTTACGAAGGTAGGTTAGCTGCCCATGCTAACAGGAACCCAAAAAGACTTGGAATGAAGGGGACAGCTGGATATTCAATGAACATTTTCATAATTAAAGTATAACATTAGGTCTGGGGAAAAACAGTGGGTCTTAATTTTGCAAAGAAATTGGATATTGCGAGCTAATTTGGTATGTTATCAACATTGATGAATTGAGGAGCTGAATAAAAAAAAAAATTTGAGACAACAAATGGGTTGAAAAATTGTCAATTGGTTCACAAAATCTACATGTAGAACAAGTTGAAAATATTCAAAGTTAATAGACTACATAATTTAGCAGGGAACAAATGGTCAAATTAGTAATTCTTGTCACATTGCAATAACCTATAAGTAGTTTTGAGACATCATTGTAGAGTCGTTTTTAGAATGGTGTTTGAAGTTTCAAGTTCTTTATTATATAGAGCTGTATTTCTTTATGCATGTATTGACTCACGTCTTACTTCGTTTTATCGTGGGAAAGTTTTGATTAATTACGATATAATCTTGAAGAACGTACGTTACAGTTCATGCAAATCCTTCTGTAAATTTTTGAGGTCATGGATCGAAGAATGTAATCTTCAAAACTCTATAGGGTATTCCACCTTAATGAACTTTAGGATTAAATTTACCATTTTCCAGGAATAACAGGGCCTGTAGCAATTGATGCGCTGGGCGACAGAATAGCTGATTTCGACATTTTTCATATGCAGGATACAGAATCGAGAAATTTTACGGTATTTTTCTGCATTATGGCAATCATTGGATACACTTTTGTTATCCTGAAATTGTAAATAAATGGATTTGACAAAAAAATCAAATTAAGCAATATCCTGATATCCTTCTATAATAAAGTGTCTACAAGATAGCAGCAAGTTCATGACGTGTCAATTCGGACCCGAATTTATTTATTCATAGACAAATTTTACTCTGTAATCATATATTCTTTTATCAAAGTTAATAGGAACATTTCGTGGGGCCACCCAGAAGTATGTTAAGAATCCTATGGTAGAAATCAACTGGCCATACGGCATTCCACCGGACGTGCCTCGTTGTGGTTTTCGCAATGACAAATGTATCGTTCAGGGTAAGCAATTCCCTGACTTTTTCCAAGAATTCTTTTTTTGATTATTAATCAATGCGCATGCAAATATAGGATAATATAAAATTCTTAAATCACAATATATTAGCAAAAGATCCACTGGTATTTTGACCGAAAAATTATTCGAAAAGTGTTTTTAAAAGTATTAAGGTTTAATATCAGAATCAGATTAAATGATATAAAATGTATGTGATTTTAACAAAAAACAAGAGGCCCACGGGCCTTATAGGTCACCTGAGTATCATGTAACAACTTTCCAGCGATTGTATTTGGTTTGTGTTTTAATCCAAAAGCCATGAAACTCACAAATTTTGAAGGAGGCACCATTGCTTATCAATGGGCAGATTTCAAGGCATTAATTTATTTTTAGTCAAAGTACCCCCCTGGTACCACTGACCCAGCAGCCCTGAAATTATCTATTTTGAAAGAGGCCCCTTTCTTCATTATAAGGCCAGCATTTTTTTTATGTTTAGGTTTAGTTATGAACATGAGAATAAAAAAATCCTAAAGGAGAAGGAAATAAAAAAAATTTTTGGATAAATCAATTATTAACATTTGTACATTCTTTTTTTATGCTATTCTAATAGGCTCCTTACCACTGGACACATAATGCTTACAAATAGGAAAGTAGAACATTTAATTGCTTATTTCATCATCTGCCAGTTTGGGCCAGTTATATAATTTTTGTGATGTTGGTCAAAATATATTTTAAAAAATCAATTCTTCAAAAAACTTTCAATATATCTTCATTTTTTTAATATGTGTCAGGTGAATGTGTAGACATTGTTCTAAAATTTACTTGATGCCTAAAATTATAGCGAGCGCAGCGAGGCCGCGCAAAGCGCCGCTCGCGTAGCGAGCTCAATAGAGACTAACGTGTACGAAAAGAAGAAATTCAGGTTGAAATCTGCACATTGTTCCAAGAAATTTTAATGAGTCCACGTGAAAAAATTCCAAATTACAATAATCCTTTGCGGTGCATAGCAACATGGTGGCTAAAACATAGCAACAACTTACTTGAAAAAAATTACAAACAATGATTTAAAGCAATCTCCATGCCACAAAACTATGATGCAAAAACAAGACTTTTAATCTGACGTCATACTTTCATCACTTTAACGGTTCGGGTATTTTAAATTTTGTCGGAAACTTTTGTTTGCTTGGGAAGTGATTTCTTTTTATTGTTTTGCTTTCTTCTTTTTTGCTTTTTTTCCTTAATGATAAAGTAAATTTAGGTTTATGAAACATAACTGCGCTCGCCCCAACGGTCACACCGTAACATATTAATTCCTATCATAAAACATACAGGGAGTATTGGTGAGTACTGAACATTTTTTCAATTAAGTTTAAAATAATTTACAAATGATACTACATGCCTGTATATATTTGTATATTTCACAGGCGCTTGTTTCATACAGTGAACTGTCTACTATATAATAACACAGTAGAAAACTAAGCTCACTGTATGAAACAAGCGCCTGTGCTTTTAATAGTTGATTTTTTTTTATTTCTTCAGGTTATTGTTTATTTCTTCCTCAAATGGACTTAACTTCTCCCATAGTTTTATTCATTACATTTGATGCATAAGCAACCCTTTTCTAAAGAATGGTGCTTAAACTGTAAGCTATAACAAGACTAAACAATGTACTGGCAATACAATAGCTACCACGGGCAGTTTAAAACCTGGGGGAGGAAAATAATTTACAGACAGTTACTTTTGAATATATGTATCTCACCAGCATGTCATTGTGCAACAAAGTCGTCAGCTTTTTATTTGTCCTTTGAAAAAAAAAATGGCATTTTATGAATGAATTTTACAATATCGACCAAAAAAATAAATTTGAAATCATTATCAAAATTGACTTTCAAAAAAAATTGTTTTATTTTTTTCTGAAAATTCAAAACCCCAGTTTGAAAACTGAAATTAAAATAAATCCAAGATTAAATATGAAATTATGATCATAAGCATATTAACCAAGAGCAAAGGATAAGATGTTCAAAGAAATCATGCATTTCACTATATAATCATTAAAGCCCCACCCTAAAACAAGAACCCCTGTTTTTGTGCCACAAAATACAATTTTATATAAATCTGTTGTATATCAAAATATTTCTTAGTTGTTTAAATACCCAGGAGCAGAGAAGAAGATTTTCAAAGAATGATTTATTTTTATATTGATGGAACAGAATAATAAAATCACAATTTTGTAAAAATCATAACTATGTACTTAGTTAGTTTATTTAATACCCAGGAGCAGAGAAGAAGATTTTCAAAGAATTCATTTATTTTCACTATATAAAAAATAGCCCCCCCCCCCCCCCCCCAACACCAGAACCCTTGACCCTGGGGATATAAAGTGTTCTCATTAACAATGATTATTTTATTTATTAAGACAGAGAAGATTTTCAAAAATCAATAAAAATTTATATTTAACACAAATAAAGAGGCCACAAAATCATTTTATGATATCATAACTATGTACTTCGCTTTCTATATAGAAGAGAACAAGATTTTCAAAGAAAAATGCATTTTAATACTCATTTATGTGTCAAACCAGGGCCATGAAACAAAAAGGACTCAATGCTGATTACAATCATGCAAACAGTTTGACGGCTTGATGTCCAGGAGTAAAGAAAAAAAAAGATTGCATTAATTTTGTGGTTTTGAAACGACTTAAGAGACAAAATATTTGTTAAAACAACCCAAAATTATTGAAATATATTTGGTTGAAATTTTCAGATTGGTTTAGAAGAACTTGTTCAACGGTGTGTACAAATTTGAAGACATTACAAGAATTTAAAAGCACATGTAATTTACTGAAAATGGAAATTTTGTATTCATGACGTTATTAATCCTGTATCGCTGTCATTTGCTGTATTTCTGGTTATTTCTGCAATTGTTGGATACATAATATTTAGGTAAAAGAAATATACAAACTGAAAATATATTTGTGATCTGAGTTGCTAAGTTTTTGTGCATTGTTTTGAATTTCAAAAATTAAATAAATTATAATCTGTATACTTAAAGATTATTGCTAGCAAACTTGATACAAAAATAGTTTATACTTAGAACCCTGATTTTAAAAATTTTTAATACCAAGGAAATTAATTAAAAACAACCTTTCCTTCGGATTTCTAATGATTTAAAAACGCTTCCTGCATAAGCACCATTTGTTTTACCAATATGCTCAATTTCAGATTTGCTTTAATCTCCTCAAACTGTGTTACCTTGACTGCAAAAATTAGAAAATTCTATGATATTTTACAAAATGGCATTCCTCCTTCAGTTTTTACGGTTAAAAATATTAAGTTTCATACAACATAAAAATTAAATCAATTTTTGACTTGGTGACTTCCTTTAAAAAAATTAATATTTTAGTGAATGGTATTACAATGTCGACCAAAATAAAAAGATTAAAATCATTAGAATTCTTTCAAAAAAAGGTTTTTTCTAAGCCCCAGTTTGATAACAATATTAAAATTGAATCCAAGACTTTTTATAAAACCCTAAATGTAAAACTTAGAATGTGATCTCAAGTAGAGGTACATCCTCTAAGTATCTTTCACCATTTTGTTACATACCAGTAGACCTGATGAAATTCGAATGGAACACCTTATGAATTTGTTTAATTAATATGTATGTATGTATAATGAAGCAGTGGTATTTTTTGTTTTAAAATGATATTACATTGTAAAACGTTAACTGTGTTTTAGAAAGCAAATAAAAAACCGAATCCTTGTAGATCTCTTTAATTTCAATCAGATTCTTTTTCAATAAAAACAAACAGTAAATCCGTATTTTTCCGGAGATTATCTCCTTCCCAGTGGTAAATTGTCTCGAGGAGAAAGTCATTTGTTCTTTTCGCCCGAAATGGCTGAACTTGCGATGCTTTGTTAGTGATTCCAAAGGACTAATTGGTACTGGATTTCCTATTTCTACATTGATACTTTATCAGATATTGTTCATTATCAGTGATGAATTGATAACATTCTAATGTTCTTCTGAAATGGAAGAAAATCATGTGCATAATTTACAAGATAACTATCATATAATTAAATAATTTTAGGTCTTTTACTGTATTTTTGTGTCTTCAACCTTTCTGTATAGTTGAGTCATCATCAATATTCCAAATCTTCCAAATCCTTGCTAATCTACTGTAGAGGTATCTAATCATAATCAAATTAATTTCACTATATCCCTTGCATTTATATTAAGTACGCTTAGGCAAATTTCTGCGGGTTATCTGTGACCGCGTATATAGCGTAAATTAATACCACGCGGAAAAAAGTATTTCTACAGTAATTATGATTAATTAATTTTATCTGCTCACTTTATGTCATCGTACTGTATTCACGTTATTTCTTCACTACATTCAGTGCTACTTTTTAAGGGTAGTGGTGACTCAAAAATGCATTCCAACTTTTCATTTTTGGTCAATAAAAAGAACAATTTTTCTCTTATTTCGGATCGATGTGTATTATATGTCGATAAAATGAACAATGATTGTCGATCGCGTAAGTAAATATGAAAATTTAAAATTTAAAAAAAATATATAAAATAATATATTCATTTCAATATTTCAGAAAGATTCGTCTAGATGCAGAACTAGAAAAGAAAGTGTTTATTGTTAAATACGATGAATTACAGTTAAAGAAAGGGGACCTTCAGGGGTCGTTCTTATCGAAGTCAAGACTCTCAATCATTACAGAGCACTCGTCACGGGTACGTCCATACAACTCACTACAAGTATATAGCAAACACAGAAAATGCATGCTTAAATTCTCTGAAAAATGGGGATAATCTAAAAATTAAATCCATACCTGAAAATTGCTGTATTGCTGTATTGTTCTTTTGTAACAAGGGGAGTGAAGGAGGAGATATTCAGCAACTCTTTACTCAAGTCGGAATGTGCAGAGGTAACCTGGTAGCCATCCGGAAGCTGAAATTAAAAACTGTGGAACAAAGTAAAGATGTTTTACGGGAGTTTCGAGAGGTAGGATTTTTTCCGTAATGCTTTAGTTCCATTTAGAAGGTTTCGTTAATTTGGGAAAGTGGTGAAGTTGTATTTACGTATATAAAACAGAGTTATTATAGAAGAAGGTTATTGATCAAGTTAATGTTACTAGTGGTGTTGCAGAAAAAATGGTGCTTTTCATTTCAGAAAATTTTAGTGTTTTATTGATTGATTGATTGATTGAATGTAAGCTAATGATATTTTTACATCAAACAAGCACATCATTTAAAGATATTTATTTGAACACCTTTTATTTCTTTAACCCCTTTAATGAAAATAACCATATAAAATTGCAATGCCTGCAAATTGCACTTAAATATTTCTAGCTGTTGAACATAAATGGTTTATGTCAGTGGTTTTATAAAGTAAAAGTAAATCGCTTTAATATATCTGAAACTTGAGATGTTTTGTTGAATTTACGCGGCTGCATTGTAAATTACCCAGAAATGGCTAACATTATATATCACCAAATCATTATCCCTGGTGTGTATGGCGTCAGTTTAATTCCAACATCAAGGGACGATGGCGTAAATGGACAGCTCTTTAACAAGTTGGTGTAATGAACTAGTCTTGTCGACACAGTCTTTTTTCAATAAATGATATTTATTTTTTTCTGCTAGGTCATCCCACTCTCAATCAGACAGAAATGCAATCTTACAAAGAATGTTTCGTCTGATGTTTTTTTTTTATATCAGATTTAAAAAAAAGATGTACTAGCAATTTTTAAATGTAGAAATTGGAAAACCAAATCAATCAAGACAAAATGAAATAAACAGAATTAATAAACTTTTGAGTCCATTGTAACAAATCAAAATGACAGAAGAGTACACGAAGACTCTAAAAGCATCAGATATGGGATCAGATGGCATAGAGGAGTAAATATCTCTTGTCGACTGGTCATACTCGCTTCCTATCATGATAGGGCAAACATAAATCCTGTGGACAGTTCATTATAAAAGAAATTCCCTATCAATTTGTTTGCAAGAATTCTGTCAAAATTGAACTTAATTTTAAAATGATTATCCTTATATCATCAATATATTTGTCAAAAGCTTGTCTCGAACAAGATTTTTTTTCCATATAAAAAAGTCTTACATAAAGTGTATTGAATAAACTTGGAGACAAAACTCCACATGCAGTTGATATTGGTATATTGCTACATTAATAAAGAAAGTTGACGATAAGAAAGTTTAAATAATAACGTCTTTTCTAAAGTAAATGTTTTACCGTCTATACGTCTTTTTTGTAGTATAACATCCAAATATGAACCAGATGTGTCAGACGCTGCAGTGTCTGTCATTTTTATTTATCTATTGATACCAAATGAAACGAATGAAAATGAATATTGTTAACTAATAAAAAGTCATCGATATAAATCATTGTTGAATTGAAAGTCACAGCAAGAGACTTTTTTATCAGAAGTTTCCTTTTAATTAAAATAAACTTGAATTGACACCGTGAAGGAAAAACGGGAAAATTGACATAGGTAGAATTTTTGCATGAGGCATGTAAATTTTCTCCATTTCTTGAAAATATTAGGTTTTAGAAAATTACAGGTTTCAGGACCTCAAAAATCTACTTCAGTTTAGAGGAATAAAAATAAAAGTGATAAACAGTCTTAGTACAACCCATTACAAAAACATTGTAAGTTTGGAAACAGTAGTCGATGGTATTGTAAAAAATAATACAAGGCGAGAACTCAAGCTCGAAATATGATAGATTACAAGACTGAACCCTTTGAATTTTGTAATTAAGAATATACATGTACACTGTAACTGATATTAGCTTCTTTTGTTCTTTTGTTGGCAAATTGAAGTTTAAGGCACAATCAGACTGTTTAATCAGCACTCTCCTCCGTATATCTTGTTTGAAAAGCTTCTGGTGTGCATTTATCATCTCAGAGATTCAAGCCTATATTCTTGTGTCGACTTCCCCGCGCATTTTCACAAAGATCATTAAATGTCATTGTTTTTCCTTTTATTAAAAAATATAACTTTTTCAACATTCAGTTAAACTTCTTAAGGCATTGTGGTGTCCATCTTTTACCTGCAACGTCTCTTTCTCATAAAATTCAATTTCGGACAGATTCTTGGGATTTTCAACGGCTAAACAATTGAGTGAATTGACGTTCGTGTGCCTTACATTGGTATTGAGCGGATGATCATTTTGGAAGCTCAATGCTCAGAGTATACTAGTATCTCCAGTGTATCTCATAGTTGCATTGAAGTTCAACATTTTATCTGATATTAATTTAGATAATAAGTTTGGGTTTTTTTTTCAGTTATATCATCTACAACATCCTAACATAGCAAGGTTCATTGGGGTTGTGATTGAGCCTGGAAACAACAACATTTTGATGGAGTACTGCCCCAGAGGAAGTTTACAGGTAAACAATATCTGTATAATTATCGATTAAATAAATAAAACAGATCATCAGATCAATTTTAGTTCTCAAATTAGAAGTAATAGATATTGAATATTGGAGATGTATCTGTTGCCATTTGATGTATATCAATATGTTTTAATACTAAGTTCATTTTAAGAACTTTGTCAAAAAATTCTTTTGAAATTGAATTATACCCAACCTCTAAAAAAGATTAGTTGTAGTTTGTTTGCTTATCTGTCACAAATGTGTCCTTGACATCATGATCCCAATACTTTTAATGGAACAGATGTTACTAAGACACTAACGTGTTCCATTATTCTGACATATGGTCAAATGGCAAATGTCAAAGTTCAGGTCCCTGATCAAGTTAATGATAAAGCTATGTTGGACATCAACCATTGGATAAGGTTACGTTTAAACTTGAGTATGTTTCTTTCCTATGGCCTTAAATTATTTAAGGTGGACAGGACAGGGGTTGCTTACTCCTCCTAAGTTTGATCACACCTCTGGCGTTTTGGTGTCCGTGTTTTGCCATACTCAACTTTTGTGTTGTGTAAAAAGTTTTTGAGGTGGACATCTTGAATAAAATTTATTCAGCAATGATATATTTTATATACAAGTATACAATACATTATATCATAACTCGTAATTTGTCTACTAGTGATTGAAATGAGTTTTTCATTGTCATTGACGTTAAAATGCACGTTATGTATATGATCGTGACTCTCTCTTAGGGGTCATCCTTAATATTTTCAAGTTATTATGACATTCGGGACTGTTTTCGTGGAACGAAACGTCTTTTTAGTTTAACTTGTAAAATTTCAAGATTAATTCATACAGGTATTTAACATATACTCTATTTAAAACATTTGAAATATGTCTGTTGTTCTCTTTAATTTAAATAAATAAATTTTTGACACTATAGGATATCATAGAAAACGATGACATTGACTTAGATTGGTCTTTCCGATACTCCATTATATGGGACATCCTTAAAGTAAGTTATTTTGGACACTAACTTGGAGTTTATTGTCGATAATTCATTTGAATAGTATTTTTGAAAAATAGTTTGTAGAACACTGTTGGATGCAATTCTCCACACGAGATGCATTCTGTGATTGACGAATTGATTTATTTCACATTTGTAATGAAGGGGTAGTACGTACATATTCTCTGCAAATATATTGTCAAATTTTCAATAGGGGTTGGAGTATATTCACTCGAGCCCGATTCGTTACCATGGGCGCCTAAGCGGGACTAACTGCGTCATTGACAGCAGGTTTATGTTGAAACTGACAGACTTCGGTCTGAATTCTATTTATGATATGGAAAGACGCGAACAACTCCAGGATAAGGCATCATTTAACATGAATAGTGAGTATCAAATAGTGTCACTCTAACATAGTTACAAATATGTTTTAAATGAATTATTTAAAACATCTCTTCTTGAAATGTTTTCTTTTAATTGATAAGTGTTTAAACAAAATTAATGATGTACCAAAATGTTCCTACTATTAATTAAAACACTGCTTTAAAAAATTTATAGTTAATAGATATAAAATTTCTAAACTGTTTCATGTGTCATTTCCTTAGACCTAACTAACTATTGTTCCAGTTTGTCATTTTGGGTAATCTAGAAAAATAATGTTTTCTATGAACTTAAAGATTTATTTCATATTAGCCTTCATAAAAAAATTATCAATATTATTGCAACCCGTTTTCATGGGAATTTTTTTCCTGAATCGGGAGTAAACATTTGTCTTGGAAAGGAGAAGAGGTTATAAGTATTAGAATGATATTTCAATCTCTCATTAAGCATCAATTTAGGGTCAATATTAAAACCATCTATCATTCGACTTTCAATAATTCAGAAATGAAAAGGAAAATAGATTTCACGATCAGTATGTACTGGTATCAGCTGACAATTTGAAGCGTGTAACAACATTGTCTTTGTTAGTAAAACTAAATATTTTAATTGTATTTTAGAGGAATTAGGATTTACTTCTGCAAGTGTTTTTTTTATTTGTCTCTTTGTTGTTAAACACCTTCTTGAGAATTTTTCACTCATATTGAGACCTCACCATTATTCCCATTTCCGAACAATCAAAAGCATTTGAATAATCATACCTTTACTGGATTCTTCATAAAAATACGTGCAAGCATAGATACACGGCGGGTTCCGGTAAATTTTCTAACTTTTACCAAACCTCTTTCTCTCCAAAATGTTAAAAGCTGTTAAAAAAAAAAAAAAAAAGAAGAAGAAGAAGTGGTGTATATCAGATTTGGATACATAAAACTCCAAAGAACTCTTTCAATGTAGAAAATTTGAAATAAAAACAATTACCAAAAATACATAACATCTAATCGTATGGCTTTCCAACACTTCATACAACCATTCCCCACGCTAAATTTAAGTCTGGTGTTTTTGAAATCATTGACAGTTGTTTTGTTTTTTTTTAATAAAAATGGAAATCTTAAATTTATTTAATTTGTCATTGGTCATTTGCTAAATTGGTTTGTTAAAAAATAAATACCGTTCTGACTGTACAAAAAAGTAATCTTAGGTTGATATTTAAAGATGTTTTAGCTTCTGATTGACAAAATTTCTATGTAGTTACTGGAAACCAAGTCTTTCAGCAATCCGTCAGAATTCCACCCATGCCATTTTCATCCAGGTCTAATTTTTATTCATATGAGGTAAAATTTATTCAAAAGCTTATACACGAGAAAAAGAAGAAAAACATTTGCTGTGGCCTTCAACTCGACAATTAAATATATCGACGACGTATTATTGATTAAGAATATATAATTCTGTTCATTTGTCATATGTCGACTTACTTTCCAAGTAAACTTCAAATAAAAGATACCACATGACAGAGCACGGCGCATTTGTTTCATTTCTAGATATTTTACGAGAAGAATTCCTTAATGGTAACATAACAATAAATCTTTATGATAAACTTGATGACTTCAACTTTTCAATTGAAAACTCTCTTTACTTATTTAATAATATACCCTTATCATCTGCATATGGGGTTTATGTCTCCAAGTTGATTAGGAAAGCAAGAATATGCGTTTCTTAAACGGGTCAAGCTATTGACAAATAAATTTAAGAAATAAGAATATCAACAGTCTCGTTAAAAGTACTCAGTAATCATTTAGCATGTTCTGTGGTTGATACAATGACCTATACAAATACAATCTTCATTAAGTCGATGTTGACCGATATCATCACACTAATCGTTATCTAGACCATAATTTACACACTTAATTGTCTACCGATTTTTCCTGTTTTTCCTGATCATGACGAGGAGCACTAGGCGGGTATAATCGAACGACATGGGATGCTTTCTTCTCTGTAACACTTGATCCCACCTCTGAGGTTTTTATAGGTTCCTGCTTACTTTGTACCTGATTTGTTTTATCAAATAGACTTTTGAGTATGATTACTGTTCGTTCTTTTTATATTAATTTCATTCAAGGAATAATGAATATCTTTGAACAAGATTTAGATTATCCCTAGACTTAAAATAAAGACCATTAAGAAATGGTTACCATTAGGCGTGAACTGAAAGAATCTTAATGTCTGTCCAACTCTTACCACAGTCGCTTTATAAATGAAAATGGATATGTAAATAATTAATTATTCTTCAGACAATTACTAATGTTATCTTGTAATATACTATCTTAAGATATGTCCATTTCTTAGCACATGCTCTATAAATGAAGACGCATACATAATCGATAATTCGGCAGGCAATATCAAGTCATCTTTTAATACAAAGATTTGAATTTAAGACCCGTGTCTTAATGTACGACCATGCCTCTTCTTCTACAGACAATTCAAGAGATTAATTTAAATATATAATGTAGTTAGAATTTCACTTTTCAAGAAAGAAAATATTTGTTACAAGTCCATGGACCAACCAGTTTAACACCTAAGATGTGTTATGATAATCGATGTTCACAAATTTCGCCAAGTAGTACACCAAAAATATGCTTTACAAAATATTTACGCTGTATTTCTATATTTATTAATTAAACTTATAATCCAAGTATGTTTATAAGAATTCTCTAATAATGTCTTTTTATTTTCAAAAAGAGCTTCTGTGGACTGCGCCAGAGTTGCTGAGGCGACTCTTCAATCAAACTAAAGATATCAACTACCAGAAGGCAGATATATACAGCTTTGGCATCACTCTTCAAGAAATAGTAGTTCGGGGTGCTCCTTTTGAAGGCAGTGACCTGACATCATCAGGTATCTTTTTAGACAGCTCTAGATGCGTCTACATGTCTTTTTTTTCTTTTGTTCTCTAGTTCTTTTGCAATATGCTCAATTACAATATGGTTTCCTAGTAGATTTATTTTAATCAGACCCATAGTGGTTTTGATTTAACGAATGACATCCTCATATATATCACTGTTTTTGAAATTGTTTTAAAATTCTTTTTATGGACTTTAGAAATTATAGAGAAGGTGATGGGTGCACCAGGTACTCTGGGACCTTTTAGGCCAAATGTTTCCGAAATGGACTGTAGTCCCGAAATTAGGTCGTTACTGCAGCAATGCTGGTCAGAATCTCCTGATGATCGACCTAACTTAAACGATATTTTCTATTCCCTGAAGAAAATGAACGTGTAGGTTATTTCAAATTGTAAAATGTCTTATTGCTGAAATTCTGGTCTGTTCAACTATTTCTTTCAGAATTGATATAATTTTTTTTTGCAAATTATACCGTTTTGTAAAAAGTTTTCTTTCATAACATTTCCCTAGAAATCAAAAAGGAAACATTATGGATAACCTAATGAGAAGAATGGAACAATACGCCAATAATCTGGAGAGCATCGTAACAGAAAGAACCAAGGCGTACATCGAAGAAAAACGAAAAGCAGAGGATCTTCTTTGTAGACTGTTACCCCCGTGAGTTTTCAAAACCTTATTTACACATTATTATCTCTCATTAAGCCAGTATATAGCCAATAGATAGTCATATTTATTAGTAAGTTTGAGCAGAATCCAGAGGATTGTATTAGCCTTTCCTTAATCTGAAGCATAATTTAGCAATTGAAATTCCAGTGTATTGTTACATGTCTGATTGTTATTCACAGTGCAGATTTAGTTTTCTTCTTTACCTAGTTAATTATTGGAGTAAAAACAATAAAATTTTACTCTTATTTAAGTTAATTTTTAGGTTTGGGGGACACGAATTATATTTACTTACGGATTGAAATATTTTAGGTTCCAGTGAAGAACAACAACTTATATTTTCTTCTTTATCTTGCCCGATACAATACCTATTATCCTACGATTTGGTGGGACTTGCATGTTGACTGTACATAGACTCTCTTTTACATTTTCCTTGCTCCCTTTCTTCTTGATACACTGTTAGACCGTAAATCTTTATCCTTTTCCTGTAAAATATAATTAGATTTGCATTGCGTTTGACGCTTATGAACCTATATATAATTTATTTATTATTAGGTCAGTAGCCAAACAACTTGAGTCTGGAAACTGCGTTGATCCAGAAACTTTTGAAATGGTGACCATTTACTTCAGTGATATTGTAGGGTTCACGACCCTGGCCTCGCGTAGTACACCATTAGAGGTAGGAATGATTATTATACTCACGGCCACCTCTTAGTTCACTAGGGCTAGAAAGAGTATGCAACTTCATTTTTTACAAGTCCTCAAATGACAGTAAGCTTTAGACTTCTGTCTGAATGTAAGAAAGAGTGAATTAATTATAACTTTAAATTTATTATTTAAAGACCGTATATTTCAATTTACAAAATGTAGTTTTCTAAAGAACTTTTTCCGATCCCATTTTATGTACTAATTACAATAAAATATTTTCAAGTAAGATATTCTTATCAGAAAAGATATAGATTAACTTTGTATTTCTTCAGGTTGTGGCTATGTTGAATGGTTTATACACATGTTTTGACACGATAATCAACCATTTTGACGTCTATAAGGTGCGTTTTGTTATTGAAAATCTTATTTTAACCTTGTTTTCATCAAAACGGTGGTAGAAAAATTTATTAAAAGCGTGTTTTTGGCAGAAAGCATAAATAAAATGACTTAATTCATTCATCATCAGGTAGAAACAATAGGGGATGCGTATATGGTTGTATCAGGACTTCCGGTTAGAAATGGACAAAGACATGCTATGGAAATTGCCAATATGTCACTGAGCATCCTGAAAGCTGTTCAAGAATTCAAAATCAAACATATACCAGAGGAAAAGTTAATGATTAGAATTGGTATAAATTCTGGTAAGGACTTTTGGTTTGAAGCATGTATAAACATGATAAATGTTTCTAAAAGAGAAAATGGTTCATAATTTGTGACTTCCTGGAGTTTTCCATTTCATCATCATCATCATATCATAGTCCTTTACACCCCGTGGTGTGTAGGGCAGCAACAAACTTCCTACACTCCTGTCTATCCGGGGTCAGCCTTGTCAATGATCCCCAGGTCTGGTGCATTGCTTTCATCTCACTTTCATCTGTCCTTCGCCATGATGTTCTAGGCCTCCCCTTCTTTCTTTTGCCCTCTGGGGTCCAATGCAGTGCTGTTCTAGTTGTTGACTGAGGGTCTTTTCGGAGAACGTCCAATCCATCTTCATCGGCGTTTGGTAATGATGGTACCCTTGTCCTCTTGTTTGCATCAGGTCTTCATTTGTTATCTTTTCGGGCCAGAAAATCCGAAGTATGCAGCGGAGGTAGGTGGTATGGATTGATGGTAGTTTGCTAAGATAGTAGTTTACGATTTTTCCATTTCACTGTGGAGTTATTGTAAAAAATAAACAAAAAACAATCCTCAACCTCCTTTGACGTATTTGATTGTTAACATTTGGGGAAATGAATTATCTTCTATGTAGGTAGATAATTGCTAATGATAATATACTAGTACCTTCACTATATACTACAAGAAAATATTTGCATTCTTAACACGGTACATCTTTAATTCCCTTCAGTGGCTTAATAGCCCTTTCATTAAATGAAGGATTTGACGTATGGAAGCAATATACGTCAATTAAGAGAAACTTTACAGGGGAAGTCATTATACGGCATGGGTATTTACTGTGAGTTGTATGTTTATTAAAACAAGTTACTTCTTTATAGTGTTCCTAATGATGAAATTAGGTCCGTAATATTCTAAAATTTATTTATTGCAGACAAAATTACGATAACGCATATATAGAAATTATATCAGAGTCCTTGGATAACATTGGTTTGATGAATTATGTGGCTCATAGTTGAATGTTTCGTGAACCAATGTTTTATTTTGTTTATAGCTAACCTGAACTTAAGACTCAAGTAAGCTTTTCGGATCACACTTTGCCCCGTGTCATCTGTCCGTCTGTTTACTTAACAATTACGATTTTCTTCTCAAGATTCTTTGAGCCAATTTCAACGAAACTTGCCTCAAAGTATCCTAAGGTTAAGGGTATTCAAATTAATTCAAATGATTAGGAGTAAATAATAATCCATTACACCTGGTGATATGATGGAGCTAAAACGTAAGTTCAAAGTGAATCAGGTAAGGTCGTTACCCATGGGCCTCTTGTTTTGTTTTGAGATTAATGCTACGGATTAAGGTACCCCCCGTATAAGTAGTATTTTTAGCGAGGATTTAATTTTGGCATTATTAGCGAGGGTCATGGGATCGCTAAAATTGAATATCGCTAAAAATTAATTGCATTTTATTTGTAATAGCTGCTTTAGTAAGCATTTTAAAATCGCTAAAATTACTTCTCGCTAAAAATAAATTACCATTTTTTAAGGAGAAATCGCTAAATTTGCGTCTCGCTAAAATTTCCACTTATACGGGTATGAGGTAAATACCATTTTCTGAAATTGCGTATAATCTCTCAGATAAAAATGAAATCTATGTAATTTCAATCGCTTCTCTTTAACATAATAAATAAGAAGTACAATTTACATATTATAAACATGTTTTGTTTTATTCTAGGGCCTGTCGTGGCTGGGGTTGTCGGTATTGCAATGCCAAGGTATTGTTTGTTTGGGGATACCGTTAACACTGCCTCAAGAATGGAGTCCACATCTTTTGGTGGGGTTTATATAATATCATTTTCATTGTTCTGTTTATTTCAGCAGTTAATTTTAGCTCTATTCTAGCTAAACAAAAGTTTTCCAATAAAAGTTGTTTAAAAATTGTAGCAAATAATCAAGATCCAAATTAAAATGAGAGAAAATATAATTTTTGTCACAATTTGAATTATATCAATCAAAGAAGAATGTAAAGGTTAAACGCAAGTATAAATGTACGTATTATCAAATTCATTCTATTCCTACAATTTACGCGTTTCAATAGTAAATTAACAATGTAGTAAACTTATAATTCAATAATTACACAATATAGTTTAGGACAATATTCCTTGAGAGAAATAGAAATTTTAGCTATTATTTTTCATAGCTGGAAAAATCCAAATATCTGATTCCTCGAAACAGCTCTTGGATCAGTTTGGAATGTATGATGTGAATTGTCGTGGAGAAATTCCAATAAAGGTATTTGTATGGTTTTTTCAACATTGTCGGGAACTTTTTTTGTATTATTGTCATTTAGAAGAAGTTAGTAGATTAAAGAGATATTTTCACTCTGGTGAAAAACGATAGAAGAAAATGCACTCTCGAACAGTCTCAAAAAATAGAAGAAAATATGACGAGTTTTCTCCCGTTTCATGATCAATATATTAAGACTGAAATTTTTAGGGTAAAGGAATGATGATCACTTACTGGCTAGAGGGTGCCACTCTGGATTCCAGTAAGAGCTGACAATCACTGAAGGGCATTGGCCCATCCCCCTCTCGCGAGATCTGCCGGAAACGAGTATCCTGCGTGACGTCATCAGCCGAGGTGCTTCGTGCAGTGAGATACAACGAACTGGATGTCTGAAATACTGAAACATAATCAAATTACCCATCTTAATCTGAAAAACATATATATGAAGTCGATTTATATTGGATTTAAGATACCTTTTTATTTATTTTCATATCAAAATTGATGCATGCATTTGTCTTATAATTATCGGTAGTGTGCAAATTATATGTACGCATTATTGACAAGGTTTCAACAAAATTTGTATTTCCACAATCAACTATTTTTCTTCATACTGAATTTAAAAGTTTCTTTGTTAGTGTGCTCAAGTAGAAATAAGAATTGTTTCCAATCATATATGTATACATAGTCTACATTAGCAACGAGGAAAAATAGGATCTTGAGACTAATTACATGTATGTATTGAATGTGATTTTTTGAATTTTGATTGATGGAACATTGTAAATAGAAAACAAAACAATATATTTTTGTTGTTAACTCATACTTTTTCTAACTTTTTTGTGCTTTTACAGTTGATGCAGAATCTAAATTTGATAGAATGCATATATATATCAAGGAAAGGTGAACTATTTATGTTATCCCTGATATGTATTAATAACTTCCCGTTTCTCTGAATTAGCTATGAGAAATTTGTCAGATTTTATCTGAGTGGTTTGGTATGATGCGGAGAAAATTAGTCAGTAAAGGAGTTTATTTCAGTTTTATCCATCAGCTAGCTAATACACATCATTTTTTGTGTAGATATATATGCTGCTTCGTTTTTATGAGGTCTGCAGACAAGACCAGAAAAGATTTGCGAAAAACAATGCACACACCCAAATAAAAATACTGAAATATATTATATCAGATCATTATTACTTAAACATGTAGGTACAGGTGTTTTATAAGCTTTAAATATTTGGCATAATTTGTAGACAGTTCTCTTCTGATTTTTAGTTGCTGGGGTAGAAAGATAAGTCATAGCATGATCCAGATAGAAAGAACGTGTACATGCACCAAAATATTATAAATCATTAAAGAAGTATTTCATCGAAGGGTTGTACTTATAGATTTTCCTGTTGATTTTTATTTTTTGGGTTTTAGTGATAAGATGTGATGACGACGTAATTTTCTTTCATCTGTGCATCTGGTAATTAAGCTGATTTTAATTTAATTTTTCTTATTTTGGATGATTTAATTTATAAATTTATGTTATTGAATGCTTTAAATAATACTAGTTGATATGCATGTGCATGGATTTAGATCTATAATGCTAACTGTGCATGTAGTTCTGTATAGTTAAGAGATTTGAAAATGGTGAAGAACAAATAATACGTATTAATAAGGTATATCATGGTAGTTTTAAAACCACTTCGTTTTGCTGTAAAAATGCTGCTAGGATATATTCCCATGTATATAAAGTGTTTTGATAGAACTGATGGTATTAACACATGTATATAAAGTGTTTTGATAGAACTGATGGTATTATCACATGTATACGAGAACTGGTGATACACTATGTTTTTGCATTAAATTGTCGATAATTTAACTGTATTGTGTCCTTTCTCACGAATGCGCTTGATTGTTGTGATAATTCTGTTGTGACTTTTGGCGTGTACAGTATACCAGTAATTATTGTACTTAATGATATGATAAGCCGGTATTCACTTATATGTATGTTATACTGAATTGTTATGAATTTTACTTAACACTCCACTGTTAAATATATGCTTAAATTTAATTTTTACCAATTTTTTATGCACATCATTCAAAGAGGTAATGAATTTGTTGTACAGAAATTGTAATATTTTTATGACATTGTTCAACTTTTATCATCAAACTTTGTATACTTTTTAGAACAATTTAATCGAGACAACATCATCAGAACTGACCTTCCATATGTCACTGCCTTTACTTTTACTTAAAATCGTGTTTTGTTATTTCACAGAAATATTCTACTAGAGATCTTTTTATTTTACTTAAGAATCAGAAAATTGTGAGACTGCCCCAGACCAGGTGTCCAGATTATGTGACCACGATTTTTGATTTTCCTTATTTTTGGATTCACCCATTTGCGTGACAACTGTCAGACACCCGAACAACTTTAAACAGGAATTATGAATCTTTGTAATAAAGAAAATCCGTATCAGTATATTAACTCGTACTGCCCGATTTTCCTCCACTGCTAGCTGTTGTCTATTTCTCGTTTGTATTTGTTGACACGAAATTTGCCTTGTATAACTGAAAATTTATATGAAACAATTTGTTATTTATTTCCAAAACTTGAATAAATATTAATTTCCAGTCCAATGTTATACTGTAAATAAATTGTAGCAGCATATGAAAATGGAAATTTGACTTCACTTTACTTTTTTTAATATGTTTTTTTTTTTTATTTTGTATGTGTAAAATTTTAAAAAGTGTTATTTTCTATACTTTTTAGCATGTGTTTAAAGCGTAAGAAAATGACAATGTTTCTACGTACTTTCACGAATAAAAATTTCGAGATGATTAAAAAAAATATCAGGCAAAACGTGCAAACTGGTGGTATTTTAATTTCCAGATTTTTTAAAAAATGATTCTAGGGATTCGGTAACTGTACTTAGCAATTTCACTGACAAGAAATCGTGTTTACATTATTAAATACAGTGATTAATTTTATATCTCTGGAACAAGCATGCATATATGTATCCTGCTTTTTTGATAAAACCCAGATTGAATTTTATTTAATGAGATATTAATTGCCCGGTAGTGAAACTTGAATGAATATAACTGAAGATGCGGGCGATCATATTTAGTTTAAGGGGCAGCTGTAGTGCTTTATTCCTGTATAAACATCATCAGGACTTCATCTGGTGTATATCAAGCGGGGCTTCTTGTTTGAAGTAACAAAGACAAAATACAGTTGTGGAGGATGTTATCGATATGAATGTGAAATTAATAGAATTAGGTCAACCATTACATGAACGACATTTTTTCAGAAAGATAAACAACGATCTAATTTCATTCACAGATAGATTATTGCATTCTTCTGTCTTAATTTTCTTCCTGGTTATAAAGTGCTATGTCACATCAGAATTTCATTTAAAATATGTTTAAATCGTTTCTCCTTTAACATGTGATTTCATTAATAAAAGACAAATATAAAAGTTCAGGATTGTTTTTCTTGTTTTTACAGAGAAAATGGAAAAAGTGTCATATATTTTTATGTAATACATAAAATAATTAATAAGAAGCCGATGTAATATGCAACCGTAACATTTTTACCACATAATCTGACAATAAAACCAAAGACAAATCTGTCTGTCGATTGTAAGATCTTATTTCAAAAAAGGATACCAGTATTATATAAAACTTTAAAAACTTAAATACGATATTTTTTGATGTTACAAATTTTTTAAAGAATGTTTACAATACTGTAGGCTTGTGTAATATATATACATGATTTATGTAAATATCAAAAGTCACAAGAGTGGTAAGGATCAACATATTTCTGTCAAATTTTCGATAACTGACCCTGGGACCTATATCGTTCTTTGACGTCAAATAATACCACAAAAAGAAAAAATAATAATAATAAACATCATTCTTTGAAATACTTGTCTTAGTTTACAAAATTACGAATTATTGACCCTCGTAATAATTCGTTTTCCTTGGGTCTTAATTATGTGAAAGGAATAATAATTTCAAGGATGGAATTTTTTTTTTTACGATATCGTGACGCTATACAGTCCATTTGAGGCATTTGCCATTTCAATCAAGTATGTTTGATAATCTTTATGCCCACTGAGAAATAACATTTTTTATGTTTCAGACGCCCTATACATTTTGATTTAGCAGATGGTCAGTTTTTAGGATCTTAGAGCAAGCAGTTCCGCGAGGAAGAGCACAATTCGGGAAACCACTGATTTTATACAATATATTCAAGCACCTTGCACCTTGCACCTTTCATGGTTTTTACAAATTCTAAATCAGAGAGAGAGAGAGAGAGAATGAGGAGAGTATACATGTAATCTATAAGATACGAAAACCATGATATATAATATTGAATACTTTTGAAGACCCAGTGTGTTTCAAATAGATTTGTGATAAAATGCAGAAAGATCGTAAAGGTGCGAAAAATTATATCGATCATTAAATCGTTCCTCAGAAGTTGGTTATATATGTCAGATTTTACAAGCTTGCAAGTAAGCGATAGGCCTGTTGGAGACTTGCTTTATTCGTCCCAACATCATTCAGTTTAAAAATTAGCAGAAACCCTAGGAATTTAATGGTTTCTTACACCCCCAATCGGTTCACATAGATAAAACACAGGGGGTGCTTGAGAAACTGAGAAATTGCATTTCGAAGCATTGCATTTTGAAACTTTTTTTTTTTTTTTTTTTTTTAAAGAAATGCTGATCAATGGGGTATAGAAATGTCTTAGTTTGGGAGAGAGAGAAAAAATATATAGTGTGGATGATATCATATTAATCAAAATAGACAAAGCTGATGGAAATTTCTTATTTCTGCTGCTGATATCCCATGCAGCTTATTTTTCTGGAAAATGTCATTCTATGATGGAAGAGAAAAAAATTATTGCTTAAAATAAATCTTTTTTCAAAAAAAAACATAATTTTTATATTTTATAAAATTAGATGAAAAAAATGAAATCGTACTTTGCGGTACAATATTATCAAGCAAGACTATCCAGATTCAAGGAATAAACATATCATATATCATGGTTTATCGAAGAATAAATGAAAAAGTATTGATACATGAAAATAAACTTTTTATCAATATGGCACACTAATTTGTATTTCATTTTTTATTAAAATTAAATGAAACAAAAAGTCAAAATGTTAAACAGCATCAAAATTGAATTTAGGGTTATTTAAGTACTTGTATCCTAGAAAGTCAACCCCTAATCTCAAACTCTGATTTAGAAGATAACAAGGTTGTTTGAAGTGTGATATGCAGTGAACAAGAACCCCAACACAAACAGAGCGGGATCTGGTTTATGCGCATTTATTTTAATTTGTCTGAAACTGAATTAGGGCGAGGCTTTAATTCTAGCGAGAGATGTAGCGTAAGAGAAAAAATACAAAATTAAAAAAAATACCATAGGATCAGCGAAGAAAATCTAGATAAATTGATAAAACAGCTGCAGATCAAATATGTGTTGCTTACATATATTTTTTTGTCTTTGTATTGATATCCACGCCCTCAATATATTATCGGAGCACTTCAATCTTATTGTTAAGAAAACTTGAAGAATCGTCAAGGGTTTGTTGATTTTTATGGCATGAAATTTCCCTGAATAATAACAAAAGTATTAAACAACTATAAACTGTTTAAATGTTGTTGATTTTACAAATATGATTCTTGGTTGTGGTTTATAAACTATTTTGCAAAAATTTCAACACGTGGAGATATAGGGCTTTGCAAAGCTGCACTCCTCTTTCTCACAAACGGAACCATGCAGAATAAAATATTCAAATTTAGTTATGTAAGTTCTTCGATATGCATGCGTAAAAGTTTGAAACTTTATTAAAAGCTGACCTAAATACATCTGGTAATAAATAACAAATTTTTATCTTAAATCCCATGCACTTAAATACCATTGAAATTTAAATTGAATTTCGTTTGTAATTTTTGCATGTTACAAATATATCTGCAGCCAGAGATTAAGTCCTGCACTAAATGTCGCTGGGTTCCAATTTCACAGGAATTCTAAAACTCTCTTCATAATTTTTCTCCCCTCTGATTTGCAAAGACAAAAAAAATAAGAGTAGGAAAAAGAAAAGGAAAATGATATTGAAAAAAAGGAAAATGAACCTAGATATTTAAGTCAGAGATATTCATTTGAAAGATTGGAAACTTTAGCATTTTATATATTAATAGAAAATCATTTAACAAATCATTGAAATATTTAAAGCTTAAGCTTACTATTGATTATATTTTACAATTTCAAAGTATAATTCTCGAATATGAACTATGTTATTTGGCGATTTCCAGTAAAAATCGCTCCAAAGTTTTATGAATAAAATGTTTGAGCATGTTTATATTTTTATTCAAAATATTATTCAAATTTACAATCACAGAAAATGCGTGAACTTAATCTTAAGGTACATTGACGTAAATACATTTTTTATTAAAGGTGACATACTACCACATTTAATGTTTATATCTATCAAAATAAGGTTTTTCTGATCAAAAGATAGAGGAATCATGTTACGCAGTGACTTAACCCTACATTTTATTGTATTTCAAAGCATACCGAACACCGTGAGCATGTTTATGGGAATTGTTATTTGCTTCCTCCTTCATGTATATATCAAATTTGACTTTTAAAAGTTTGTTCTTACTTTCGTTTTTACCCACATCCACCGTGATTAACTTTGCATTCGTAGGAGGAACAATGTTCATTAACAGCTTGTTCATTTGATGCAGTGTCGCTTGTACACTAGACCACATGTTACGTAACGAACATTTTTAGCACCTACATTTTGACCATTTCCTTTAATAAAAACTGATTTTTGTATTGTTCGGTCACTACGTGTTGCACTATTGCTTTCCTTTCCCAGTCACTTTATAACAATTCATACCCTCTCTCCATTTCAATCAGGAAAAAATGTGAAATTCAAAATTTACTTCCCCAGTCAATTTAAGTAGGCTCCCAAACTGTGCACTCTAACTAGCACAATTTAAAGCAACAATATTATTTATTTATGCACTTACACCTTCATATTGTATTGAAATATAACACCACGTACAACATTTGATACAATATTATGAAATGGTTTTCCTTTAGAATACGCTACACACGTCATAAGAAGGTTGTCCGAGAAACCTAACACTCTACATATTCAGGTCATAATATCATGATGACCTTGTTTACATTTAAAATGACAGAGAATAAAATGATATATAATCTTTAGGTGCATAAATAATGAACATGGGAAGTGTGGTTTATTTGTAATGAATGGGCATTCTATTGTGACAAGGTTGTCAAATTTCACACGTCGACTATATAAATGCATGTACTAAAGTGTGGTCAATGAAAAAAATTGTCTGGAAAAAATTATCAGTATAAAAAGTGCTTCTCCACAAAATAATCATTTTCATTAAATGGCATATTCTGAATATTTTTTTTTAAATAAGTAAATATTTTGAATATAAATTAAATTATCTTCACAAAATTCTATAATTTGTTCGCAACTTAATGTGATATTGGACAGATCTCTAAACGCGTAACATTTCCCAGTTACACTCTTTGTGGAGTTCTACAAATACCGAGAGGGAGGTCACTTTTTTCCCAATCTCCATGGACATGCGCGTTCGCACTGTATAACTTGATTCTATTCATTTTTTTTCAAACCTCACTCTTGGGTGCGCAGAGAGATAAGCTTTCAAAAAACAGTTTCATTCAGGTGCCTGGTCCTATAACATGTGGAAAATCATGAGGGAAAATTTGGAGGATTTGACTAGCCCCAACTTGTGGAGATCTGCTGCTGCAGAGCTTCTGGGAACCATGTTCCTGGTCTTTTTCGGGTGTGCAACCGCCACTGGGCAGCAAAAGCAATCTGACAATCCAGCAGACTACGTCCAAATAGCCCTTACTTTTGGGCTGATCGTGGGCACGATGGTATGGGGCATCGCCCATGTTAGCGGTGGTCATATTAACCCCGCCGTAACCTTAGCAGCCCTTGTTACAAGGCGTGTGAGTATTGTCCGGGCCCTGATGTATATTGTGTCACAGCTCATTGGAGCCATTGTGGGAGCAGCAATTCTATTCGGAATAACGCCCTCCAACGCCCGTGCCGGTCTAGGCGTTAACGCAATGAACGGGGAGGTTACAGAAGCCCAAGGTTTCGGGGTGGAGGTAATGATCACGTTTGTATTAGTGTTTACTGTCCTAGCATCAATCGATGAGAAGCGAACTGACCTCCATGGATCCGCCCCTCTGACTATTGGTCTGTCAGTCGTCGTTGGACATTTGGTAGCCGTAAGTAAATTATAAAGCTATTTGTCAATTTTGTTATCTGAAGAAAGTTTGTGAATTTTTCGGTTGTTACAAATAAAACTGACCATCATCAGATGAGTAGTGACCATTAATTTTAGTCGCTCAAGAATCAAGGTCTTCCGTCAAAGTTATCATTTTTAATTTTTTTTTTATTTTTTATTAAATTCCTTTTTCTCAGATATATTTTTTTCAAACTTTTTAAAACACAAACATTTAAGAAAATTACTTTTGACTGTATTTAATTAAAGTTTTAGAAAAGTCCAAGAAAATCTTGCATATTTTTAGTTAAATGATATCAGTGCAGAGGGCGTTGTGTTCTGACAGTGATAAACTATATATGTTTGGCTTCTTTAGGGGGAAATTATTGCTACTTGTGTTGTACAAAGAAACAGGAGGTCAGCTTAATCAAAAGTTTATCTCTGTTTAATGTTCAAATCAGTATAATCTAAACAATTTTGCCTTTACGCCGACCTGCTCATGTTATAAGACGATACACAGGAATGACGCTAGCCTAATTAAGGCAACGTCCATCTGCCTATGTTTATACTTTATCTCTCGTAATAAGATCATATTTTTCTGTGCTATTTCACAAAAAGCCACTTGACTATAGTTTGGGGAATTTGGTTACAAATTAATCGTGAAAAAATTTAACATATGCAAATGAGTTTATTGAATGTGACCTGATAAAGAAAAATTTTACAGAGAGCAAAATAGGATGAAAAAATATTTGTTTTATGTTGATATAGAAAGCGATAAATAAACTTCATATCAAATTCTGACCACTTGTCGAGAACACGTGCGGCCCCAAAACCCAAGATCTTTCACGGTGGCAGACTCTGGCACTTAACTCTATCTAAACAACTGCTTTACAGTGATGGGTCGGAAATTTTTCACCCCACGCGATCACTTCATAAATTATCTTGTTATGGATTAATTTTATTGTACGCTGTGTTTTACAGATCGCCTATACCGGATGTAGTATGAACCCAGCCAGAAGTTTTGGACCCGCTGTCATTCAAAACGCCTGGGACGCCCATTGGGTATGTTGTAAATGAACCTCTTCTTGTGGCTTTGAAAGCAAACATAATTTCTCTCGGAATCATGGGAAATTCAAAAACCATAAGTTAAATCTTTTTTAAATGTGATTCAAAGGCTTACATAGGAATATGACCTAATTTCAGTTGTTTTTTTTTAACTTTAGGTATTTTGGATTGGGCCTTTTGTCGGCAGTTTTGTCGCAGCTCTTCTATATGAATATATTTTTTCTGCTGGGGCCACTTTTGGAAGAACTAAGCGCTGCTTAACCAGAAGCAGAGCGCGACCAGAAGCGGAAAAGGCCGATGAGCTGGAAAAAGTAGAAATCGGTGAAATCGAGGAAAAGAAGGAGCCGGAATCCGAGGAAGATCAGGTGAAGACTCAAAACGGACAATAAATTGTGACTGTTAAGTCGATGGCAGTTGTGATTAACAGTATTTCTTCCCATTTGTATACATATAGTTCAGTAACTGTAACAGTTATTTAACTTTCAAAACCGTGTGGTAATTCAACACCAAACTGCGACGGAAAACGTCGATTACGCTTTTATGTATAATCTGGCTAGTTCACACTATCACTGAATACTGTAATTCTCATCAAGATTAGCATAATAAGTATCTATAACTACGCAATTACAGTTTGCACATTACTATTTGAATGTAATGCCATAATTGCAATTTTTATTAGCTTCTTATCGAGAAACAAGCGCCAGCTGAATAACCCGGGTGATAAGATGTTTCCTGGCCATCATTAAGTCTAGAGATATTTGGAGGTATCAATTTAACCACACAACAAGCATGTGATTGAATACTTTCTAAAAATATATAGCCTTTTTTTTTTTTTTTACTGTTTTTAGATTCAAATTACACTGACAGTTTATGTATGTTGTAAGAAATTGTGCAACAAGTTTTGACGTGTCCCTAGTGACATTTGTAAATGATGAGTGAGATTGTAAAACATGGATGTACTTTATGTTTTAGATAAATACATATATGACATCGTAACTCAAACTTTTATTCGAAGTCGATTTGATAAATCATATTCACGCATGCGTTTATCATTATGTTAATGAAATAAATCATTTGTAACACTTAAACAGAAATACGGAATGGTCGACGGGTGATTTACTGACATTTTCACGCCACATTAAGAGTGAGAGAGCGTTAAGTAGCTTGAAATAGCATGTACAAAATGCCATTTTATTAAATCATTTGACATCAATTGTAAACTATTTTACAACCACTGCAATGTGTACAATGTATCATTGAATTGGGCTAAGAGATGTGCACCAATTTAGCTAGTAAATGTTGTAGCAACATATTTCTTTATATGTGTGGCCTTATTTATACGTACTTATATTTTAATTTGTAGTATATTGATATCTTACCACTATATATAGCAATATTGTAAATATATTTACAAGATATTAAATAAATTATGAATAATATCGGACTGTGTGATGCTTGGTTCATTTCTGTGCACATGTAGGAAATGCGAGTTTAATTTTGAATTTTCGTCAGAATTATAATGTCCCCTCTAGGTGTCCAGTCTAATTTTATTCCGGACAAACCTTTCTCTAACTCCTCTGATGGGCGTGGTCAACTGCGCAGACTGATCAGTGTCTCATCAAAATAGTTCCATACATAGTACATACATAATGATATTTTCATTTTTATGTTTGTATATATTGGAAATTAATTAAATTTTATGTAAAAACAATAGGCCCAAGGACATCAACAGTCACATTAATATAAAACTACACTTTAAATTATAAATAGAAGTTATTTAAATGAAAAATATTTTAACCAAAAGATGAAGTTATACCTCTCAGAAGCAAAGAAGGGGTGGCGATCAGGGATCCTCAATTTTTTTTTAATTGGAAGAGTCAGTAAAGAACTCGATAGCAAATCTTAAAATAAATGTATCTACTTGCGGTTTGTTCCCGTTTTGCACACATTTGAATTTCAGGCATAGAAAAAATGTGTGCCTGTCCTTGCCACTATCACCACAAAAGTACACAAGTATGATTGGAAACTATAATTACATGTAGTACCTACATGTATTTCACTCCCTGTTACATAGGCCTCTTTTCCGTCTTTGAAGAACATTTATCGTTAAAAATTAGACATCTTTGTCCTAATTTTATATAATTGTTTTTTTATCAAGTCATTTTGGTCATTAAAAAACTAAGAAAGTATATTTTTCATTTCACAGTTTGAAATTTCTTGTAAAATTTTCTAATTCAATTTACTTTTCAATCACGTCATTTACAGTGATTTATTATGATCATAGGTGAATAGAAAAGGGGAATAACACCTCAGTAGAATACATTTAAATATAGTTCTGCTTCCCATCACGCCTTACCCCCTCTTCAATGTCCCTGACACAACCTTCACATTTTTGGAATCGACGCCCTTGCTCAACATAATATCATGCATCTAAAATATCTGCTAAATATATAGGGCAATAGGAGAACATTTCCAAAGAATTATGCATTTTCAATATAACTAGGATCATTAGAACCCAACCCTATCCCCAGAACTCTTGACTTTGGGGCCATAAATTTCACAATGTATGTAGAAAGATCAATGTTCATTACAAATAATGCCAACAGTTGAAATGCTTAATGTCCAGTAGTAAATTAAAGTAGCTTTTTAACGATAGCTATGGCACGTCAAATTCACAAAAATGAGCTAAACCTAGTTTCACAATTGATAAACTAGGTTTATCGACTGTAAACTATAGTTTACAAACCGTAAACTATAGTTAACGATTCGTTAAGTATAGTTTTCATCTGTAAAACTATATTTAACGGTTGTTCACTATAGTTTACGAATGCAAATCTAAGTTTATCTGTCGGTAATAAAACGTTAACAATAGATTTTGTTGATAAACATAGATTCACGTCTGTAAACTATAATTTACGATCGTTAAACTATAGTTAAGGGTTGTAAACCATAGTTTACAAATCGTGAAACTGTATTTATCAGATAATCTATGTTTTGCGATCGCAAATGATTGTTTTGGGTGTTAAGTATAGTTTACGGTTGTGAAACATAGATTATTGCGCTAACTATGATTTACAGATGTAAAATATAGATTAACGTTGTTAACTATAGTTTACAGTCCGTAAACTATAGTTTACAACAGAAACCTAGTTCATCGACTGTGAAACTATGTTTTGCTCATTTTTGTGAATTTGGCGATAGCAGTAATTTTAAAGGTTAAGCTCCACCCCTTAGGCCCTAAAAAAAATGTCGGAAATGAAAACTAAAAAATGTCGGAAATGAAAAGTTGATAATTGCTAAAAATTCCGGAAATGAAATGCAGCCCAAAGAAATGACTTTTACATATACTATGCATATCCCTTTCCAATATGGCGGAAACGGCTGTATTTCATTTCCGAAATTTTTAGTAATTATCAACTTTTCATTTCCGACATTTTTTTGTTTTTAATTCCGACATTTTTCAGATCGCACTTTTTCTTAACAGATTTGAAGACTTTACCTGTGAAAAATTTAAAGGAATACAAATCACAAATATATCATTGAAATCCAATTTGAGTTTTTGTAAATTTATCAATGAAACGACTGTGAAAATGGAAAATGCCTAAACTAAAAGTTTGAGTGATTGATTCAATGTTAAACTTTACTCTTCGCAGATGAAAAGCAGAAAAAATAAAGTTCTGTGTAGAGCAGAACAATAAATGCGGTATCAACCGGTGTAGAAATTCGATTAGAGTACATCAAGTGTCTTAGACATATAAGTACATCAAGTGTCTTAGATATAAATTTGGTTTTGTCAATGACATTTACTTTAGTGCACATTAAGGGGGCCGACTCCAGTTTTCATTGCGCAATATTTCGCGCATCATAGTTAAATGAAGCGTATTTACTGTTTTAAAGCAACTTTTTTTCACTTGATTAATAAAATTAAACATAATTAAGAAATTACAGGTTTAAAAATGTAATTAAAATTTTATATAACGGAATTTGTACCCGATTTTGCAACTGAAAGGTAGGTTGACGTCGTTATATGGCGTTTTTGAAGTTATGATAAACTGAAGATCTTATAAAAGAAAGGGGTAATTAAAATGTTATTAAATAAAAAGTAATAAACATACGCTCTTGAAATTTACTACATACGAATTTGATAATCCCTTCATCATATTTTATTATTATTTTTTTTTGTATAAAACCTATGTATGCGTCATAGTTTGTAGCACTCTATAATAAGAGGAAAATTCGTTTATTTTTGGCCTTGAGATGCCCTCTCTGGTAACAGGACGATAGAATTTTGTGTTTCTTACACATAATGTACAAGATAGTATTACTCATCATATATTATAGTTTGAACAACAACGCTATTGTAGTATTTGTATAATTTGCTTTAAAGTGCTAAAAATCGGCACTTTGCTATATAATCCTATAGTAAATGTACCTATGATTTGAGATGGTCCCTTAGAAATACCTGAACGGTAGACTTCGCCCAAACTTTGCATGTACACTAAAGTTAATGTAAGTTATATATGGTATAAAAATGAAAAGTTTAGCTATTGTAGTTTTCACGCAACAAAACCACAGTCGGCCCCCCTAAATGAGGTGAAAAAGTTGTATGTTGATTGAACTCTTTTACCTAGACTAGCACCTAGTGCTACATGTATGCAAATATGTATAACAAATGGATATATATATTTTTTAATAAATATTTTGCAATAAAAACTTTTAAAATTTCATTTTTGCTGACTAGGAAAACAATAAATTGCCGCAAGGTAAATTCCGGAAGTGAAAATGAAATTATGTCGGAAATGAAATGAAAAAAATTCGGAAATGCTATGCAGATTTCCGGATATGAAATGCAGCGTTTCTTTGACTGTAATAAATTGTTCAGGCTCCGTCGTCACTAATATTACTCAACCTCAACCTCAATACGATGATATAATATTGACTCAAGGTCATGTCTCACAGGTTAAGATAAACTGGGGTGCCCAGTTTAAGATTGAAGGGTGCAACTTTTGCATTAAATAATAAGACTTTTATGTTCTGTTGGATTTTTATTTGCACTAGTTGAAATTGTTCATTCCAGCATAAACAAAGATTTCGAAGCATTTTTTAGTTTAAAAATGAGAGTGGATTATACATGTACAGCATTTTATTAACAACGATTATATGACACTGTATGATTTTTGCGGCAATAAAAATTTAGATTTTTTCGCTCAAAATATTAATCGGAGGACATGTGCACCTACTTCCTTGTTCAATGACTTTCAAAATACCTCTGAAGGTTGTATGTCAAAACAAACAGGGAATAATGCAGACTAACGTATGTTGGTAGGCAGGTGAATTCGCTATTTGGGAGACAACAACTTGTTTACGAAGAATATTTGCACCAGTTTTCCATTTACAGGAATCAAAGAAATCTGACCAAGGTTAAAGGTTATATGATTGACCTCCTAATGTCCTTCACCTTTGATAACGGCATACAGCTACATATTAATGTAACAAGAGGCACAGGGGCCACATCGCTCACCTGAGGCTAGGAAAAAAGCAAAAATCAGTTTAGTATTTAAAAGCTTAAATGCATGAGTGGTCCCTTTGATCCCCTTCTACTGACCAACTATAATGGCTCCACCCTACCCCCGGGGGTCAATATTTGAACAAACTTGAATCTTCACTACCTGAGGATGCTTCCATGTGAGTTTCATCTTTCCTGGCCCAGTGCATCGTCTCAAACCACGGTCCGGAGTCTGCGTGGGAGAGGAACGTACATTTTGGCCGTGGTTTGCGACGATGGGCCCAGTGTTCCTGGAGAAGAAGATTTTAAAGAATGCCATTAATTGTTCACCAATTCATAATTATCGCCCCTTAGAAGAGGGCATGGCCCTTCATTTGAACAAACTTGAATTCCCTTCACCCGACGATACTTTGTGGCAAGTTTGGTCCTTGAGAAGAAGATGAAAATTTGAAAAGTTTACGACAACGACGCCGACGACAGACAACGGACAAATTTTGATCAGAATAGCTCATTTGAGCCTTTGGCTCAGGTGAGCTAAAAATGTACTTCTTTGATTTATGAAGTTCAGAAAGATGACCTACTTTAAAAACCATTTAGAAAATATAAATTTGTACATGTGTGTCAATTTCCTTGTTTTATTTCCTAAGTCAATTCACATGAGCGGTTTCCAAAAATGTATGGCAATTCAAAGTCATTAATAAACTTTTTTTTTCATTTCTGAATTACTTTTAAGAATCACACCACTTCTGGATATCCATTGAAGCAAAACTATAACGGCCATGCTCTTGTCCATATCAAAATGCTCAGTGCTATAGAATATATATTGAGCAACCTGATAGGAGAAACTATTTTGTGAGAAAATTATACAGGTTTTATAAATACAATGTAGATTAGTGCGTGTACATGGTATAACAGTATCACCGTGACTTGACTTAAATAGATGATGTGCGGGAACAGCTTTCAAATGTTAATCTGTCGGTAATGCTTTTTTGGTATTTATGGGACTAAAAGGAGAGTCAAAACATTTCAGCACCTAAGACGTTGTTGCAAAGGTATGCAATCAACAGATCACTAAGTATATACCAGACAATACTGTCAGGACACTACTGAAGAAAATTCATAAATTATTACCCCTTTCAGATGTCCAGTATTTGATTGATTGATTGTTGTTTAACGCCCCTCTCGATAATTTTTCAATCATATGGAGTCGCCACCACTTTAGGAGTCAATGTCTACTTAGTATAGTATACCAGGGCATCAACGATAGTGGGAAATGTGGGATAATTAATTTGCATAACAGGCGTTATGCAAAAATTACCCCATGTTTCCCACTATCGTTGATGTCCCTGGTATAATATGCTACCTAGACAGTGATTCCTTATATTTCCATTTTATTGTTTAGATAAAGGTTTAGATTTAAATTACACAAGCCCTCCCACTGACGTCAAACTCAAAGACAGCCGCACGAGATTTACATGCATATTTGGCCTCCTTAGCGTCAGTCACAAAGACAGACGCGCACGAAATTTGCATGCAAATTACGCCTCTTTAGTTCCTGACCTATCCATTTGCCTAATTTACATTACTTGGTCACACATGTTACTTTTGTTTAGATGCAATGAACAGTACCTCTGATAAGAGAGTTCCTGACCTATCCATTTGCCTAATTTACATTACTTGGTGCACACGTTACTTTTGTTTAGATGCAATGAACAGTACCTCTGATAAGAGAGATAACTCTCAAAGGAGAATATTTACATTTGCAAATATCTTTCTTAGAAGAGAAAATACGTTCAATTCTGTATGAATTTCATTTGGGGGTCAGAGGTCATAGCGCGACCGGTACCGGATCACAGAGCGATGTGATATTTTGACCAAACAACTTCTAGGTCATTGCGCATCACTACAAAGAATTACGTTGGTCCGTTCGTGTAATAAATACAATTTAACTCGAAATGTATTCGTTTCAAATGTAAATATAAGAAATAAACAACAATTTTAAAAAGTTCACTGGGAAATGAACTTTTAGTCGGTACGTGATCAAATCTACTGAGAAGCCCTTCGGGCTTCACAGGATTTGATCACGTGACCAACTAAACGTTCATTTCCCAGAGAACTTTTTAATATTGTTGTTTATTTCTTAATTATTCCGAGAAATCCAATGATATGTCCTACCAGAATTTAATCATGAAGACCATTATATGGTTAATTTAAAAAAATCAGAACCATGTTAAAAATACTGATTCCTTTCTTCTTAGTATTTCAAACATTGAGAGATTTTTGCATATTGTAAAAAGATTTTAAATGAAGAATACTTTAATGTTCAATGAATTATCAAAGAAAATTTTGTTAATGAGATTTAATTTTTTACCCTCATGTTTGTCCACCAAAGGCATTCTGCATGTCATGTTCATCCATCTTCTTTTTCTGTTTCAGATTATACAATTAGTTGAGAAAAATGAGTGATAGGTTATCAATTTTGTCTGGTGTAAGATATGGGGAGGTCTCACCATGCATTTAGGGTTCATCTTACCTCTGGTCACTCGTATAAAATTTAACTTTAATGTTTATAATCCATATAATTATTTTTGTTACAAATACGAGGGGTGATCAAAAAGTTCGCGAACTGCTAGTATCTCTATATATTCAAAACGTTTAGATTCGATTTAGATCAGAATGAAATTTGACACACCTATAGTCATGCACATGTTCTATAAATAGCATATGAAAAGTAATGATTTTTTTTCCATCATTGTGACGTCACAATGTGAAAATGACGTCAATATGTAGGTTACTCGTGACGAAAAATGGTTTTCTCTGTCTTACTCGTTCAACGAACGGCTGTAAATTTTAACGTATAACTTGGAAATTCCTTTAAAGTACCTTATAATAATTATTACAAAGTTTATGAAGAAAACAGAAATTCCAGACGTTTAATAATAAGTTGGATTGATTATTATAGTGAAGGGAGGGAGATGGTTAAAAATGGTTTAAAATGACGTTTGTTTTGTACCGCCAGCGAAAGCAAACTGGGGAAGAGATGTGTCCTTTGTAATGCAATTTGTCATGAAAGATTGCGAAGTTGTTCGAAAAATGATTGAATATCTTAACAATATTATTAATATTTAATCCCTAAAATATCTTTAAATTTTGACATTTATCATATTTAATATGATAAAGAGAAGGCCCCGTACGACTAAATCCATATTTGATAAACGACGTTCCTAAGATAGAGATCTCAGGTTGTGATGGTCACCATGTTTTTTCTGGGAAAGGATAATTATCCTTATCCAACCATACTATCTCCGAAATTTGGTCATTTGTGACAAATGGGTCACAAATGGGTCGTTCTTGTTATAAAAATCAATTTGCATGGTAAGAAATATTAAGACTTGGAAAAACATTTTTGCGTCTATGAACAAAATGCTTCAGGGCATATCACGTGACCCCCTGGATCACGTGATTCGCGCATGTGTGGAATGATGGCAGATGTGCATTAAAATCAGAGAGGGCAAATTTAAAATCAAAGTACTCCCAGGTATACAGATCTACAGGTATAAGATCTTTTAACACTTGTATAATAATCAAAGTACTCAGAAGTACAGAGAGCCGGGCTCATTTACAGAGTAGAATGAATTTCTTACATGAATCACGTTTATATTCTGATGAAAAAATTATTTTAAAACTATCAATATAAATGATAAGACACTGACAGTGAGTTTTCAATCCTAGTACCACGGTCCGATTTTGTCAGAATCAGAAAATCTGGTAATGCAGCTTAATGTAAACAAACAGGCCAGTCTGGTTCCCTCTCCTGCTTTACCTCGTATGTGTAGAGAACTACGATAACACTGATTATCAAAAATCCTTACGATAATGAACTATGTTCTTTGACTTAAGACTGAAGTTTTCAAAGTCATGACTACTAATGTTTATTTATATAGATAAAACTTCGTTTTATTTTTGTTGCTTTATTAGCGTTTGTATTATCTCAAAAGCGATTGAGAGTAAGAACTATATTTTTGCATGTAACTTTAAAATGGCGACTATGGGGTTGACTTCCTGCTTTGAACAGGATGATATAAGCCGGCAATTGCTCTTTGAGCAATAAGCCCGGCTAAAAATAATGAACATTGAAACCTAATTTTATTTGTTTTATGGAAGTAATTCAATTTGTTCGCGAACTTTTTGATCATCCCTCGTATAATGCAATCCATTTCAGCATAGTTAATGCAGAAAACATTTGACAAAAAATCGGTCCTCTACTTGAAAATTTTATAAAGGTACATGTATAAAAGACATTTATCCCAGTTAGAGTAATAAATCTTTTCAGAGTATTGTTATTTGATTGATTGTATGTTGTTTTACGTCCTATTCGAGAATTTTTCTCTCTTATACACAAAATAGAAGATATAAATGAAAGGTAATGGTGGAATTAGATTCTTAAATATTTTCATACTAAATTACACTGATAATAACACTAGCGGCTGATACCGAACCTTAGAGAGTTAAGAAATTTATCCAGAAACGTGAAGAGAAGAACTTTTCTCTCTTATACACAAAATAGAAGATATAAATGAAAGGTAATGGTGGAATTAGATTCTTAAATATTTTCATACTAAATTACACTGATAATAACACTAGCGGCTGATACCGAACCTTAGAGAGTTAAGAAATTTATCCAGAAACGTGTCAAAATGACTAACATAAATGATGATGCAATTAATTTCTAGCCCTAAGATAAATAATGCGGAAGATCAATTATTCGTTTCAACAAACGATTCGCTTGAAAAAAAAATAGAAGATTTTGCTTTTAAACATTTTTAAAGGTTTTAATTCAACAAGTGAGTCGCCATTTTGTGAGATCCCAGTCCTTGATGAGAGTGATAAGTTGACGAGGGCGGTGACTGGAATGGCAGACCTGATTTCGTTTATGACTCCCCTGACTATGGCTATCAACATACTCCACGTGAAACACTGCCTGTAATACAGGTGTTTAAAAAAATGTTTTTGGACACAGATGGAATTATCTGGAATAAAGGTGCATATCTATAACTTAGAAATTCCCCAAGGAAAATAGTTCCAGGAACGAATCACTGCATGTTGCTTACCGCTTAAATGGCGAAAATTCATCATTCAAATAACATGTTCAATGTATCTAACTTTGCCTTATATAAAATATTAGTAAGGATTTTATATGATTAAAATATAAAAATATTTCAAGTTAATTAATTTCTTGTCCAAAGGTAGATTACTGCTAACTGCATAAAATACCACACAATCAGACTGAATTCTTTAGTTTGGAGATATAGGTTACCCATGTGTAAAGGTTCAAAATATGTTAATTTGGCGTTCCATACCTATGCGGATCTAGAGGGGATACTTGATCAGTAACCTATAATGTATATGTTATTTTAGTACCTTCCCAGCATCGAAGAATGGTTGATATTTATTGCATTCGTTGTAATGGACACATTCTTCATTTAGAGCCCAATCAAAATGGCTGACAAGGGAAGCAATTTGATCCACATCGTTCTTCAGGCCAACTGATAGACTCCGGGAGTGCGCCTCTGGAAAAATTTATCACAAAGACAGTGAGACTTGCTATTCATTCTCATTTTTCATTGAGTTAAAGTGTTTGCTAAGTATATTAATATTTTATGATTTTTTCATTAATGAAACTTCACAGAACAGTGGAGAAAATGGGAAATGAAAATGTATTTTGGGATGGGGGTTTAAGACTTTGATCTTTTCGTAGTTATTGATGAAATTCAATTTGAATCCCTATAAAAATTATCAGTCTTGCTAGTTTAAAAGACGGGTTACGATCGCACAATTCAGATTAATATTTACATTTCCAATGTCTTTGTCCGAGATAAAATTACCAATTGTAAATGTAATTGATTTCCTCATGAATGTTTTGGCGATGTTCCAAAAAAAAAACCACGTGCAGGGCGGGACAACACCTAGAGAGAAGCAGGCTTGGAGCCCGTGGATTGGCGGAATCAAAGCATGTAAATATAAGGAATAACTGTCAGATTTTTCGAATTCATGAAGATGATCAATGGATTGGCTTGTGTGATAATTTTATGCATAAACGCCTTCGGCGTTTATGCAAATTATCACACAAGCCAATCCATTGATCACTTCATGAATTCGAAAAATAAGACAGTTATTCCTTAAATGAAAAACAGAATAACTGCATCTTTATCAGTATTCAGTCCATTTCAGTAATCGATAAAGTATTAGAAAAGTTGACGAAATCCAAAGATGAGTTTGAAAATCGTTCAGGTTTTTTTTCATTTAACCTTCGGACACATGAAAGATAACATCATCTTCACATCCTTGAAGTTTTCAGTTTTACCACATTTACAAAATTAGATTTTAATGGGTTTTTTACTTCAAAATTTTGCGATAAAAGTGTAAGACAGGACCTTTGTCTTATTTTAACTATCAGTCTCATCCAAAAATGCATTTTGTCCTCAGAGCTCTCAGTTATATAATATGTACGAAATGAGACACGTACCACTTGCCAGCCACTTGTTGTAGGTCAGCTGATCGCTTGCCGTCAGACCCAGTCCGTTGTTGTTAGAGTACCCATCTACATTGTCCGGTTCCACACCATCACACCTTCGTGAGGCAGCCTTGTCAAGACGTTTTCGCATGATAGCTTTTACTCTTTTTTAAAAAGAAAATGAAGTCTTAATTTCATGATATGGTCATAATCGACAGATTTGTTAAGACAGTTCATGGTGGATTTCTCGAATTAGGTTGAATAACTCTCCCAGGGTCCCTTACACATATGGAGATCGTAAAGTGCAATGTTTTTGGGCGATTAAAACATGCCCGATCTCGTGTCATCTCGAAATGCCTCAAAAAAGGCAGTTTCTTTGTAACTTGTATTAGAGATCACTGAGCAATCGTTGAAAAATTTGGGATATTCATTACAATTCATGGTCATCTGTCCAGTTAAAGTGAACATACTCAGTAAGCGGAAACTTCTTGCATCTTGCATTCTCTCTCGATGTGGTTATTTTATATATTTCTATCCGATGTACAACAATATTATCAAAGACTTTATTACATGTATCTTTGATAATTCATACCGGTCATTTGATTTTTGCAGAGATGGGATTTTCTTCAATGTTCCTGTATTCAACGCGAAATTTAGATATATCGACGAAGAATTGTAAGTAAGCAATGGTTAATTCCATTCGTATGTCGATAGGATATATCCCGGTTAGCTTAAAATAAAATATACCACAATAGCATGCTCTGTGTATGAACAATTTTAAAACGAGGTAAGTTATTGACAAACAAGTTGATGAAACAAAAATATCAGCAGTCTCTACAATGTACACTAGAGTTCTGATTCTATGGTATTTTTTGTAGTTAGAATGACCTAAATTCTAAAAAAAAAAAAAATGAAATTTATTGTATATTTATCATTTTGTTATCAATTCAACTATTCTTAACATCTTAAAGTGTATGTAAAGGGTAAGATAAATTAATTGAACATGTTATTTACATGTATTTTTTCTATGGAAGTAAACAACAATGATTTCTATTCACTGATACTGTGTTGTATTTGATCTCGGGGTAAATGCTAGGTGCCATAAAATGAAAATTAAATAGATAAGCTTAATATTAACACCCTTACACAATATATTTTTCTCAATGTCCAAAAAACATTTTTGACTGGTGTAGAGAGGGTCCTTAAAGTCATCATTTCTTAAGTTCTATGGTCGATACAATGACCTTGTCAGCAAATACAATTTATCATTAAGTCAAATGATGACTGGCGTTTTTCATATAATTTGTACATTAGGCCATTATTTAAGCCGGACTTTCTGTTATATCCCAATCAAGACAAGGAGCACGCGGCGGGTGTGACCGTTCGGCAGTTCTTATTGGCACCCGATCTTCCTCTGATATTTTAAAGGTTCGTGTTTGATTTGCTCCTAAATTCGAACTGTTTTATGGACTCTTGAATACTGTTCGTTATCTCCATATACATGTATTACATCTTACTGATATCTTTTACGAAAGTTTGTGTTCAACCATTAGTTATATATACAGGTTTTCAGCATATGCTGATGATTGAGTCATTTATAATCCAACATATTTCTTTAGAAATTTCTAAATGTAATGTATTTAAATAAGTCTTAGAATGAGATTAACGTAATGAAGGAATCATAATTCAGATGAGACCTGTCATCACGAATGTCCAGCCATTTTTCACCCTCCCAATCCTCCAGATTGTTACCGAGGACATCCGAAGGGAACTAGGTCTTGTCTTGACGCCAGTTTTCATAACTTCCAGCAGAAAAGTAACAAATCACTTTTCGCCCCATGCTGAAATTGATTTAAAGTATATTTTTGATAGTACATGTACACATGTATTACAATAATACTCTTTGTAGATATAAATTTCTATAATATTCTTTTACCTGTGAAGTTTATCAATCGTACTCTGATCGACATCAAACAAATCAATATCGAAGACATGAGCGTTCACTGATGTATCAATATGTCCGGAACTAAGTTCCCATTGCCACGTATCAGACACACGCGGTTTCCAAATAGCACCACCAACTACCGAAAACAACACAAAAACCGCTGACCACCGACACATTGTAAGTCTCTAACAGGTCATGATAAGAACAACTTCAACAAAATTTACAGTCCTGTAGATATATATATATACCAATACTAAGGTCATTTAATGTGACTCATAGATTCATTAATTAAGCAACATGTGGTGCTCAAATTTGCGTTTTCAAAAGTATTGCGTCATACATATAAATAAGTCCTTGGCAACAGTACAAATGAGTAATAAATAGCTTTGTTTTTGTTTTACTTTTTTTTTCAAAAAAAATCTTTTAAGGCATTTCCACTCTTCTGTGGTGTCATAGACAATTCAGACCTATTAGAAAAATGTCTTTTGAATGGACGCTTTTCAATAGGTGTAGTGCAGATAATTGTTAAGTAAAAGAATTATAAAAATGTTTAATTTCTATATTTAAAATTAATCAATTACTAGTATTCAACCTTTTAAAATGTTGTCATGAGCAATAACTCCTCATGTATTCATGCATTATTTTTATTGTACCCTGATAATCACAATTCTAGTCATACATGCCAACTTTCCCGATTTAGGCGGGATCCTCCAGATTTTAACCTTTCATCCCGCTTTCCCGATCGTGAAAGAAAAATTGCCCCAATTTCCCGATTTGAAAAAATCACCAAAATTTCCGATTATAAAAGATTCCCTACCGCTGAATTTTGACAATCGGGATAACAATGTCAAACTTGTTTATTCAATGCACTCAGATAAGTTTCATTGTTTATTTAACAATGTGAATTAGCCACAGGAAATCACTTCACGCTTGAACGCACGCAGCTGTCCAGCCTACTCCAGGTACAAGTAGCTTATAGCTTGGGGCAATTAGGGGATTATCTTGTCATTTTTAAGGGGTATGCAAGGTGAAACACATAGATTAACGTGTTAATTGTTAGTCATTTTATTAAAAACATAAATTAAAGACAATGAAATATTAATCAAACTATAAAATCGGAATCCAAAGAGATCGTTTTTTGAAAACGAAAGTAGATTTTATCTACCTATAATAAAAAATATTGTAAAAATTGCCAGTTAAAATATTATGAAATTAAGATGAAACAATCAAGTGTATGTCAGTTAGAATTTCTTTTCCCTTCCTTCTCCCAAAAGTAATATTTTATAGGTATGTGCATGACTTAAGGAAATACCCACATGGCACCATCAAGCCTGACAAATTTCATGACTGTAAAAAAAAATAATTCTGCTTTGGATAGGTGGTATAAATTTCATTAAATTTAATACCTTATTAGAATCTCTAATTAATTGAAATATAATTAAAAAATCTCAAAAATGTTTCCAGAAACAGGACTTTACAGTATCAAAACCTCATATATTTTTTAGCCTTTGAAAAAAATGATTTAAAAGTTGTACAGTTTTCAATTTTTCACTAAATTATGTGTCCTTGTAGAAAAAAAACATACTTTTAATGAGAGAAGCACTTATTTCAGCAAAAATATTTCAATTTTGAAAAAAAAAAAAACAATTTTTTTTAAAAAATTTTTTTCATTAATTTTTTGTGTAAAATTAATTCTTAAGTTGTATTAATAAGTGATATAAAATATTATACATTTAAAAAAAGATCATTTCATTATCATTTAATTTCACGACAAAATGTCGCGAATTTAAAGCTTTGAAAATTGTCGCCACGCGCTAAATCCCCCATGGGAATTTTCAAAAGTTGGCATGTATGATTCTAGTATTTATTAAAGTATCAATTTCTTCGGAACTTTTAGCATCAGAATTGTGTATTTTAATCAGTTTTTTCTAACGTTTATAATACTGTTCACTAAAAATAAACAATTTTTAATGTTGATATACACTTCTGTCTTCCCCGACTAATTACAATTAGTCTCAATACTTCATGGCAATTGAAAATTGTTGATTAGTGAAAAACACTTCGGTTTTATATTGTCTTATTTCTTTAAAAATATGGCAACCTATACAATTTTACTATTATTAGTAAATTTTAACTTTATTCACTGAAAATAAAATAATGCAGTTTTTCTACTTTTAAACCCATAAAATACCTTAAAAGATGTTTAATAGATAAAAAATAAAAAAGGACATTGCAAATTAGCGGAGCATCATCTAGCAAAGAGCATATATACTGAATATCTTTAAATCAAGACAACATTCATTGAATGCAAATGTCGTCACTTCCGTTACATCGAATGCAAATGTCGTCACTTCCATTACACACAGGCAATCGGCAATCCTCGGCTGACTCCGCTACGCTCCATTCAAACTTATGTGCGAGGTACGAGTCATCCGGAGGAACTCCGATTGACACACAGGAGGGTTGGGAATCATATTTTTTTTTTACAAGTATGGACATACTCTGCCTTTTTACAATAATTACATGTGTGAAGTATAAAAGCCCTAACATCAGCTGTTCAAAAGTAATGGCTAGAAATTTTAAAGTTGGGTAAAATTTTGCAAAAGTGGGTCAGACGTCAAGGTCAAAAGGTCTTGTCATAAAAAATACACATATGAAATATCAAACCATAGCGTACTCTCAACCAATCAAAAATTATGGCATACTTTTGTCATAATTATGTTGTATTACAAAGTAAGTGATGTATACTTTGCGGTTTTGAATTTCCATGTTTTCCTTAAGATAGCACCATTTACAAAAAAAAATCGCATCAAAATTTATATGGTTACGCTGTGTTTCAATGGCAACTATGAACGTTTTTATTAGAATAAAATTGCTGTGACGGTATTACATAAGGCTGAATATTTCTAGATTTTTTTCGTTTGTTGTTTATTGAGTTTCATCATGTAACACGTATCGTCAGTGAAATTTTTCACCATTTATCATTTCGAAATTAATGTAATCCAAATGCACGTATGATCTAAGTTAATTAAATGACACTCTTGATTACCTTGTTTCATCCACTTATTTGTCAATAGTTTGCTTCGTTTCAGTAATTTTCGTATCTAGATCATGTTTTGATAACATGCTGGCGATAAGGGTACGTTGCTTTGTACATATGGGAATCACATAAATGCTTTGTGGTATTAATCTTATCAGAATCACTTCTGTAAATGGAATCGCTTTTCTTCTATTTGTTACACATGCAGGTCACCCATTTCCAAAATCAGATTTTCAGTATCTACGAGGGTCTATAGCACTATATAAAACCAGAACCTCGTTCAAAGATAAGAAGAATCTCGTTCTTGATACTTAAATGACAATGTTTGTTTTTATTTTACTTGCTTTAGCGATAGGTATCGTAGAAAGTAGGTGGCATCCTCACCAGCATATGTCTTGGAATGACGTCATAGGGGAAAATCACATCAACACTGGTATTCACGGGGATGTGTACGTCATCGATTTGTTCAGTCCCGCTCATCAAAGTCTAATCCCCAGTTTACACAGGTAATGTGTTGTTTCAATTTATTTTTAAAAACCAATAAAGGAATATTTATATAACTCTTTATACGAACGTTTAGGAGTATCGTTCGTTTTGTTTTTCATACTTCCGCACAGAAAAAAAAATACATTTTATTCTTATTTTTTTTATCAAATACTTTGATATTAAGAAATAAAATTTTAAAATCAACACGATAGACATATACATATATGTACTTTTATGAATTTTCAGTAAAGGGAAGAGAGTGGTCTGCTACTTTTCTGCTGGTACCTTTGAAAATTGGAGACCAGACAAAGATGACTTTCCTCCGGATGCCCTCGGGAACAAAATGCTTCACTGGGAGAATGAGTGGTGGGTAGACATCAGAGACACAAGGTTAGCAGTGCTTGGGGGGGAGGGTAATTTTGTGGAGTACGTTGAGTGCGTTGTGGAAATATTGTCTTCCATCAATTTCCATTTTTTAAGAAATCTCTGTTCCACCTGTTCCCTCTTGCAAATAACAACAGATGTTTTCATAGTTCTTTTGTTTTTATAGCAATATTAGAATATGTTGTCCATAAAGAAGAAAAACCAGATGGTCTTACAGAGATTTTTTAAAAAGCTTATTAAAGTTAAGAGAATCGAACATATGTTTTAGACTGCTTGATGTACGTTTCGGAGTAAAGAAGGGATTTTTCAAAAGATACCACGAATTTTGATCGTTTTGGTATATGTATGCATTCAAAAACTGGAATCCATGTAACAAGAGAGATGAATGTGAGCGGGAATGTGGCTGATGTTCAACTTCTTATGGGCTGAAACACTTTCGGTCAGTCATAAATGGGAGCAGGAACTGACTAGTTAATACTCAGTAGACCGCTTTGACATTTGTTACTGTGTAAAGACCTGTTTGGTTGTTCCCTTATCACATGCTTTCTCCTGCTTTGGGGCAACATATCTTCGATCATCTATGTTTGTTTTGTACTTCAAATATGTGGATCCTGTGAAATGCTGTATATATCATACTAGTATTCATGTGACTATTGTGCCTCTTGTTTCTTTCAATAACTTTTTTTAATTTTGAGGAATGACTTGGAACCAAATTTATCATGTATGTGATTTTTCTCAGAATCAGGAATATAATGGCTAAGCGCATTGCTTTGGCAAAACGACATGGGTGCGATGGTGTAGACCCGGATAACGTCGATGGTTTTACCAATAGTAACAATGGACTCGGTCTCACAGCAGCCAATCAGTTGGATTTTAACCGATTTCTAGCAACAGGTGAAATAGTTTTCTAGCAATAGGTGAAATAGTTAGAACTCTTCTATAAGTATTTACTGTATAATCTATCGCTTTAGAGAAAGGTTAGATAAATTCCGTTTGAATTATTTTGAATTATTCTTTCACAATAAAGCAGACTGTAAGATAAATCTCCGATCCCTAATCCTCTTCTTTGACCATTTTCAATTTTCTTAAAATCTGCAATCTGGTATTTTTATAGAGGCTCACAGCCATGACCTTGCCATTGGACTTAAAAATGATTTGAAACAAATCCATGACTTGATTCACTACTTTGACTTTGCTATTAACGAGTCGTGTGAAGTATATCATGAGTGTCACTACTATCAACCATTTTTCGATGCCAGGAAGGTACATCGTCAATTTTTCCCCATATTCTGAGTATATTTTTCTTTACTTCATTCATAGTCTATCAATATATTATATTCCAATAAAAATGTAAAAAAGTATTGAATTTATCGCATTGTATGTAAAATGTTTTTTTTTAAAAGCACTGATTAAAGGAAATCAGATCTTTTTATCCCCTCTTTGTTTAACAGCCTGTGTTCCACATAGAGTATGTAGGCAGTACCACGGAGGCTCACTCTCACCGCAGTACCATATGCAGTAACCGGCCAGCTGACATGAACACGATCATAAAAGTACAACTTACTAACTTCAAGGTCGCCTGTTAAATTACATTGTTTCTGGTTCAATGTAATAAAGCTTTCTATAGTTTGACTTAGTGTCATATTAATCGCAAGCCTTTAAGATTCACATTTCAAACCTTTATAGAATGGATAACGGATTAATGCACCGTCACTGTATAGAATACCATTACTTTTACAAACCAGAAGTCTCTGATGATGCTGTAGCTCTACTGGATTGTATTTGTAACAAAGGAAGAGAAAAGAAGCACTTGCGCTAAAAACTATGCAAAGGCAATACATGAACACAGAATCATGGCCCTTGCTTAATTTTAAGTTGCTTTGTGGCAAGGTCTAGATTTATTACAAATAAGTTAAAACTATTGGAGGAGTGACCTTTAGAACGAGTTTCAAAAAATAATTCTAGTTTTGGTAACCATGGCAATACCATTCATCAAAATCAAGTGGTGTTCTAAATTTAAGTTTCTTTCCTGAAACATGTTGTATATTGAGTTGAAAGGTTTACGACAAAGTTTTTATTTTTAAAATATGATAATAGGTTTCTCACAATGGGTACCCTCCCATCCTGAAATACAACGACACTTGTAATTTTCAAAATCAAACACCTTTCTCTGGGTCAATGCCTGTAATCCGGATGCTGATGCCCATGAATTACGTACACATGTACCATGACCTTTACACAATACAGCACTGCATTTTTCAGCAAAATCAATAACTGATTTCACGAGTGGGCCAAGTGTTGAATTAATGTATTCTTGGAGAGACTCACAATTTCCCCGCGTCTTAAAGTTCTTGCTAGTGTCCCATAACAATACCCCATCCATTCCTGCATCAAATGACTGACCTATGGTAGCCATGATGTCTTCCTATAGATAGAATTAATCTGATTGCTAATGGAAAACAGTTCTGTAATCATACAACATATAAGAATTATTTTTACACATTATTTCAATTATGAATATCATGATATTGATGATAATATTTTATGATAAAGATTGACATTGATAGATTCATATGTAAAAAAACTTAAACTTTAGCTTGTTCTTCTATACTTAGACTTACCGCAATATAAAAGTCGTTGGTGTCCGTGAATCTGTATGTGCTGTAAGAGTACATTGGAGTATTGGCAGTGGAATACTGTGCATGAACTCGTAGAGTTTCGTTCAGAATACCCTGCACTCTCCTCTGGCGACTGGGGGAGGAGGGAAATTTTGACGACAGGTAGATAGAGGGGTACAAAGCTGTACTGGCACTGAATAACCACTTCAATCTGAGGGGAAAAATACCAAAATCTAGTCACACTTACATTGTACAAACTTGATCGTTTGAAAAGCTCTGTGAGTATACTAAAGGGTTGGTTTGCTTACATATGTAATTAGTGAAATATTCAAGGAAGAGGTCACATACTGGTCATTGTAGTGAATGGTATCCTTCTGACAGGAACTTTCGTTAGTCTTGAAGTTAAAACATCTTGGGAATCCATAGAAACCCCATAAGCCATTCGGGCGTAATTCTATGGCTTTTCTCAACGTATTTTCCATCAACTCTCTTTAAAAAATAATAATAATACCTTTAAGTATTAGGAAAACAAAATGTTTTGCACAAATGAATTGTACATATTATATAATTAACATTTTTTTTAATCCAGTAAGTGTCGTTACCTGGCTGATTTTTCGAACATTTGCTTCGCCATTTTGTTCACCACTGAAGAGTTCCACTTTGGATGTAATGTCTGCACTAGTTGCTTCGATTCCTTCATATAAATCAACTTATCTGGTTCATATGTATTTCTTTCGTATATAGGTCGCCAGCTCTCCCAGTCAATCACCCCCTTTCCATCAAAGTGTTTAGAGGGAACAAAAACTTCAATGTCCTCTGCTGCCTTTTTGAAGTGTTCTTTGAATGGAACTTTCTAAAAATAATTTTTAAAATCCTTACCTGAATACAAAGAAACAATTTTTAAAAGTGAAAAGGAGTATTTTTAAAGTACGTCGGTTGTTAAAGCGCCTCAGTTATTTCAGTCAAGACCTATAAATGATTTTTTAGGAAAATTTTTACTTGTGGGATCCCTCCATTTAATGCTGACCCATTAGGAAAATACTTTGGATACAATCCCGGAAGTGGTTCATAAAATAAAACTACTTCTTCTCCTCTAAACGAGGTATTCTCGTTCGTGACGATTCTGAAGTTTGAAAGATTAAGATCAATGTTGTACTTTTTATAACAAATCTCCGAGGGTACATTCCAAACAACAGTAAATCTTTGGTTTTTCACTGCTAGCTTGCTTGCAAAAAATAAAAATGAGAAGTAAATTAAAGTTATGATAAGTGTTTCATACATCTTATCAGAAACACAAATAACATCATCATGTGACTTTAGCACTTGAAGTGGTGGATCCCATGTACACACAAAATGTTTTATTCACTTTGATTTTCATCTCTTTATGGCGTAATAAACCTTAGTCTTTAGCATAAACAACCTAGATTTTAGTATAAACAATTACAATTCTCTTTCATCGTGGTTATCTGCTTTATACATATAATACGAATTAGTTGAAGTTGAAGCTGGCTGAAACCTGTTACACCGGAAGTAATAGAAATTTTTCACTGTTTGGATGGTCGAAAACGTAACGATCGGTAAGAGCTCATAGCTCATTAATTATTCATATAGAATCTGTCACCAGAGGGCGTATAAGTTTTTCGGACTCACCATTATGTCCATATGTCCACTGTGACAATTCAGACAAAGAGTAAAGACATTTAATCACAGAGGTAAGCAAACAACTAAGAAATCTTAAAAAGGTAAACATAGTCAACAGGTCCAGCACAATACCCCGATAAAGGTATATAGCTTGATAAAGCTATATAGCTTTATCAAGGTATTTAAAATACCTTGATCAAGGTATTTTATGTAATGAAAATTCAAAAAAAATCTTTAAAAATTAATTACTGAAAGTCGAGTTCTGAGTTTTTGACAGTGTGTCTATTCGTGCATAAAAAACACTCTGGTATCAAAAAGAAGGCATAAAATAACGTCTCCTCACACGACACGTTTTTCTACTGATTTGTTTGTGTTTGAGTACTTTACATGCATGGGTGAATTTACTGACAAAAACTCAGAACTCGACTTTCAGTAATTAATTTTTAAAGAATTTTTTTGAATTTTCAGTACATAAAATACCTTGATCAAGGTATTTTAAATACCTTGATAAAGCTATATAGCTTTATCAAGCTATATACCTTTATCGGGGTATTGTGCTGGACCTGGTCAAGTGTGTATTCTATACTGGTTCATAAAAAAGCTTTGTAAATAATTCAGAGTCTGTTCAATGCATAGCACACTTTTAGTTTTATAGAAGTGTAAACTGTTATGGTATTCAAACAATATTTTGATGATGCCATTTATATTCCACAATTACTATGCATTTAATAATTTATTTTTAAAATGTCAAACATGTTGTTGTTGGTTACTTTTCATTTTTATACAATATACCATCAACAGTTTGGCCACAGTCCACCTATTGGCTAGTATCGCTGGTTTTATACCCTCAGGCCTTATTTGTCGTTTGGGAGACAATAATGAATTGATCTGTTTTTATTGACCATATGGGAGAGAAAATCCTCTATTTATTTTTCCAATCTCCTGTGGAATATGATGCATAATTTTCATTGGTGCGAAATAAAATTCGATATAGATATTATTAGGTTCAGTTATAGCTGCAGATCTGTAGCGTTATGGTTTTATATATTTGTCTTTGACCATAACGCTACAGATCCCATAGTGCAAAAAAGGTGCAATTTACGGCGCAATATTTTTTGCGTTCTTTTGAGGAGAATTTCTCCACTTTCCAGCATTGTTCGATCAACTTCCTTTCCACCCCTAATTCTAGACACATTATTTAATTAATCTGTATATTTTATACATCTCCCAACCATTTATAGTCGTCTCTACACATGATAAACTCGCTTGATTAAAATTATTTTTTAGATTACTGAAAATTCATATCCAGTGAGTTTATTACGTGTAGAGAGGTTGGGAGGTAGATAAACTATACATATTGGCTACAGAATGTGTCTAGAATTAGGGAGTGAAAGGTATTTGATTGACCAAAGCTAGAAAGTGGAGAAATTCTCCCCAAAAGAGCGCAAAAAAGTTTGTTTGGAATTGCACCTTTTTTGCACTCACTGAAATGTAGCGTTATGGTCAAAGACAAATATATAAAACCATAACGCTACAGATCTGCAGCTAGTTCAGTAAGTATTCAAAAGCTGCAGTGGTAGGACCATCTTTAATTTGGGTTGCTTTTTTGATAGTCCAGTTTACATACATGAATAGCAAAATACTTGTTGGGCTTTTTTGTGGAGGGGGGAGGGGTCCATTTCTTACAAATAATAAAGCTATATAGCTATTTCAAGCAATATAGCTAAAATAAGGAGATTTTGCTGGACCTTTATCTAGTAAAAAGGTCCTTGTTAAGATAGGAGTATCGTAACAGTGGATGGAAATAGAAATGACCGTCATGATCATCATGATCAATAATTAATGAATACCAGTTTGTGTAATTGTCTCCCAAATAGTAAATTAAATGTTCTATTGTGGGCTGTGCCCAACCAGAACAAATAACAAAACAAGTTTTAAACCAGATCATTTTTTTTTCATTATGTCATGTCTTTTTTGCAGTTAAGAGATGGATGAAGAATTTAATCAAAGAGGTAAATAATCATTTGACTGGCATTGATTAATAATGAAGAAATCATAGTCTGCGAGTGACTTGGGACATTCACTCACCACAATTAGAATGTGGATGGCTGATCTATGTGTGTTTGCAGTTTAAAAACTGACATATTGCTGAAAAGAATAGAGATATTCACTTCAGCTCATTAACTTTGTAAAACATGATAAAGCACTGAAAATCAAAATTTTAATATTGCAGGGCTTTCAATAATTTCTAAGTGAAAAGGTGAATTATTAATTCATCCATTTGGCTGTTTAATAATTATTTCCTAAAGTTTAATAGGCCAATCATGAGGTGGCAAATTCCAATCACTAAAATGCTGAAAAAAATGTCTCCTGTTCTTTATTGAAGTCTCTGGTTTTAAAAAAAAAACAAGAACACAACATATATCTTGTGAAATGATTATACAATGTTTACTATATGGCCCTTTGCTTAGTTTAAGGTCATAAAATAGATTTTTAAAATGCTTGCACACATTCATTTACATTCAAGAATAAGAGAAAGAGAGGCATATTATTCAGATAAGGGTTATGGTCCATGCATTTCTTTTCTTACATAAACTTGTCAATATTCAAAAGGCCTGTTTTTCTTGTCAGGTCAAATTGCAGTGACAAAAGTACATGTAAACATAATTTCATTATGGAAAACTAAATACATGCAAAAAATAATAAAAATTGTATTTTTCTTCTTTCTTTTCCAGCAAAACTGAAACAGAAAGTTTTACTGTTTGAACTTACTAAAGCTATTACCAATTCAGCGGAAGATGTTGCTACAGAGATGATTGACAGTGGGGCTGATTTAGATGCTACTATAATTTATTCCAAGACCCCACTGTCTTATGCTTTAGAGACAGGCTGTGAAAATATTGCCAGAAAACTTCTCAGCAGAGGAGCTGATCCTGAGAAAACAGCAACTTGTGAAAAATCAAAGAAAATTCTCAGACCTATTCACTTTGCATGCAAATTCAAACAGACAAATTTCCTCTCTGATTTACTGAAAAAGAATGTCGACATGGAAGTCCCATGCAGTGCCGGGTTGAGTGCTCTACATTATGCTGCTGCTGAAGGTTGTACGGAAATCTGTTCTGAGCTGATCAAGTATGGTGCTGATGTTAATAAGCCAGATACCTACAATCTAACTCCTCTTCACAGAGCGGCAGAAAATGGACACGTTGCTGTGGTTGAGTTACTTGTCAATTCAGGAGCCGATCTCAGTGTGGTAGATAACTTTGGAAACACACCACTGCTGATGGCTTGCTATTTTAACAAGAAGAAAGCAGCAAGATCCTTATTGCAGTTTTGCAATAATGTAAACACAAGTGACAAAGAGGGAAATTCATCCCTTCATATCATTAGTAGTTTTTGTCAACGAACAAAGGAAAGTTTTGTAAAATCAAATTACAAGTTCATTATATCTGGGAAAGATTATTCTAGGTTTGATCAAATTCATAATGATGTGCAAGTAAATTTTCTCCTTGATCTTTTAATTTCCTTTGGTGCAAATGTTAAAGCAAGAAACAATCGAGGATTATCTACCTTTGATGGTGCTAAATCTTATTTGAAAGATCCAGGAATTGAACTTTTCTTGTTAAGAAAACTTGTAGGCGCTGGACTTTGGATTCAAGATTTTTCACCTGACACAGTTTTAACATCTGCCTGTATTACAAAGTACACCTGGTCACTGTATGTACAAGGACTATCTAATTTGCAGGAACAGCAAATGACACTCAAGCAGCAATGCAAAAATGCTGTGCGAAAAGACCTTCACTTAACTAGTGGCAAAACAATGAAGCAGTCTATTGAATGTTTACCTCTGCCAACTGACTTGAAAAAGTTTTTGCAATGATGTTACTGGATATGCAAAAAGTAGAGAACACAAATTGAACTATAGAACAAAATGATTATTATATTTGTTTGGCATTGATTTCCCATGTGTTCATTTTTCCAGGTGTGTTAATTACATGAACAATTATTGTATTACAGTAGATGTACTAAGTGTGTATCATTTTTGTGTACTTTTTATAGAAATAGTTTTTGTGTGTAAATTTATATGGGGGAATACCGGTAATAAAAGTTTCCTGCAGTAAGTCATGAATTGTGAATAATTTTAATGACTAAATATCGCTTTAAGTAATAGTGAAATGGTGTTGATCATGAGTGCTGTTTTTGTAGAGGTCCATTTTGTACTTGATAAAAATGTGTGTTATACAGTTCTAAGGAGAACAAAGTCCTTTATATACATGTACATTAAAATTAGAGAAGGATTATATACAATTCTGCTTGGACCTTGGATTCTGGACTAGGTTCATTAAGAACTTTAAAACTTTGATTAAGAAACTAAGTTCAAGATCACTTTACTCATGGCCTTTCTTCAGTTTAATGAGATTCATATTTGACAGAGGGAAGAAAACTAAAGGCCCACAGTCCACACTGCTCCCCTGAGGATGAGAAAGATATCAGTTCAGTGTAGACAAGTAATCCCGCTTCACCTCCAACCCCCCTCAAGAGCAATAGTGCATGATTTGAAGTATAATGGTTTGGTCCATTGTTATCGGCCTGGTTAGCTCAGTCAGTAGAGCACCTGACTAGTGATGCAGGTGTTCCAATCCAGGTTTAATTTCCTGTCCAGCCATACATTTATTAGCTTTTTTCCAGTTGCAGATTTGGTGCCATTGACTACCCCTGGACTTGCAGGTCAAAGTCTTGCAAGCAACTAATAAGAATTTTGGTTGCTTGCTCTTCGAGGGAAAAGACAATTGAAGGAGGGATGAATGTGCATTTAATAGTTTGGGTCCTGGATACTAGCGTGGGTAGTTCAATTAATATGAACAATTTAGAATCTACACTACCCCAGGATGCTTCCACATAAGTTTCAGCTTTCCTTGCCCAGTGGTTCTTGAGATTTTCCTAATATTTGAATGAAACACTTTGATTCTCTATTATGGCCTTTCTCTACTCCCAGGAGTCATGATTTGAACAATTTGGAACTACCCAAGGATACCTACATGATTTTTCTTTTTTCAGCTCTTCTCGCCCAGTGGCTCTTGAATTTTTTTAATGACCCCACCCTGTTTTTAGCTCACCTGAGCCAAAGGCTCAGTGAGCTTTTCTGATCACATGTTGTCCGTCGTCCGTCCGTCTGTCTGTCTGTCTGTCTGTAAACTTTTCACATTTTCGACTTCTTCTCAAGAACCACTGGGCCAATTTTGACCAAACTTGGTACAAAGCATCCTTGGGTAAAGGGGAATTTAAATTGTTAAAATGAAGGGCCAAATCCCCTCACAAGGGGAGATAATCAAGAAAAGACAAAAATAGGGTGGGTCATTAAAAAATCTTCTCAAGAACCACTGGGCCAATAAGGCTGAAACTTATGTGGAGGCACCCTGGGATAGTGTAGATTCTAAATTGTACAAATCATGACCCCCGGGGGTTGGGCGGGGCCACAATGGTGAATCAAAGTTTTACATAGAAATATATAGGAAAAATCTTTGAAAATCTTCTTCTCAAGAACCACCGGGCCAGAAAAGCTGAAACTGATGTGGAAGCACCCTGGGGTAGTGTAGATTCTAAATTGTTCAAATCATGACCCCCGGGGGTAGGGCGGGGCCATAATGGGGAATCAAAGTTTTACATATATAGAATTATATAGGAAAAATCTTTGAAAATCTTCTCAAGAACCACTTGGCCAGAAAAGCTGAAACTGATGTGGAAGCACCCTGGGGTAGTGTAGATTCTAAATTGTTCAAATCATGACCCCCGGGGGTAGGGCGGGGCCACAATGGGGAATCAAAGTTTTACATAGAAATATATAGGAAAAATCTTTGAAAATCTTCTCAAGAACCACTGGGCCAGAAAAGCTGAATCTCATGTGGAAGTATTGTGGGATAGTGTAGATTCTAAATTGTTCAAATCATGACCCCCGGGGGTAGGGCGGGACCACAATGGTGAATCAAAGTTTTGCATAGAAATACATAGGAAAAATCTTTGAAAATCTTCTTCTCAAGAACCACTGGGCCAGATAAGCTGAAACTCATGTGGAAGCACCCTGGGGTAGTGTAGATTCTAAATTGTTCAAATCATGACCTCCGAGGGAAGGGCGGGGCCACAATGGGGAATCAAAGTTTTACATAGAAATATATAGGAAAAATCTTTGAAAATATTCTTCTCAAGAACCACTGGGCCAGAAAAGCTGAAACTCATGTGGAAGCACCCTGGGGTAGTGTACATTCTAAATTGTTCAAATCATGACCCCCGGGGGTAGGGCGGGGCCACAATGGTGAATCAAAGTTTTACATAGAAATATATAGGAAAAATCTTTGAAAATCTTCTTCTCAAGAACCACCGGGCCAGAAAAGCTGAAACTCATGTGGAAGCACCCTGGGGTAGTGTAGATTCTAAATTGTTCAAATCATGACCCCCGGGGGTAGGGCGGGGCCACAATGGGGAATCAAAGTTTTACATAGAAATACATAGGAAAAATCTTTGAAAATCTTCTCAAGAACCACTTGGCCAGAAAAGCTGAAACTCATGTGGAAGCACCCTGGGGTAGTGTAGATTCTAAATTGTTCAAATCATGACCCCTGAGGGAAGGGCGGGGCCACAATGGGGAATCAAAGTTTTACATAGAAATATATAGGAAAAATCTTTGAAAATCTTCTTCTCAAGAACCACTGGGCCAGATAAGCTGAAACTCATGTGGAAGCACCCTGGGGTAGTGTAGATTCTAAATTGTTCAAATCATGACCCCCGGGGGTAGGGCGGGGCCACAATATCTATTACAAGGGAGAAATCTGGTAAAGAACAATATGACAAAAGATTCTCAGGTGAGCGATGTGGCCCATGGGCCTCTTGTCATATTTTCTTGATTATCTCCTCTTGTTAGGGGGCTAGGCCCTTCAGGCTTCATTTGAATTATGTAACCCCACCCCACTCACCCCCTTCACACCCACGGACAATGGGTTATCAGAAAAGCTTACTTGAGCTTTCAGCTAGCTAGGTGAGCTTAAAAGTATTATTTAATTGTAGACTACTTGTGTGCCAAGTTAATTATATTGAAATCAAACCAAAATTGTAGAAGAAGAATTTTAAAGAAATTTCTCTGAAAATTCTATTTTTAGTAACCATGGCAACACTGTTCATCAAAATCAAAAACCAATGCACTAAAATCTAAATTTATATGTATCCTAGTGTAGTCTAAATGGCATATGCCAATTTATTTAAGTTTATGATAATTAAACAAAATTTATAGCACTCAGAAGTCAAGTTTAAATACTATGAATTTGACAAAAGTTTCTATTTTTCAGAAATCATGGCAACACTGTTTACAGGGGCGTAGCAACAGGGGGGCCAGGTGGGGCCCCCCCCCCCCCCCACTTTTTTCCCCAACCTTACTTATACTACAGGAAATGTTAAATGAAAGCCTGGTTGGCCCCCCCACGTTTAGTGATGTACCGAAAATGTAGTATTAGAATTGGTACTAAAAGTAGTCGACACTGAAAAAAAAGGTTTAACCCCCCCCCCTTCCCCCCACGAAATAGGATTTTCGACTTTGGGCAACTTTTCCCTTTTTTTTTTTTTTTTTTTTTGCTTGTCAACTTTGTAAGGTAAGTAAAAAAAATTTTCTCTCTGGCTGGCCCCCCCACTTTCAAAAACGATGCTACGCCACTGGTTTATCAAAATCCGATGACTAAATCATGAATCTTACTGTAGTCTACCTGTGTGCCAAGTTAAATTGAAATTGGACCAAAAAAAACAGAAAAGTAGCATTTTGAAAAATTGTTTATAGGAAGCTAGACAGACAGATGACAGACACTCTTCTCTTGCCCTTTTCACAAGGCATCTTACATCTAATATAAAAATTTGATAACTACGTAATTTTTCTTAAATTTATTTTTATGCGCCCGGATCGATAGATCCCGGGCGTATATTGTTTTTGTCCTGTCTGTTTGTCTGTTGTCAACTTTAACCTTGGCCATAACTTTTGAACAATAAGAGATAGAGACTTCATATTTGGTATGCATACTCCACTAATAAAGTCCTTTCAAATGACATCAAGGTCAATGACCTTGTGACCTTGACTGTGACCTATATGCTAAAAATAGCTTTTTCCACTGTTTGTCATAACTTTTTAACCATAGGAGATAGGGACTTCATATTTGGTATGCATACTCCACTAATAAAGCCCTTTCAGTTGACAACAAGGTCAATGATCTTGTGACCTTGACTGTGACCTATATGCTAAAAATAGCTTTTTACACTTTTTGCCATAACTTTTGAACCATAGGAGATAGGAACTTCATATTTGGGATGCATACTCCACTGATTAAGTTCTTTCAAATTACACCATGGTCAATGACCTTGTGACCTTGACTGTGACCTATATGCTAAAAATAGCTTTTTACACTTTTTGCCATAACTTTTAAACCATAGGAGATAGGGACTTCATATTTGGGATGCATACTCCACTGATTAAGTTCTTTCAAATAACACCACGGTCAATGACCTTGTGACCTTGACTGTGACCAATATGCTAAAAATAGATTTTTTGAACTTTGTTGCCACCGGGCGCATAGTGTTTCACAAACACATCTTGTTTCTTAAATCTTTTCTTTTACAACGTAATTAAATGTTACAGAATTATAAGATTTTTGTGTTCTAATGTAGCTTAGATGCTTGTTATGCCCCCATAATTGAAGATTCAGGGGTATACACTGTAAAATCACATATTTTTGTGGGGTCAAATTTTCGTGGTCCAAGGAAAAACTCTTTGTTCGTGGGGATTTGATTTCGTGGATGAAGAATTGATGAGTAGTTATGTATGTCATATTTTACATTTCATGGTGGACATGAATATAAAGAAAATAAAACACAAAGTTTTATACTAATGGATTTATCTTGATAATCAAATAATCCTGATAATCAAATAATACAATAAAATAATCATAAAAAATATTTTAAGTCATAATTAAATATGTTGTCACTTTGCTGTAAATCTCATTTTCAATTCACATCCATGGTTGTGTACAAGCAAATAACAGCAAGTTTTGGACCATCAAATAGAAGAGATGAACATGTGAATTCAGCTGCCCTGGGACATAAAATATCTGTACACAAAGGCTGCAGCTAAGGCAACCCCAAGAGGCAGCAACCAACCAGTCCAACTCCTGAAAATAGTAAACAAGAGGCCTATGTGATACAATGCTCACTTGAGTGACTTCAGCACCACTGTTCTTCAGATTTTTTAAAGATTAATTTTCTCTATTATATTCCTTGAGTCGATGGGTTCCTGAATCCATACAACAATGGAATGACACACAGCATGATTATTAAGGCTTTTCAGTTATAAAGATTTTTTTCTTTTGTTCAAGCTTTACATAAAATTTGATCTTGATCTCAGCAAATTCTTAGCTGGGGTTCATAATTCTAAAAAAAACAGAAGTCTCTGTCAAGACTAGCACTCTACTGGTTTGTACTTACAGCAAAGGAAGAGAAAAGTAGCAGTTGGGAATTGTATCTTTACAACAACAATAAATAGAATAATGATCCTTGATTAAGTCTCTTTATGTTCCTGGTGTAGATGACGATGAGGCGATGGTCGATAGCGATGAAGTGATGGTGCGATAGCGCGATACTTGTATGCCACATAATATATCATAATACGAGACTTAAACTCGACCTTTTTGATGCTCGATGGTGCGATAGTTAGAGAGTATTTTCCATGTAGTCTACTTGTATGCCACATTATATCATAATCAGACTTAAACTGTATTTGGGGTAGCATTTAGAGAGTATTTTACAGAAATTTCTATTTTTAGTAACCAAGACAATAATGAATTATGTATCATAGTGTAGTCTACTTGTGTGCCAAGTTATATTGAAATCAGACCAAAACTGTAGGAGAAGTAGCATTTTGAAACAATTTCACAGAAATTTCTGTTTTTAGTACCGGTAACCACGGCAACACTGTTCATCGAAATCAAAAACCGATATGCAGAATTATGTATCTTAGTGTAGTCTACTTCTGTGCCCAGTTATCTTGAAATCAGACCAAAACTGTAGGTGGAGTAGCATTTTGAAAAATTGTTTACAGACAGATGGACGGACACAGGACACATTACTATCGCATAAGCTCTTTTGGTCTCTGACCTGTAGAGCTAAAAATGAAGCCCGAACTTGGGAATACAAAACTGTAGGAGGACCAGCATTTTGAAAAATTGTTTACAGACAGACAGTTGACTGAGGTCTTACTATTGCATAATCTCTTCTAGTCTCTGACCAGTAGAGCTAAAAATTAATCCATGATTTTTTTTTCTTTTGCAAATAAAACTGGAGCATTTTTGAATTTAATTTGGTTTGAGTTTTTAGTGATTAAAAAAATAATTTTTTAATATAAATACATTTGTTCACAATCTAAAGTTGTTCAAAAAAAAAAAAAAAAACATTCCTTACCCAGCTGCAGTTGCTGTATTTGGTGGATTGAAGGATGTGTTTGTCTGAAATAATAATTTTTCATTATTACAAACGGTAAAATGAAAATACAAAAGTTATTCCGAGAACAATAAACTTAAAAGCTTGGTCAAAGGACTTCTGATAGAATTCTTTAATAATGTTTGAAAGAGTTGCAACTCAAGGTTTACAAAAAATATTGTCTTAATTTCAAGATTAATCAGTTTTAAAAAAAAACATATATATATCATATTGCTATTTGCCAAAACATTACAATTTTGATCAAGGTTAGGAGAAACCTAGGAAGAATTTTTTTCTTGATGTGAAATGTAAAAGCTAAATACATGCACTGACCTTTACTGTGGTTCCCTTCTTGTCATCCTGAAATAAAATTTAACATGAACTTAAATCATGTACTTTTGACTTTTTTTTTGTTATTACACCCCTTTTAGCAAAACAATTAATGAATAGCCCCAAAAGTTCAAATTTTGGATAAATTTAACACAGCCAAAAATAACTGTTGTATTAAAATTCATGTTTATATATACGTACTACCAATTTTTTTATCATAACTGAATAACAGGAATGAATGAATAATTAATGAATATATACCCCATTTTATGGTACTATAAGAACTTGATAGCATTCAATATAAATAGATTAAAGACCTAATACTTATATGGTACCTGTATGAAATGAAAAAATATTTTACTAATTTCAATACATGTATCATCAGCATTGGCAGATTGTACAATACCAAAGTACAAGAGTCAATCACTATTCAACATTTCTATACTCTTTCTACATAACACATAATGAGATGTTAGCAGTTTCATAAATTGAACTGAACTGACAATTGATGTAAAACTTACTGGATGGAGTTCACCAATAAGATAATCTTTCATCAATTCTCTAGCATCAGTGGAATGGCCTACATCTTCAAATGCTTCTGTTGCGTCTCGACCTTAAAAAATTCATTTTGTATATAGACATAATAATCAATCAGGTTACTCTGTTGTAAGTCTGATTCAGAAGCTAATATTAGCAGGGGTGGAAGAAGAATATGAGGAGAAATATGGAACTTTACTGTTGACAGATTGAATGTGAATACATTACAATGTACACGTATCAGTATTAAGTTTCAAAGGTTTGATACTAATGGTAACAGCTAACACTGGTCAACTGAAATTAGGGTGGGGCTACTGAATACGTCATCAGGCTTGTCATGCTGGGTTATTGAAATTCAAAGCAATTACAGTCTACAGAGCTTTATATAATAGTACACAAATTCCAAATTTGTTCATGAGGTTTAAGAAATAACATTTGAATCAAAATTGCTGTCATATAAGCTGAACTGTCATCTTAAGTTACTGCAAGATGTTATTTTGGTCTGATCTATCAACAATCTTTATAACCTTAGGTTACCTATTAGTGTTTAAACCTCGATGTAAATTGACATACACGTTATTTTACCCTACAATACATGGAATGTGGGTCTTCACTGTGGCAAGCCAAGGGTTTTGTGTCCATTCTGTTTCCACAAATGTTTGGCTTGTGACAATGTTGGGTCTATGACTTTGCATCATTTTTTCCAAATTTTGTAGAGAAGGCCCTCCCCATACCAAATTAAGCAAGGGGGAAACATTTCTTCCACAAATACCCTCCTCAACATGCAACACATGCACAGGGCTGGAAGGAAATTAATGACCCTGAAAGGTACTTGAGTTAGTGTTTTACTATGGCTTTGGATCAGAAGTTCAAGTGATAAGATTCTCTTCACTTAGTATATTTACACATGGCACTGTGTAAAAATATTGCTCATACCTGTTTGTAAATATATTACATACCTGCTTGTTCTAAAAGAACTTCCTCTCCCCCAGGATGCTGAAAAGCAGGAAAAATATATATATATGCTGTCAGTATATTTGAATATTTCAAAAAGACAACCTAGTGATTTTATTATATTTTATGCATGTACTAAAAGATTCTTTATTTTTTGCACCCCTACAGTTTATTAGATTGAAAAAACAGTTAAGGAACTTTGAAGGGATTAATCTCCCAAACATTGGGTGTACAGAAAAAAACTTTTTAACCAAAAGTAATTTATTTATTAGCATCTTGATGTGTATTTACAATATTTATAAACAAAACAAGAGGCCCACGGGCCTTATAGGTCACCTGAGCATTATGCAACAACTTTCCAGTTATTGAATTTGATTCATGTTTTAAGCCAGATGCTATATGGCATTCAAAATTTTGAAAGAGGCACAATTGATCATCATAACTATACACTTAGCAGTTGCTTAGCTTGGTTACTGAATACCCATACGCAGGGTAGGGGAACAAAAATGCATTCCAACTAATCAGTAATATTCAGCAATAATCAGTAATGCCCTAACACTGTGCCATAAACCCCTGACCCTAGGTCCACACATTGCATAAATTTTAAAAAGGCACCCTTAAAATTGCCTATCAAAAAATAAATAAATGTTTTATAAATACAAAGGAGCATATTTCAAACAATTAATTCATTTTCAGTATATAAGTAGAGCCCCTCCCTGACCCTGGGGCCTTGAAATTCACAATTCTGGAAGATTAGGGCCCTTGTTCATGATATTAACTATATAGGTAGTTCATCTTCTTCATACCCAGAGACAGAGAAGAAAATTTTCAAAGATTTAATGTATTTTCACTACATAATCAATAGAGCCCTAACACCAGAACCCCTGACCCTGGGGCCATAAAATTCATAATTTTAGAAGATGCATTCTTGCTCATCATAACTATGTACTTAGTTAATTTAATTTCTAGGAGCAGAGAAGAAGATTTTCAAAGAATTCATGTATTTTCAATATATAATCAAATGAGCCCTGCCCTAACACAAGAATCCCTGACCCTGGGACCATAAAATTCACAATTTTGGTTGAGGCACTCTTGCTCATCATAACTATGCACTTAGTTAGTTTATTTAATACCTAGGAGCAGAGAAGAAGATTTTCAAAGAATTCATGTATTTTCACTATATATTTTCACTATATAATCAATAGAGCCCCCCCCCCCCCCCAACACCAGAACCTTGATCCTGGGGTCATAGAATTCACAATTTTGGTTGAGGCACTCTTGCTCATCATAACTATGCACTTAGTTAGTTTATCTAATACCTAGGAGTAGAGAAGAAGATTTTCAAAGAATTCATGTATTTTCACTATATAATCTATAGAGCCCCCCCCCCCCCCCAACACAAGAACCCTTGACCCTGGGGCCATAAAATTCACAATTTTGGTAGAGACACTCTTGCTCATCATAACTATGCACTTAGTTAGTTTATTTAATACCTAGGAGCAGAGAAGAAGATTTTCAAAGAATTCATGTATTTTCACTATATAATCAATAGAGCCCCCCCTCCCCCAACACCAGAACCCTTGACCCTGGGGCTATAAAATTCACAATTTTGGTAGAGGCACTCTTGCTCATCATAACTATGTACTTAGTTGGTTTATTTAATGCCCAGGAGCAGAGAAGAAGATTTTCAAAGAAATAATGCATTTTCACTATATACTTATTTAGCCCCACCCTAGCACTAGAATCCCTGACCCCAGGTCCATGAATTTCACAATTTTGGTAGAGGACTCAATGCTGATTACAATCATGCAAACAGTTTGACTCCTTGATGTCCAGGAGTAAAGAAGATTTTTAAAGATTGCATTTATTTTAGTAGTTTTGGCCCCACCCCTCAGGCCCCAGGGGGGCAGGGATCATGAAATTCACAATTTTTGTTCCCCTTTACCCATAGATGCTTTGTGCCAAATTTGGTTGAAATTGGTTCAGTGGTTGCAGAGAAGAAGCTGAAAATGTTCAAATGTTAACACACGACGCACGACGGATGACGACGGACGAAAACAGATAGCAGTGGGTCACCTGAGTTTACTCAGGTGACCTAATAAAAAGTTAAAACCATATATTTTTTGCACTGTTAATTTATATTCTCTTTGGGATATATCCCAAAGGAGTTATTATTTTCAATGATTTGAGCAGTTGGACCCAACCTGTTTATCAGATAGCCTACTGTGCTGTAAAATTGGAAACTTTGTAGAGGGCAACAGTATACAGTTGTTGACAGGGGTAGAGGGAAACAGTCGATCTGTTGGACCGGAGTGCAAGCTGTTGCCCAAGGCCATAGACAACAGTTTGCACTCCAGTCCAATAGGTCGACTGTTTCCCGAGACTTCTGTCAACAACTGTTTTGTTATACTCCTTTACCGAATGTAAAGATAACTCAGTTTAGCGCCATTTGACGTCAGCGGGCAACAGTCTTTTTTAAAAGTTAAGTTTAACAGTTCCTGGACCGACAGTCAGGGAAAACAGTTGAACTTTTGGACTTTTTAAAGTAAGAAATCATATAGCGACTGATTAGCGCCTACATCAGTTAACCCTAAATAGATTTAGAAAACAGATATTCGCGTCTTTATCTGAAAAAAAATATATATATCAACCAGCCAGTTTGATGCTGAAATCTATTTAATCCTCAAGAATAATCTCCAAAAGTTATTCAAATGCTCTTCTTTTTATTATTATGAATCAGTCTTATGCAACAGAACTGACAATGAATTTACAGAACTTTTGAGGTCACAGTTCTACTTTTTGACCAACCCTCTCCGAAAATCCAGAATTATGTAGAATTGTGACTGATAGTTGCATTACCTCTTCCAGGAACTTTGTTACATCATACACGTTGTCATGTATAATGAGCCATGTAGATTTATCTTTTTTGCTGGTCACTTCAGACTCTCTGAAAACCTTCTTCTCTGACATGATGATGATTTGAGGTTTGATCGCACCGGAAGTTGTGTACTACAGAAATAAAAACTGCAGACAATTCAAATCCGAATAACATACCACTTATCACTTATCTGTAACGTTATAAAGTATAACGTTACAGATAATAATCACTTGGTAAAACACTGTGTGTTACCGACACCGGATATTGCTACCATCGAGGCGAGGAGTTCTTCACATTTGAACAGGACAGAGGTTGGTATTTATTTTATTTGTCAGAGAATTCGTTCTCATAAGTGTTCTACATGTATTTCTGACATAAAAAGGATGCTACACTTTTAGATTTTATTCGTTCCGCAGCGTTTGGCAACGTCATTTTATTCAAACTTTTCAAAACAGGCTACTTGGTACCGGAGGAAATTCTACCTGAGAAAGTTTGAAGGCTGCTTTCTTAATTGTTTCAAACAATTTAGTAATGTTCACACACGCACGTCCTTTTAAACTATATTTCTGAACTTCTTATATCAAAGTTAATGATACAAACTATTTATTTACATCAAAACAAAGCAAATATTATTTTTCAGAGTGTACGGCTTATTGTAAATTGTTTCAACAACTGTGTACGGCAAATTGAAATTTCACTGTACGGCATTTTGACATTTTAGACAATCTGAAGCAACTGTTTTTAACTTTTTGAACTTTAAATTTTCATTCTACTATTTGCATTTGTTATGTTTGTATGATAATAAAGACAGTTTTGAATATCTCACCCTAAAAGTATTTTTTATAAGCCTGTGAAACCTCGCCAGACCAAGTACAAGTAAACTAGAGCTCATTTATAGACAATATGTATTTGTGGATATTGTACTACATGTTGCGGTACCCAATTTGGACTTTCACTCCACAGGCAAAAGAAAATACACTTTAGAATTTGAACACATATCTAACATTTATGGCACACGATATAATAGCCAGTCTCTTTATTTCAGGTTTCATGTGTATCCGGTATCTAACCAAGTCAGTGTTGCGTTGGAAAAAAAGTAAATTCTGCAAAGCCGAGATGAAAGGACCAGGATCAATAAAATTTTTAGCTGTAACTCTTTCATTTGTGGAGTACGTGTGGGACATCCTTCTTGGGGAAATACAAACTGCAGGAACACACTAACTATGGGCATTAACGAAAGGACACTGAGATATATTTGCTCCTGTGCAGTATAATGTATCGCGCCTCATTAAAAGCTCACCAGAGTTGTACCCTTTTAAGGACATACGCAACGTACCTCACCTACTGATCATTTTTAACGATATTTAAATTTTAAAAAAATGAATTTAATTCCAGGGCCGGCGCGCCGGGCGTGCGCCATCCCCCGTTTGACATTTTTGTATGCATTACTTATATGTTCATTAACCTAAAATCAAGTAAAAAAAACACATTTCTTATAAGAACTTGTCATCTCCCAGACCACCATAAAGAACCTTGCCTTAGATCCATTGGGGGCTTCAGTACATCCACCAGACTCCCCCTACCCCCCCCCCCCGACTTCTAATGCATTGACGAAGACCTACAAAAAAACCTGACAAGAAAAAAGGGAATAATTATGTGCATTGTCAAAACACGAAAATCCTGTTTCGAAAAGGGGGGTGTTAGGTTCGATTTTTACTTCTTTCAGTACCATTTTTTTTTTCAAACGCTATCACTTTTCTCAATTTTTTTACCCACACTGCAACATATGTATACCCCCCCCCCCTCCTGCTACAAATTCCTAGATGCGCCACTGAAGTGCCATCAAAAGTTAGTAGACAAAAATTCAGCATACCCTACCAGAGGGTTGGAAAAGATATCAATTACTGAAATTTCTTGTAAAATTCATAGAAAATCATACAAAAATTATTTAAAATATATTTGAGATGATTTGTTTGTCCAGACTTGTTAACTAGAAAAAGTGTTCAACAACATATATAGGCAATAAAATGTAGCATTCAGTTCCTATAAGTATTGACACTCCAACCCCAGAGAAAAACACAACAAAATTCAAACTATGTCCTTAAGTTTTAACATAAGGATTGCTTGCGTGTTTTTTATTCTTTTTTTTCATTGCGTAAGTTTTGAGACATTTTTTACTGGTAATCATTTTTCATTATTATTTTTAAAATAATAAATGAGATAACACTCACATTAAAATATTAAATTTTCAGGCGCAGATCCAGGAATTTTTTCCGAGGGGGGGGGGGGGGTTACCCAAGTAAACAGTAAAAAAAATCCTACCCAAAATTTCTGTAAGAGAGGTTGTGTGTATGTGGGGGGGGGGGGGGGGGGGGGGGGTTAGTTGTTGACCTTGTAAGGCTTTCTACCAAGAACTTTTCATACCAACTGTTTCCAAAGAGGTCCGTGTTTTTTACAGGAGACTTTAAGGCCACTTTCATTTGGTTTAGTGTATACATGTACACATTTAAAAACTACAAATATTCCGGGGGCCCCAGACCCACCCACCCACCCCCCAAATCCGGGCATAAATGTCTATTTTGCAAGGATGTGTGAACCTTTCTTTTCATAATTGAATTTTTTTTTCACATTATACAGAAATAAAATAAAAAATGCAAATGTATATACTATAGTTATTTTTTCGTTTTATTTGTGAATTTCACAGAAACGCTGAAATTTCTCAATTTAATTTTTTTCTATGTCAATATTTTGCTTTGATCACATTTATGATACTGTCGTACTGGCGCAACTCCGTAGCTATGTGTTGCTGCGTCTAGGGCATCAATGTTAATTTTCTCCTTGCTGCATGTTCTTTTCGTCGGAATTAAATACGTGGTCCCTATATATTAAATTTAAAAAAACATAATGATAGAATAGGCTTCTCTGGGGATATTTTTAAAATACAGAACACTCTAAGATCACATTATTAAAAGAGTTGTATATACATGTATTGACAGAAATCTCTTTTTTTTGGGGGGGGGGGGGGTTAAGACTTACCTAGGAATGATTTATATATGGTTTACATTATTGTAATAAATTCCCTATAGCTTGCTCCTGGCAAATGTCTGGTACAATACGAAAATTGAAGGTGTATTATACATTTTTTCTTCGATTATTTCTTATGTATTATGAAATAACATTTGGGTGACGATATCCTCGAAGGATGACGCTGTTGCTTTGCAATAGAAACAGGCAAACAGCCGTTATATCTGAAATCAAATGAAAAAAATCTGTTTAAAAAAGATGGACAAGTTAATGAAATAATCAAAATGCCGTACACTTTGATATACGCAATCTAGCAATATGCCGTACTGTTATCCTCAATTAGCCGTACAGTACCCAAAAAAGGTTTTGTTTAGTTTTATCATTAAAAACACTTTTTCATGACACGAATCATACAGAACATGAAGGACATTTAAATTCTTAACAAGTACTGATAGCAAGATTTTTCATTTAAGCGTAGAAATATATCTAAGAAGCACTTCAAACTTTCTCAGGTAGAATTTCCTTCGGTACCAGGTGGCATGTTTTGATAAGTTTGAATAAAATGACGTTGCCAAACGCTGCGGAACGAATAAAATCTAAAAGTGTAGCATCCTCTTTATGTCAGAAATACATGTAGAACACTTATGAGGACGAATTCTTTGACAAATAAAGTAAATACCAACCTCTGTCCTGTTCAAATGTGAAGAACTCCTCGCCTCGATGGTAGCAATATCCGGTGTCGGTAACACACAGTGTAAAATAATCACTTAGTAAAATTAAAAATATACTTGAAAGTAAAGGTGAGAGAGGGGAAACAGATAAAAATATCAAGTTTTCCAAAATAATGAAAATCCAAGTTCAATGCGAGCGGGGGCGTCTACAGTGTAAGGGAGTATGGAATAAGATTTTCCGACTTTAGACAAATCATCAATCCCCCCCCCCACCCCCCGCACTAATCAAAAATCGCAGAAGTTAGCACTTTTGGAAAATTATTAGGTCACCTGAGTAAACTCAGGTGACCTATTGCTATCTGTTTTCGTCCGTCGTCGTTCGTCGTGCGTCGTGCGTCGTGCGTTAACATTTGAACATTTTCAGCTTCTTCTCTGCAACCACTGAACCAATTTCAACCAAATTTGGCACAAAGCATCTATGGGTGAAGGGGAACAAAAATTGTGAATTTCATGATCCCTGCCCCCCTGGGGCCTGAGGGGTGGGGCCAAAACCACTAAAATTAATGCAATCTTTAAAAATCTTCTTCTTTACTCCTGGACATCACGCAATCAAACTGTTTGCATTATTGTAATCAGCAATGAGTCCTCTACCAAAATTGTGAAATTCATGGCCCTGGAGTCAGGGGTTCTAGTGCTAGGGCGGGGCTAAATAAGTAGGTAGTGAAAATGCATTATTTCTTTGAAAATCTTCTTCTCTGCTCCTGGGTATTAAATAAACCAACAAAGTACATAGTTATGATGAGCAAGAGTGCCTCTACCAAAATTGTAAATTTTATGGCCCCAGGGTCAGGGGAACTGGTGTTAGGGCGGGGCTCTATTAATTATATAGTGAAAATACATTATTTCTTTGAAAATCTTCTTCTCTGCTCCTGGGTATTAAATAAACTAATTAAGTACATAGTTATGATGAGCAAGAGTGCCTCTACCAAAATTATGAATTTTATGACCCCAGGGTCAGGGGTTCTTGTTTTAGGGTGGGGCTCTAATGATTATATAGTGAAATGCATGAATTCTTTGAACATCTTATCATTTGCTCCTGGTTAATGTGCTAATGATCTAATTACATATTTAAGGCCAGGATTTATTTTATTTTCAGTTGTACAAAGCCTCCGCTCAAGGTTTTGAATTTTCAGAAAAAAAATAAAACAATTTTTTTCTTTCCGATGTCAAATATGAGTCGGGATCGAGATTTCAAATTTACGAACTCGCACTTCCGGTTTTAAGATGAAGCGGCGGGTAAATAAAGCTAGCTTGGTTTAGTGTAAAATTCATCGATACGAGTGCTATTCAAAACGTTTCACCCGTTCAAAGGACAAATAAAATGCTGACGACTTTGTTGCACAATGACATGCTGGTGAGATAATTATGTATTCGTTTCAAAAGTTTCTGTCTGTAAATTATTTTCCTCCCCCACGTTTTAAACTGCCCGTGGTAGCTATTGCATATTGCCAGCGACATTGTTTAGGTCTCTGTTATAGCTTACAGTCTAAGCATCATTCTTCAGATAAGGGTTGCTTATGCATCAGATGTAATGAATAAAACTATGGGAGAAGTTAAGTCCATTTGAGGTCAGAAGAAATGAACAATAACCTGAAGAAATAAAAAAAAAATTCAACTATTAAAAGGCAAGAATATACAAATATATACAGGCATGTAGTATCATTTGTATCAGCCAGAGAAATTATTTTACACTTAATTGAAAAAATGTTCACCGTACTCCCCAATACTCCCTGTCTGTTTTACGATAGGAATAATTATTATAATTTTAGGCATCAAGTAAATTTTAGAACAATGTCTACACATTCACCTAACACATATTAAAAAAATGAACATATATTGAAAGACTTTTAAAGAATTGATTTTTTAAAATATATTTTGACCAACATCACAATATATAACTGGCCCAAACTGGCAGATGATGAAATAAGCAATTAAATGTTCTACTTTACTATTTGTAAGCATTATGTGTCCTGTGGTAAGGAGCCTATTAGGATAGCATAAAAAAAGAATGTACAATTGATTTATCAAAATTTTTTTTTTATTTCCTTTTCCTTCGGGACTTTTTTATTCTCATGTTCATGTAACTAAACCTAAACATAAAAAAAATGCTGGCCTTATAATGAAGAGAGGGGCCTCTTTCAAAATAGATAAATTCAGGGCCACTGGGTCAGGGGTACCATGGGGGTACTTTGACTAAAAATAAATTAATACTTTGAAATCTGCCCTTTGATAAGCAGTGGTGCCTCTTTCAAAATTTGTGATTTTCATGGCTTTTGGATTAAAACACGAACAAAATACGATCGCTAGAAAGTTGTTACATGATACTCAGGTGACCTATAAGGCCCGTGGGCCTCTTGTTATATTTCTAAATAGAAAAAGACAATATGATATCCTATAGTATCTATCGAATGGGGGAGATCTAGGGAGTAGGACTCAGAGAAAAAGTTAATTTTCTGAAACGTAGTATCTGTTATCCCGATCGTGACAAGGAGCAAACGGTGGATGTGACTGGTCGGCAGGGTATGCTCACTCCTCCATGGCACCTGATCCCAACCATGAAGTTTTGGAGGGCCGTGTTTGCTCTGCTCCTACTTTGTATTGTTTTATGGATTTTTGATCTTGTATACCGTGCATTATCTCTATATGTTTCATCCTACAAAGCAATTTTAGTATGATTATTTTAGAAGATAGGGTTGGGGAGAGTTATAATTTCATTTGATCCTACGGTCATGCGCAACATTGGCGTACAAAAAAAAAAAAACTTGACAAGCAAAAACAGGGGGGGGGGGGATGTTTGTCCATTGTCCAAACACGAAAAGAAAATCTAAGTCCTATTTCGGCGGGGGGAGGGAGGAAGGGCGAACTTCTTTCACTATTATTTTTTTACAAATTCTACCACTTACCATTTATTGACCCAAACTGCGACCTGCCTATTGAAAGTTGGGGAGATGGAGCTAAACCTAAGCTCCAGTGTTCCAATGTTCAATGCCCATATAATGTCTATCTTTGCAAAAAAATTCCGGGGGGGGGGCTCCCCGTATCCCCCCCATGGGAGGGGGTGTCCCGGCCCCTAGCTCCCATACCCTCCCCTATCGCCCCTTCGGGCCTCAACCCCCCCCCCCCCCCGGGACCTCTGGATCCACCACTGTGTGAATCTGAACTAATGTAATGAGAACTTGTGTTGTGTGAGCCCTTTGGGGAACTAAGGACAGCCTCTCATTAAGTTTCTACAAATAAAAAATAAATTAACTGCATCTCCTTTTTTACGCTCTGATATCTTTGAATAGCCCATTGAATGTTATTTTGCTCCCAATCTCCGGCCAAGTTTGCCATTATTCGTTTAGTATTTTTATAAATGTTCATGATTACCAGTAAGAGAGTGCGGGGGGGGGGGGGGTTAAAGGGTATATATATATAAAATAAGACTTATTAATACCACTGACTGAATTTGGGGCCCATCAGGGCATACAAGTGAAGAGAAATCCGTAGAAGAAGAAATTCAAAAAGTATAGCAGCAACATGTAGATATTAAAAGAAAAGAAACTAACATGATGATAATATATAGCAGTCGGGGATCTATATACTAAATACTTTAACTTGAAAAAGTTAAAATTAACATACCGCCCATCAAGGGTATCTAGCTATAGGTAAAACAAAAATACAACCATCACTGACAGATTATTATACCAAATGCAATTAAATGAATAAGAGATTTCATGAGTATAATTGCTACTTTACGGCTCTAATAGAATTATGTAGAAAATAAAGTATATTTATGGAATTCAATTTGAAATAACATGATAAGTAGTCCGGATACCTACATTAAATTTGACATTATTTTAAAGAGGAGGCCAAGAACATAAAATTACCGTTTCCTTAAAGACTGTAGGCAATCTGGATACATTTTCTTTGTCTTATATGGAAAAAAACTCCCAAATTCATGATTGTTTTTCTTAATTTTTCATTGGAAATGACAGTTTAAAATATGATTTTTCATCATGTTTGCCTACAAATTATGCCCTGAAACACCTTATTTGACCAAGCTAAATAAGTTATAAAGCATCATTAAAGGAATTTATTTCTTAAATTTGATAAATCTGTAGGCATCTTTCATTTAATAGATCTTGACCTTAATGGATGTATAATATATGGTAAATGTATAAGTTCAATGATAAGATTTGGATTTTTTTTTTCTTTAGAATAAGTTAATCCGTCGATTACTAGATCCATCCATTGGTATTACATGTATCTCATTAATTAATTTAAATTGACCAAAAAGAAAAAAAAGAAATGGAAACGTTTTATAAAAAGTTAGAAAAAGCGCCATTTAATTGTATTTGGCATTAAAAAGAATTACATCGAAAAAAATGTCTATGTCACATGACAGTATCACCGACCATTACTATGTGATTACCGGCCGCCAGGAGGCGGTCGGTTATATGATATGAAAGTTTTAAGTCGCCGTGCGTTTCTGCGGAGTTAGAACAATTTGAATAAAAAATATTTAACATTCATGTAATAAAATATTAAGAAAGATTTTTTAAATGTTAAACAAAAACGCACAATAATCATAAAAATAAAATTTTATAAATAATGGGTTAAATGTTTCATCCAATCCTGATTGACAAACTCCGACGTAACTGAAGTGCGGAGAAATAAGCACACATGTTGGGCATAGTCTAAAGCAAGGGCCGCGTTATATACCTGTATAAACAAATTTACTTTCTCTACTTCAACAGGATTTGTTGTATATATAATTTAAAATGACGTGTAAATATAAATATACATTGTACTTTTAATACGGAAAGTTTTCAAAAATATGACTTAATCTTAGTTCATTATCAGACAGAATATTAGAAGATTTTTCTCCAACAGACAAAGACAAAGCGCGTTTTACAATATGCCAAGCCTTTTCCCGCCACATCTCACACCAAACAAGATAGAGAAAAAAATGTAGTGGCGGATCTAGATGGAATTTGGGGGTTTCAACATCCTCTGAGCGAGCGAGGAGCCCTACATAGTTGTTACGTTTTATTTAAAGTTAAACTATCACTAGATAGATAAGTTTAAACGTTAGTTTTGATGGTTAAGTGTTAAAACTACTTAAACATCAAACTTCCGCCAGAGTTCGTTTGTACAAATGAAACTGAGTGCGGGGACGCAGAGGACTATGAGTAAGTTGCTTAAATACATTGTACATGTAGCAATATACAGGTAATATGTACTGAAGAAAACCCTGGAATGTCGCATTCAAATGTTTAATGTCATAGGGATATATATCAACAGATAAATATAAGAATTTAGTTTTTAATTGTATTATGAAATTAAAGAATAAATTAATTGGTTTGCGGCCGATTTTTGACGCTTGCGTCAATACGTTTCTTGTTTTAATATTTGTGCATTTTCAAGTTTCAAGCTAATAAAATATCCAGTTGTCTTCCCTTGCAGGAAGATGACATTCTGTGGATGACGTCAAATGCCACGGGGAATCGGACTATTTTCTTCCGGAGTAGATCATTAACATTTTCGAGCTGATCATTGTAGATTATATTTATTATTATTTAACACAGTATATATATCATTTATAGTATAGTGTTTTATCAATATACTGGTGGCATAGCTTGGTATGTTAATTTAAAAGCACTTCTTTTCTTCCGCGCTAGCTGTTGTTGGTTCGGAAGCCATATTGTTCGTATACGATGAGCATATCACCTGATGAAAAGGGAAAATTCGGCCTGTAATTGATCAAAGCATAGAGGAAAACATTGGCGGGTGCCCAGTCTCCTTCTTGATGTGTAGATTTCCAGAGGTCCAGGCATATCTAAATTTCTAAAGGAACGAAAATGATTCGGTAATATCACCTGTCCCACCTCCCACCTGTATTATTTTCATTGATCATGTTGATTGCAGAAAAGCCGGTTCAAGTGAAACTGCAAAAGTTGTCAGAATAAGAATCTTATGATAGGTGCTTTATATTTGTGTGATTAAATTAGTGCTACGTTGTAGTGTTTGCTATAATATTGTGGCTTCAACTTGGAGTACTTCAGTGTTTGAATGACATTGGGGGAGGGGTCATAGATTGATTGTAATTGATTATCTATGTTATTGATTGGTTTTCAAACTACTCATTTAACTTTTTGTAGAAAGGAAAAACAATGTCAGTTTGAGAATGAGCGGGACCAAAAAATCTGCATAACCTTTTATTCTGAATATCAGAATATACGAATAATGCTTCATACATTACAAAGGCAAAGTGATTCATGAGTGATCTATTGTGCAATATGTATGCAGAATGTTCATCAGCTAGAAGAGGTTTCCTTTTTTAATGGTGTTGCAAAATGTTGTAAACTAGAATGACATTATGACAATTTTTTTTTTTAAATGATAAACTTGATAAACAATCATCCCATTTACATGAAATACAATCTCCATACTGGCAAAATTTTGGGACAAAGGCTTCATTTTATCACACAATATGTGTATTTGTTGAGAGTAAAAAGAAATGATTATGTAAAATCAACTTAAGTATTGTCAACTCCCCTGTACATACTGATTTATATATCTATGTACAAAATTTCAACCAGGTGATATTCCCATGGTAACTTATACCTCAGAAAATTCTCTTGTAATGGAGAGGGTGCATGAAAAATAGCATCCACAGCAAGGTTTTGGCGTAATAAAATATATTCAAATATTTATGAGATATTTTGGTGATTGGGAAATTCTTGCTATTGAAATTATGCATGTGATTATAGCTGTAAACTGTAGCATATGCATGCATAGTAATAGTTTTTATGCTTTGCGACATAAGCATGGCATTTTAGGAATAGTAGGTTATGAAGTGTGAAAAGTGTGATATTAATTATGTTAATACAATAAGAGAATTAATCTTCAAGTGATCTTTTACTTTTGTTTGATATGTTTGTTTAATACATATTTTTGTCTAAAACCATAATAAATTGAAGATAATTTTGATACTGTAAAATCACATATTTTCGAGGGGTCAAATTTTCGAGGTTTGAGGGAAAAATTATTGGTTTGCAGGGATTTGATTTCGTGATTGGAAAATGTTTAGTAGTAATGCATATAAAATTTTACATTTCAAGGTGGTCATGAATTCGTGGGTCTCTCCATACCTCTAAAACAACAAAAATTACCCCCCCCCCCCCCCCCCCCCCCCCCCCGGAAAATTAGTGATTTCACAGTATAAGGTTTACCTGCATATTTCTAAAGATTTTATTGCATCTTTTCATCAATGTGCAACTGGATAAATTGGAATATTTCAGTTTGTAAACTCATCTTGCACCAGAATATGTCATGCTTTGCAAAGAGTTGCCTGTCGATTGTTTAATTTGAAATAATTCTACAGTTTACTAAATGTTTAATCCATTATTGATTAAAAAGTTTGAATTTGATGTTGATCATATATGGTTTTTAGCTCAGCCTACATTTCTGCATTAGAAAATTTAACTCATTATAAAATTTCTATTTATAAATCCTGTTATGATTACAGCTCATTGACAATGACAACTCCTAAGAGACTGAGGGATCTCATCCGAGAAATTCGCTCAGCCAGAACAGCTGCAGATGAGAGGGCAGTGGTGCAGAAGGAGTGTGCAGCCATCCGTGACTCCTTTAGGGATCAAGATAATACTTACAAATGTCGAAATTTAGCCAAGTTACTGTATATTCATATGTTGGGATATCCTGCTCATTTTGGCCAGGTAAAGCTATTGACTGTGTAGCTATTTTTTACCTTTAATTTATATGTATATGTCAAGATTTCTTAAGTTTTTTTTCGATCATTTTTAATTGTATTTTTTGAATTTGTGTATAGAATATTCAGATTCAATATTTCTTACAGCTGGAGTGTATGAAACTGATAGCCTCCCCCAAGTTTACAGATAAGAGGATAGGTTACCTGGGTGCCATGTTGTTATTGGACGAAAGACAAGATGTCCATCTGCTGGTCACCAATTCTCTGAAAAAGTAGGTCGCTCTTGTTATCTAACAAGTAGATTATTAGTGTACAATAGTTTTAAGTGGAGTAGTATTTAATTCAGTATCCACACTTTACACAACATTTCCTTATTTAATGGGTATATCGGATATTGAGGAAGTTAAATTTGATGCATGAGAAGTAAATCTGATTCTGTTTTTAATGGTTGAACAACATCTGATATGTTATAACATTGATTGTTTCAGTGACTTGAACCATCAGACCCAGTATATTCAGAGTTTAGCACTATGTACACTTGGTACAATATGTTCAGTGGAAATGAGCAGAGATTTAGCAGGGGAGATTGAAAAAATGATAAAATCTTCAAATGCCTACATCAAGAAAAAGGTCAGTCTGGCAAATTCATCAATCTGTAACAGTGTTCATTTAAATGTTTTAATTCAATCAGTGTACAATTAGATTTTGGTTCAAAACTACATTTTAATTATCGATGAATGCTGTGAATATTTTTACTTCTTCGTTTCAGATATATAATGTATGTGCGATGGATTTTTTATTTATTTATTTTTTTGACCGCAGATTGTCAAAATTCAAATAATTATTTGGGTATAATAAGAAGTTTGTTTAAAAAATTTATTTTCCAATATTTTTTCAGCTTCTTCTCACCCACTTTATATTTTCAGGCTATCCTGTGTGCCCTTTGCATCATCCGTAAAGTGCCAGACCTAATGGAGATGTATATTCCGGCTACACGTTCCCTCCTGAACGAGAAGAATCACGGAGTCCTGCTGACTGCTGTGTGTCTGATTACAGAGATGTGCGAGAAAAGCCCTGACACTCTGCATCACTTTAGAAAGGTGAGCTGAATCCAATACAAAGCACTTGAAATTTTGAGATTATACAAACTCAGTTTCCTGTGATCTTATTTATCATGGTTATCTATATTATTCCATACAGCTATAATTTACAAGCTACGTGTTAAGGAATGACTTTGATATGTTTATGTGAAGTCCACTCTTGTTGAATAAGCTTGTAGATTTTTTATAGTTCCTTTGCTTAGATTTTGGGTAAGTATTTCAAATAATGATACGCTGTGTTTAATCATTTTACATTTCTGAGAAAGGAAGCAGATTACATTGAGTATTATAGGAGGAATGTTGATGCCTTGTGTTTACTACAGGTTGTTCCTATGCTTGTACGAATCCTCAGGAATCTGATAATGGCCGGTTATTCTCCTGAACATGATGTGTTTGGTGTCAGTAATCCCTTTTTGCAGGTATAGCTCTCTATTTCTTCCTTACTGCATGAGCTGTCTTAAATTATTTTCAGGTGGTTCCAAATTTGGTCCGAGTTCTAAAGAACTTGATCATGGCCGGTTATTCCCCAGAACATGATGTATCAGGGGTTAGCGACCCGTTTCTACAGGTATAAACCCAGCGTGTTGTAGTTAATTTAATGCTTTCCGGGTTTCTGGCACAGTGATGACACCTAACCTCTGCTATTGGATTTCTCTGTGTGAATATTTTTCACTAAATTCAGCTCTTCTCCTTTCTACTCCTGCCACAGAATATTGATATTAGATAAATAGTGTGTAGGTAGAGGAAACACGGTTGATGATGATATATGGGATAAAAATTTCTTGATTATTTTGATTAATAATGGGTCACATTGAACTGCACATGTGTGAATTTTTTGCACTCAAAGTCTTGAATTTTGTGAACAGAAATTCATGCATCATAACATGTATTCTAAATTAATTTCATATTATTTTGTAAGCCATGCCTAAAAATATATATATATTATTATTTATTTAATTTTGCTTGCTTCAGTGGTTTTTAATAAAAAATTGGATATTTTTAAAATATAAAAAATAGGTGGTGTTAGGTCTAGAAAGTTGTTGCTAGTGTGCTTCAGATTATTGTATTCCCATATTCAGATGTTCATGAGTAAGATAAGTGCTAGTCGCAATTGCTGAATATAATCAGACAATACAGCTTTTCTTGACCTTCGAATCTGACTTCAGTGCCTTTTCAATGGTATCTTAACAATGTACTGGACCATAGCATGACAACACTTTTGCATGTTAAGATGACATATGTACTAACAAGTGAAAAAATTGTTTTTTCTTTTTTTAATTTTGGACTGCATGAACAACAAAGTACACTTTACTATACTGGTAGATATTTCTGTTTAAATCTTTTTCTTTTCTTTTTTATTTTGTGCATGTCTCTTACTTTAAACAGAGTTTGTTGTAGACGTTGAATGAACGTACATACATTAAATTAAACATTTTGTGTGAGTCAGTGTGACATCAATACCCGGTATATGCTATTCTTTGTTGATCGATTAGAATTGATTTAAATTGCTGTATACAAAATTCTGTTCAAGTACACATATACTTTTTAAAAAAAAGAATACAGGTATATAACATGCTTACTTGAAAAACAAACATGAATATCATTTAGATGTTTAGAAAATAGTTGCCAGTGTTTCAGACTGGTACTGATAAGAAATTAATGATGTTATTGTAATTGATTATACCTTCTTCCTGATCAGGTAAAAATTCTTCGATTGCTGCGAATTCTTGGAAAGAATGATACTGATGCTAGTGAGACTATGAATGATATTTTAGCACAGGTAGGTTCAACTTCTCTGCTCTTTAAAGGTGAGAAAAATTCTTTGTAGTTGTAATGTTTATGTATAGAAAAATTCTTTGTAGTTGTGTTGTTTATGTATAGAAAAATTCTTTGTAGTTGTGTTGTTTATGTATAGAAAAATTCTTTGTAGTTGTGTTGTTTATGTATAGAAAAATTCTTTGTAGTTGTGTTGTTTATGTATAGATTAATTTTCAAAGAAAATTCATGTTACATGTACAAAGATACCTTTGTTTAATTGTTTAAAAAATATTTTCTTTCGTTTATTTCCTCTCAGGTTGCCACCAACACAGATACTAGTAAAAATGTTGGTCATGCCATTCTGTATGAAATTGTCCTAACCATCATGGGAATCAAATCAGAGGCTGGACTGAGAGTATGTTAATATTGTTTATTATTTAAAGGAAAATAAGGTGTCAAGAAAATGTACTTGTAGTGATTCACAGTAGTTAATGTTATTGTGTAATATTCTGTCTTATAAATGCATATGTTAATGTAACAAGTAAAAATTATGTTTAAGACTTGGTCTTTAAAAAAATATTGATAGGTTATGTTTATGTGTATTCATTTCCATTTCTTACCTTTTATACAGGTTTTAGCTGTCAATATTCTTGGAAGATTTCTTCTCAATAATGATAAAAATATAAGGTAGGCTGAATTCTTTGTAATTTATGATGTGTTGTTTGATAAAACAGCAACAACAAAAAACAACAATTTATAACCCTGTAAATGACTTGGTATACAAAATAATAGTTTTCGTTTTGTTTTGTATGCCTTGATTATAAATTAAGCTTTGAAAAATTACATCCCTCCTTCTTTCAAAGATATGTGGCATTAAACACACTCCTGAGGGTTGTACATGCAGATTATAATGCAGTACAGAGACACAGAACAACCATCATGGACTGTCTGAAGGACCCTGATGTTTCTATTAGAAGGTCAGTTTTCCTTAAAAGTAAAAAGTTATTTTAACACATGAAAATAACAAAATCAATTGGAAAGAATTTCAAATAGATTATCAAGATAACTGTGATGTATTACATTTTTATATAAATTTCTTGAAACTTCTTTGGAAGTATTACTTCTGACATATAGCAATAAATTTCTGATAGCAATATGAAAAGTTAAAGTCTGTTCATAGCCTATAAATGTTATATAATTATTGTGTACATTGTAGACGTGCCATGGAACTCTCTTTTGCCCTAGTCAATGCAGGAAATATCAGAGCAATGATGAAGGAACTGTTACAGTTCCTGGAGACTTGTGACCCAGAGTTCAAAACAGACACATGTTCCAACATTGTCCAGGCGGCGGAAAAGTAAGTTGTAGCACTTTGGTAGAGGAAATTTGTATTAATACAGTAAAATTCGGTTATAGCAAAGTCCTGGGGACCTGTGAATTTAATTCGCTATATCCGTAATTCGTTATATCCGTATAACGAATTCGTTTAACCATTATAGCGAATTCGCAATATGCATGTTTTCCTTAAACTGTCACAACCAAATGTATTAGGGAATGAAATATTACAAAACATACCTTCGATAACTAAGATTTTATTACAAATTGAAATTTATATACAAATGCTAAAAGGAAATAAAATCAGTTCAATTGATCAAATATTTTGAGATCTTTGAAAGTACGTCATAAAAGATGTAAATTTCATTATATTTAACCTCAATGGGACTCAAAATCAGTTCGCTATATCCGTAAATTCGTTATATCAGAGTTCGTTATAATCGTAAAATTCACAAAGATTTGTTAAGAATTTTGCCGGGGACCCAGAAAAACTTCTCTATATCCGTGAATTCGCTATATCCGTGTTCGTACTAAACGAGTTTTACTGTAAACTCTTCAGTAAAAACATTCATAAGATTTCTTTTAATACAATTTGGAAGAAAAGGTTTACTTAGGTTCCTAATATTTGACCTTTGATGTATTTTAGATACTCACCAAACAAGAGATGGCATATTGATACTGTCATGAAACTGCTACGCTTGGTAATTTTTAATTATTTTGTAATGAAGTATCTTCAATTAATTAATTCAATTAAAAAAAAGAATAAAACAATGAGCATTGAAAATCTGTTATTAAATGTCAAAAAGTTTTGAAAATGCAATTCAAAAAAGAAGTAAAGTGTTACCATTTTAATTTTCCTGATTTGTAGGCAGGGTCGTATGTCAGGGATGACGTAGTTTCCATACTAATCCAGCTGATTGCTGAGACCTCAGAGCTTCACAATTACACTGTACAACAACTGTTTCTTATGATCAAAGACGACATTACCCAGCCACCACTTGTTCAGGTGGCCCTGTGGTGTATAGGAGAGTACGGGGAGAAACTTATCTCGGGGGTGTGTGAAGAGGATGAGGCCATTCAGGTATGATTCGGGGACTCATTAATTACTTCACTTGAAAATGAATCCATATTAACATTTAAGACTCACGATACAAAATCTGTCAGAAATTATATCAACAATCAAATTTTAATTATGAATGAAGTACATTTCAAAGTAATTATTATAGTCCTTTCCCACAAAGGAGTCAAGATTTGCATGTGATCCTCTATTCTTTGATCTTTTTTTATCTGAAAATGTACCTCATAAAGTTAAAATAAGCCCAAGGACAAATGGTAGGATAGATTTATTACAAAAAAAAAACACAAGTTTAAACAAATGATGGTCATTGGAATTGATAATTGTAGGTATCAGAAGATGAAGTAATTAATGTACTGGAGAAGGTCCTCACACATAACTACTCCACAGAGGTTAGCAGGGAGTATGCACTGACATCTTTAATGAAGCTCAGTTCCCGCTTTAGAACTTCAGCTGGGTAAGATATTGTCACCAGGGTATAATTTTACTTGGCATGAATTCTATAAACAGGTTTTCAGAACAAAGTATCCTATGTAATGATATATAAATTTTTAAAGACAATTGATTTAATATTATGTTATTTTGCTTTTTACAGGAGAATCAAGGCTGTGATAGACGGGTACGGTGGGTCCACACATGTGGAGCTGCAACAGAGATCTGTAGAGTACTCTAATATCTTTTCCAAATATGATAATCTTAGGTAAATATTATTTGTATTGCTGCATACTTCAACTGTAAGCATGATTTAAAAAAATGATACAAAAATATGAGTATAGATATGGAGTTAATATTTTGTTATTTTCTGATTTCCAGATCAGCTCTATTAGAACCTATGCCATTGATAGAAGGTAGCAGAAGCAAAAATGTTTTAGCTAATAGTGAAAGTACATCTGATTTACTTAACGAAGAAAATATTCCTAATGGGGTGGTGAACAGTGCAGAGAAAGCCAAAAATACACTTAATACAGAAGTAAGTGATCTTGTTATACTCAAAACAGTTGAAGAAATAGCTCAAATACACAACATAGAAGTGATCATATCTACTCAAAACTACTGTATCCTGTTCTTCAGTGTTTGAAATATATCATATTTTGGGTCTATCTTGTGTGCATATTAAAAAGACTGAGTTCTATAATGTCTGTATTAGGTTGGAGATTAAATCTCAAACTGGATTACACTATGAAAGAAATTGTGTTATTTTTAGAGCCAGAATATATTAGACTTACTAGATGTAGGCACTCCATCAGTAACTTCCACAAACCCAGCCCCAACACCTGCAGGTGGTGCAAATGATTTATTGGATCTTCTAGGTGGTGTAGCTTCATTATCAAATCCAGGTAAATAACAATTTGAAAAATCATATATAAAATGCTTAATAATTGCCCTTAACAGTTTTACAGAATGAGGATATTAAGGCTACATAAAATTGAAATTATGGTTCTCAGGCCGGGTGCGCATCCGTTTTCATGTAGTTGCTTTACAAATTTTATCGTATTTTTGATAAAATAAAAAGTTGGAAAAGCAGAGACCAATCCGGGAAAAAAAAATTCCACCCTAATTTTTTCGTAGTTTAGTATGAGAATATCACTTTCGGTAGCCTTTTTCAAAGAGAACAAGGCTACTTCATTTTAAAATACATTTGAAGATAATGCCTATAATGTTCAACCGTTGATAAGAAATGGATAATGCAGACCTATTTATCAGACATGGAAAGTATGGAAATTACATGTATATCCTGAACAAACAATTTTTATCATAATTGTAAAGAAAATCCGGGTATTAAACGTTTAAAATAATACACATATAAAAGTGCAATTCAGCCTCAACAGCCCCTTGTTCAGTTGATCTTTTTGCAGACAGGACAAATGCCCATCTGAATGAATATTTCAGCTTGAAGGAAGGCCCTCATGCACAGTCATCAGATGTGATGCTACAGACTTGGAGGGAAGTTGCACCTCCCTCATCTAATTTATCACCAATAAAATGATAAATAAAAAGCCTCCCGCCCGCATCTGTTGTGGAGAAAATTGGCCTGAGAACCAGAGATTTAAATTTATGTAGCCTAATGATGTTGTAATTAAACGCAAATGAAATACATGTACTTGCATGCATTCATGTTTATGTCTTTCTTTTGATGATGTTTTTAGCTCCACCTATGAAGCAGACAAGCACTCCAAATGTAATGGATGATTTAATGGGAGGAGATGGCGAACCTTTCAACCAAGTTAATGGCAATGATGGTAAATGTACTAGTAATATATGATGCTTATAAAAAAAATGAGGAAACTTGTATGATATGATATTTTTCGCTTTTGAAGAATTGTATATCGTGGTAGTTACAGATTCTTAAAATATAAACAATTTTGTCGTAGGTCCACACGGTCTTACAGCCTATGACAAGAATGGTCTTAAGGTTGAGTTGACCTGTGAGCGAGACAATGGCCAACCAAACGTAACGGTTATCAACGTCAAATCCTCCAACTCTACAGCTACTACAATGTCTGACTTTGTTTTCCAAGCTGCAGTTCCCAAGGTTTGTATTTTGGTGTCCCAAGTTTGAAAACAGCTTGATCATTTGTGTTTTTTTCTGTAAAATAAAGTCCCCAGTTTTAGAAAGTGATATGAATGAAATGTTAATGTTGATATACTAGAAAAAATATAGAAATATAAATGACAGCTTTTGAATTTTTTTCACAGTCATTCCAGCTCCAACTGCAGTCACCATCAGGGTCTACTCTGCCTCCAATGAATGATGGGGTAGTTACTCAAGTTATTAAAGTCAACAACCCACAGAAAGTAAGTTCTGTTATTTAATTAGATGGCAGACTTATCTCAATATCTGCCAGTGCATTAATGTCCAAAACCCTGGCTTGCAATGCTTTGTAATTCATGAAATAATACACAGTCAAACTTTGTAACCCTGAAATATCTGGGACCAAGATTAAATTCAGAGATATATGAGGATTTGAAACAAGGTTTAAATATATTTAAAAAAAGTGATTTGACTGCCAAATCATTGTGACATATTCCTGATATTTGAGATTCAACTGTTCTTGGTATTTCTTGAAATGTACCAGTAATACTTTGTTATGCTTTGTAATCTCTGCAATTTTATTCTTTGTATTTCATGAAATATTTCATAATTCCTTAAGTTAAATGCCTTGCAATTTTATTACAGCAACCCATTCGATTAAGGATCAAAGTGAGCTATAAACAGAATGGAAACACTGTCACAGACGTTGGTGAAGTGAATTCATTTCCATCAACATTATGGCAGTGATGTTGATTACAGTAAAATATCTACAGTAGAGAAAGGATTTTCTATTGGAAACAAGGACTCATCTTAATGTCTACACACACAGCATTCCACTAGTATATGGTGGTAAAAATGACCCAAATAAAAACTTACCCAAAGGGTATTATGTTGCAGAGGTGATTTATTCATAATAATGGCTACATTTCGATTAGAATTGTAGTCAAAAACTGAGTGCAATACTGTGTAGTGCTCTCCAAGATGAAAACTGTGATTTTTGGAGAGCCAGAGTAGGATTTCAAACTGTGTGTGGAGGATGACTCTCCTGTTCCAATGCCCCGGGCCAAGAACTCTTTCTGCGACGCTGATCTGTACCTTGGAAGAGTGAGGAGATCCTGATTATACCGTGTTATACAGTGCTGTGAGATAAAGGGAGTTAATTGTCAAAAATATTGCTATTTATTTACCAAGTTATCATTCCAATGAAATCTTGTGATTGTTATTCAATTATTATTTTTGCTATGAGTGTAACTTTGACAAGTTGTGTATGACGAGGTACATGTGCAAGTTGTGTTTTATTCAACACAAGACTGTTTAGGATTGAATGTGCTTAAAATTATTTTTGTGATATCATAGTGGAAATCTAGTGGAAGCACCCCAGGTTGCATAATTTTCTAATATAATGAAGCATTTACATGTAATTTGCTATTATTTCTTGTATCAGACAGAGGTCAGTGTTGATTTAGTGCTTGATATAAAGAAATATTTTACAAAGTAGAATGGTATGAGATTGAACAAAAGTGCTCAAAATACAATTAACTGAACTTCTAACTGTGGTGTTTAAATCATACAGAAATTGGTTCTTAAAGATCCAAATTGGCTCACCTTCCAACAATGTTCAGTAAAACTGTGCTGGATTTTTTCAGGACTGATTCTTAAATACATGTACCAAACAAATTTAACACTGGGTTTTGTAATGATGAACTGAAATTTGAAAGGTAGCAGATATAAAAATTTAAATGAAACAAAATTGATAATTATTACGTTAGAAGTTTAGAATTATGGCATGAGGCATTCCCTATTTTATAAACACAATGTGTTCTTCCATGTTCAAGCACCTGCTTCATCAGTGAAATTTTAGGTAGCCAAACCGTTGAAGATTGAATGGTTTGTCTACTGTAGGCCGACTTATACATGTACCATGAACAAACTTGTTCTGTTCATTGCCAGAGAATTCTGTTGCATTTACGAGGATGTGTATCTGAAAGAAAGTGTATTATCATGGTTATCAATTAGGAATTAAGGTTTGCATTTGAATCTGACAGTATTTAAAAAAACATGAATATAAATTTCTAGATCTCTTTGTTGGATGTAAACATGCTATTTTTTCTACATGTATTTAATTATGTATCTATTAATTGATATCAAATTCATTTATCTTTCCGTCCTATCTGACTTTGTTTAATGCATATCTGTGTCAATTTCAGCCAAGGAAACAGTACATATATTGGGTTTTAGAGGTTGAACATTCTTCTGGTTGATGGAGTCTATGAAGCCTGACTTCAGTTCATGCACATATTATGATTTGAATTTAATTTGGCAGAGGCCCTGTTAAAATAACTAAATTTCTAAACTATCTTGTGAGTGAATGCAATGTAATGATATTTTTTATCTTCTGTATTGTGTGATTGGGAATGGATTAAGAACAAGTTTTTCATGACCTTAAACCCTGCAGGCTTTTAGAATCCATCTCAGTTAACTTGATCAAGTGGTATTACTTTGTATCTGATAGTACTCTCCAAAGTAATAAATCATTTAAATTCACTTCATCATTTGTTTCTGTATTAAACAATACCCCGGTATTTGAAATGTAGTATTTATGCCCCCCTTCGAAGAAGGGAGGGCATATTGCTTTGCTGCTGTCTGTCGGTCCATTTAGTTTCCGTTCATTTTCTTCACAACCATTGCACATATTGAAAAGTTAAAGTCGTCATGTTTATCATATAACTTGGTTGTTAGGTTACCATTAACGTCTTTTTCAAGTAAAATATCCAAGTATGAAACAGATGTGTCAGACTCTGTGCTATCTTTTATTTCAAGCTCTCCTGGATATATCGTATCGACGTAGGAATGGAAATTACCATTGTTAATTGACAATACGTCGTCGATATATCTGAAGGTCGAGTTGAAGGCCACAGCAAGAGTTTTCTTCTTTTCACGCATAAGATTTTGCATAAATTCTGCTTCATATGATTACAAAAATAGGTCTGCTAATAACAGAGCGCAATTGGTTCCCATGGGAATTCTAATAGATTGTTGGAAAAACCTGGTCTCCAAAAACCACATAGATATTGTCAATCAGAAACTCAAGCATCTTCTTGATGTCAACTTCAGAGTACTAGTACTTGTGTGTACAATCAGAATCTTTTTTTAACAAAATAATTTTGCAAATGACCAGGTAAGTAAATTTACGAGTTCCATTTTTATTGAAGAAGCAGCTGTCAATGATATCAAAAAGCCTGGATTGTTGTTGATTTTGGTAAAATCTTGTGATTTCAAATTGTCCAAAAGTTCTTTGGAATTTTTTAGCATCCACACCTGATTCACACCACATCTTGAATATATAGTTGCACAGTACTCTTGAAGTTTTTCCTTCACTACTGTCAATATCTTAGTGAGGAGTAACGAAAGAGGCTTGGTTGAACATTTACTGGAACCCGCAGTGTATCTTTGTTTGTAAGGATTCTTATGAAGTTTCGGAATCCAATATACGTAAGGTAGTTCAAATTCATTTTGGCTCTGTGGAATATAAAAAATATTCAAAACTGACATATGATTTTGAAGAATTTCTTCCTTAGAAAGGGAAGTATGAGTATAAGTAGGATTACCACTTGCAGAATTAAATCCAAGTTCTTCTAGAATACACTTTATATAATGAGCCTTACAAACGAAGACAATGTTGTTACCTGCTTTGTTTGCATGTAAAGTCATCAACACCAAATTTTATGGTATATGGTGAATTAGGTAGATACCCTATTTCAATTAATATAAAGGTTAGAATGATAAGTTTTTGGTGTAAACTATCTTTTTTACAAAGGGATAAATTATCATCGAATTTGTTAAGTGTTTTAAAGAACTACAATAATCCATGGTGTAACTTTGTCAAATCTATATTGAATGAATGTGGACTTTCTTATATTTGGCATACTTGTCAACCTGTAAATGTATCATGGCTGAAGAAAATAGTGTTTAACACTCTGTATGATCAGTTTAAACAGAAGTGGTATAGTGAAATGTTTAACTCGTCTAAAGGTCTTAATTATAGAATATACAAAACTTCTTTTTGTCTAGAAAAGTATTTAGTATCTCTGCCTTTTAAGTACTGGAAAATATTTTGTAAGTTTAGAACTTGTAATAATAAATTACCAATAGAAGTTGGAAGATGGCATAATGTACCAAGAGAAAACCGAATTTGTAAATTGTGTTCCAAAAATGAAATTGGTGATGAATTTCATTACTTATTTAATTGTAATGATTCACTTATTTTGAATTCAAGGTTATTATTATTATCAAAATATTACTATTCACATCCAAATGTGTATAAGTTTGATCAACTTTTTAATACAAAAAATACAGTTAAATTGACAAAACTGTGTAAATTTATAAAAATTATTTTTGAGAGAGTTGGCTCTCCTGGTTAGCTCATTGTTAGTTTTGTTACTTTGTACTTTTTTCTTTTTCATGCATGCACATATGTTTAACTATACTTGTAATCTTTCTCAACACTGTACTTATGTCAGTTCATGAGAATAAATTCATTGTCATTGTCATTGCAGGGACCAGTACGTAATGGTCATGTAATCTATCTAATTCTTTTTTCACTTCTGGTTTATTGAACACAGAAGGATAAATGGTTTCCATATTGCCCCTCAATCTTTTAATACGTGACTTAAACATGGATCTGATACACTTAATCCATTCTGACAAGGTGTCAACGTCTTCTTTTCATGTCTGGCCCATCGTCGAGAAGATTTTTAAGATTTTTCCTATACATTCCTATGTAAAACTTTGATCGTCAATTGTAGCCCCACCCTACCCCCTGGGCTTATGATTTGTACAAACTTTACATATTCCTATGTAAAATTTTGAGAAGATTTTAAAGATTTTTCCAATTTTGAGTCGATTTTTAAGATTTTTCCTATATATTCCTATGTAAAACTTTGATCGTCAATTGTAGCCCCACCCTACCCCCTGGGGTTATGATTTGTACAAACTTGAATTAACACTACCTGAGGATTACATCACATGAGTTTCATCTTTCCTGGCCCAGTGGTTTGAGAAGAAGATTTTTCAAGATTTTTCTATGTATTCGTATGTTAAATTTTGATTGGCCATTGTAGCCCCCACCCTACCCCCGGAGGTCATGATTTGAACAATTCTTTATCTACACTACCTGAAGATGATATCACATGAGTTTCTCTTTTCCTGCCTCAGTGGTTCTGGAGAAGAAGATTTTTTTAAAAGTTGTCATTAATTTTTCACAAATTCATCATTATCTCCCCTTGGAAGAGGGCATGCCCCTTCATTTGAACAAATTTGAATCTCCTTCACCTAAGGATACTTTGTGGCAAGTTTGGTAGAAAATGGTCCAGTGGTTCTTGGAAGAAGATGAAAATGTGAAAAGTTGACAACGAAGACAGATTTGATTAGAAAAGCTCACTTGAGCCTTCGGCCCAGATGAGCTAGAAAATACCATCAACACTTGCATATGGAGTTTATGTCTTATGATGATTCGAAACGCAAGACTATGTTCTATTACGTACAATTTCTTAACAAGGCAAGCTCTTGACTGAGTTGATGTCGCAAGGATATCAACAGTCCCCAATATTTCGCAAATGGTTGATACAAGTCATGTTAGCAAATACATACTATTTTAATGTAAGGTCAAATGTTATGTGGCATTATGAAACCAATATTTTCACACTGAATTGTCTAGACGGATCATTGTTCCATTTGCCTGATCGATCAAGACAAGGAGCACACGGCGGGTGTGACCGGTTGACAGGGAATGCTTACTTCTTTATGGCAATTCATCCCACCTCTGACATTTTTAGACGTCCATGTATGCCCTGCTCCCAATTTCCAATGTTTATGGACTGTTATGTCTGTTATCCATATTTCATTAAAACAGCATTATTCTTAGATATTTGTTGATGAACTAGTAATTGAAGCATTTGACATGCAATTTCGGGTATCTTTATTTATCGCCATTATCAAAATAAACACGTTTTGGAAGACGAACAAAATTATCGTCAACCGGAATAAAGAAGCCTGGTCGTGGGTAGATTTTAATCTACGTTTAAAGTTAATCATTGATCGAGATCGATCGAACGAATACGCTCTGATAAGTTGGGTATATCTGAAATTTTTTACTTCCTAAAAGATTATCGCAAAACGAAACTAAACTCTGCTACAAAATTAGAAGGTATGATTTTTTTTTTAATTTCCCTGCAGTTTATAACAGAGTAAGATTTCAGCATGACAAAAACCTAGCTATATTTTCTCAAGCCTTTGCTGTATCTATTTAGAAGAATCTGGATAGAGAGAGAGAGAGAGAAAAGAAACCTTTGTACTTCTGCTCAAGAATTGGAAATTTTCCAGTTCATTTAAAAACATGTAACATCAACATACTAAGTAAATGATATAAACTCCTTCAATAAAGTTTTTGGTGAGGTATTTTGTTGTTCATTCAGGGCTTTTTCTTATTTTTTTGGTTCTTAAAGACCCTCATCTGGTTGATGGCGGGACTCCGTGTAGTGCGGGGACCGGACTGGACTCAGGGGGACGGGGATGGAGGGGAGGGGCATTTAGGGACGGTGGTGAGCGTCAGTGAGAGGGAGGCTGTCGTGAATGTGGTCTGGGACATCGGGAATGTTACTACCTGTCGGATCGGAAAAGACAAGAAATATGACCTGAGAGTGTTCGATAATGCTTCCATAGGTTAGTATTTTAGTTCTACATGTATTGTTTTTCATTTTCTTTTTTTAAATGCATTTGCTTGGTTTTTAGCTCTACTGGTCAGAGACCAGAAGAGCTTATGCGATAGTAATGCGTCCGGCGTCCGTCCGTCCGTCTGTCTGTCTGTCTGTCTGTCCGTCTGTCTGTAAACAATTTTTCAAAACGCTACTCCTCCTACAATTTTAGTCTGATTTCAATATAACTTGGCACACAAGTAGACTACACTAAGATACATAGAATAGTGCATGGGTTTTTAATTTCGATGAACGGTGTTGCCATGGTTACTAAAAATAGAATTTTCTGTGAAATTCCTTTAAAACGCTACTCCTTCCACAGTTTTGGTCTGATTTCAATATAACTTGGCACACAAGTAGACTACACTAAGATACATAGAATAGTGCATCGGTTTTTGATTTTGACGAACGGTGTTGCCATGGTTACTAAAAATAGAATTTTCTGTGAAATTCCTTTAAAACACTACTCCTTCCACAGTTTTGGTCTGATTTCAATATAACTTGGCACACTAGTAGACTACACTAAGATACATAGAATAGTGCATCGGTTTTTGATTTCGATGAACGGTGTTGCCATGGTTACTAAAGATAGAATTTTCTGTGAAATTCCTTTAAAACGCTACTCCTTCTACAGTTTTGGTCTGATTTCAATATAACTTGGCACACTAGTAGACTACACTAAGATACATAGAATAGTGCATCGGTTTTTGATTTCGATGAACGGTGTTGCCATGGTTACTATAAATAGAATTTTCTGTGAAATTCCTTAAAAACGCTACTCCTTCTACAGTTTTGGTCTGATTTCAATATAACTTGGCACACAAGTAGACTACACTAAGATACATAGAATAGTGCATCGGTTTTTGATTTCGATGAACGATGTTGCCATGGTTTCTAAAAATAGAATTTTCTGTGAAATTCCTTAAAAACGCTACTTCTTCTACAGTTTTGGCCTGATTTCAATATAACTTGGCACACAAGTAGACTACACTAAGATACATAGAATAGTGTATCGGTTTTTAATTTCGATGAACGATGTTGCCATGGTTACTAAAAATAGAATTTTCTGTGAAATTCTTTAAAAACGCTACTCCTTCTACAGTTTTGGTCTGATTTCAGTATAACTTGGCACACAAGTAGACTACCCTAAGATACATAGAATAGTGCATCGGTTTCTGATTTCGATGAACGGTGTTACCATGGTTACTAAAAATAGAATTTTCTGTGAAATTCCTTAAAAACGCTACTCCTTCTACAGTTCTAGTTTGATTTCAAAATAAGTTGGCACACAAGTAGACTACACAAAGATACATAAAATAGTGCAATGGTTTTTGATAAGTACATACCAGTAGAGCTACAGTCTCGACAGAGACTTCTGGTTTTTTTAGGAATTGTTTTTAAAAACAAGACATGTTCTGAATGTCAGTGGGAAACTTTCTATGGAATGTGCTGGGAGTGCAAAATCTGCAAAGACACCAACCTCTGTACCATTTGTTACTTCAGAGGCAAACACGACATGGAGCATGGGTTTGTCAGATATACTGTGCCAAATGCAGAAGGGTTAGTGTTTTACAAAACAAAGTGGACCTATACTCCTGCTAAAATTAGATCTGATGTGGAAGAGAATCGTTAATGAATTTACACATTGTTTCGTTCAAAGTGTTCTCTAATAATTTCATTTTCTAAATGGCCATATTTTCTGTCAGATTTTGAGTTAGATACTGTACACAGATTTTTTCTTTCTCAAAATCCTTGATGGTGTGGTTAGCAGTTTTTTCCGTTCCATAATATTCTAGCCTACAAAATACAAATGGCTTGCCATATTTGCAAACTTCTCAGAGTGGTAGGTTTGTTTTGGAAGTTCCGTCTCCTTTAGCCATTGTATTGGTTGACAACCACTGATTTGGGAGATGGGGATTTGGGAAATAAAAAAAAGATCTGGACTTGAACATGTTGAGAATAAATAAGTTGACCTCAGATGGCTTGAAAATATTCTAACCTTGACTTAACCCCACCCCATCCCCCCGCACACACACACACATACACACACCATCACTAGAACAACCACGAACTTGGATATTTTTACCATTTCTATATTTGCTTTTTTTGGGGGGTGTCATTTTTTCCAATGAAGCTGAAAATACAAAAATCTGTCCTCTTGACTGGCATCAAAATAAATAATCCGACCCGAAAAAATAATAGGCACCCCCCTCTCAGAATCAAAGGGTCGTCCTCTAAGTACCTTTAAAACGGCATTTAAAGAAAAGATATTTCTTTAGAGTCGAAGTCCAAAAACGCTTCTCAAGTCTGGCCATGAGGTCATTTGGAATGTATCCTGGAGCCAAAGTCACCAGGGGAATAGATTGGGAGTACGGAGACCAAGACGGTACGACTTACAATTAATATAAAAATCCAAACATTCCATATCCATTCAAAGCATTGGATTACAGCAACATATGCGATATTCTTGTTTAAGGTGGAAGTGGGGCGGTGGGGACTGTACGGGACATTCGCAGTTTCAAAAAGGATATGTCTCACCGTAACGCTGTTGGAGTCATTTGGCCTTCAGGAAAAGGGTTTGCTTATCGCATTGGATTCAAGGGGAAAGTTGATCTTGCCTGCAAAGAAGTGGCGAGAGGATTTGAATATTATCGTGAACACCTTCCACTGCTAGGCAAGTAGTCAGGCAGTTATTCTTAAAATAAAACCATTCACAAAATTTATCCAATTCGGTATACGAAGATGACGCAATGTGGTGCGCTATCTTGGTATATCCCTTAGATACTGTGTGGTGAAGTCGAGATAGGTGCCAGCATTTTGCATAACTTTAATGCTATTCAATGGTATTTATAGATACGATGGTGATTTTTTTAAATATTTCAGATCTCGATTTGATTAAGAATCAGGTTTCTACTCAGTCAACCCTTGGTGTAAAAATTGGAGACCAAGTCTGCATCACCCTTTCTAAAACAGAATTAAAGGAAGCACAGAAAAATTTCGGGGGTTTTCATGACGAGATGGAAAGTGTGAGTTAATAGCGATGTTCAATATATCATTGTATCATGGCTGCGGTGTTTTTCCTTTGAAGTCAAGTGTACAATAACTGGAGATACACCGATGGGCGGAGCCAGCAAAAACTGTGCCGTGTAAATAAATTATTGAACACCTAGGCGATTTCATCATTTTAAATTACATGTATTCTGAATCTGAATTACAGAATGAATGGGCTTTGTAATATACAAAGGCAAAATTTCTGCAAGTGAAATAAAAGTCTTTCACATAAATTACAGTTCGTATATATCCCAAACTACTAAATGATTTTACGGAACTCTTCAAATACAAGTATTCAATCCACAGCAACGAGAAATCAAATTCTTGACAATCATGAATTCCACACAGAAATATATTAAAATATCCCACCTATTGTAATATAGAGCTTAAGCTGTACTGCATCCAAAGATGAAGAGTAATTGACCCTCACACAGCGTTTTCGTGAATAACTCTCGAATATATCAAATAATCAACGGGTATCTTTTTTTTCTTGATTTTCGAATAACACTTGAATTTACCTTCTTCGTCTTCGAATTTTTCTTTTTTGATATCCAAAGGTTTTCATTAACATCCAGGGGCGGATCCAGCAATTTTTGAAAGGGGGGAGGCTCCAGGTCGGTGCCCCCAGCACTCAGAATCACACCTCGACCACTTTAAATTTAAAAGAAAGGGGGCCTCCAAAAACAGTTGACAAGGAAAAAACCTTTTGCACCACACTCTAAAATCCTTGGGGGAGGGGTGCTGGGATGCTGCAATCCGACGTCCTTTTTCATGAACACACGCACGTAAAATGTGTTTATTAAAAATACTGACAGGAAGGAGAGATTATCCATGCGGTCACCTGACAAAAACTACATTTTCTATTGGTGTAATTAAAAATCATGCATGAAAATCTGTGACATGACGTTTGATTGGCCATGATACAAGAAAGTTATTGAATATTTATTATGGTGTATCCTGAGTTATTTGGACGAAGGGCGGAGACTCGTGCTTCGCACTCGTCACCGCCCCTCGTCCAAATAACTCGGGATACACCATAATAAATATACAATAACTATTACTTAAATTCATAAAAAAATCAATTCTTTTATCAAAGGTTATGCATCTAATTGAAAAAAACAAGGTATGGTGTAGTAAGGGTAATGAAAGTAATGTAACAATTGATGAAGGGAATCCGGATTTTGCCTTTTGCTTAAAGATTCATAATAACTCACCTGAGCCACTTCTCTTCATAGCTGTCTACGTATCGTCCATGTACCTGTCTTACTGTCTCTTAGCATTTGTTTACATATACTGTATAGGTATACGAGATTTGGGTCAAGGTGCGACAAAAATCGGGATTCATGTTCTTTTTGTCCCGCGCTTTCGCGAAAGCGAGGGGACATTAAATCTCATTCGTCTGCCCGTCCGTCACAAAAACTTTAACCTTTCCCATAACTTTTGATTAAGTGGAGCTATGTCTTCCATATTTCACATGTGTATTCCTTGTGACAAGACCTTTCTTTGGGTACCACCAAATTTGACGTTTTGAACTTGACCTTGGAGTTTGACCCACTTTTACACAAACAAATCCGAACTTTTACTTTGGCCACAACTTTTGAATGGTAGATATACTAGGACTTTCATATTTCACGTGTATTTTTTGTTGCAAGACCTTTTATTGAACACCAATAACCTTGACGTATTGACCTTGACCTTGGAGATTTCTGTACCTGTGAAAAAACTTTAACCTTGGCCATAACTTTTGAACGGTAAGAGATAGGGCTTTCATACTTCACTATGTAATTAATGTGAGAAGACCTTTCATTGGATACAAAGAACTTTGACCTTTTGACCTTGACCTTGGAGGTTGACCTACTTTAAAAAACATACTTTGATCATAATTTTTGAAGGGTTAGGGCTAGTGCTTTCATACTGCATATATTTATTTCTTGTGAAAAGATCTTTCATTGGATATCAAAAACTTTGACCCTTTGACCTTGGCCTTGGAGTTTGACCTACATTTTAAAAACTTTAACCTTGGCCATAACTTTTGAACGATATATTGTAGGACTTTTATATTTCACATATGCATTCTTTGTGGCAAGACTTTTCATTGGATACCAACAACGTTGACCTGTTGACCTTGACCTTGGAGATTTCCGTACTTGTGGAAAAAACTTTAACCTTGACCATAACTTTTGAATGGTAAGGACTTGGGCTTTCATACTTCAGATATGTAATCCTTGTGCAAAGACCTTTCATTAGATACCATGAATTTTGACTCTTTGACCTTGGAGTTTAACCTACTTTTAAAAACAAACCTTGATCATATCTTTTAAAGGGTTAGGGCTAAGGCTTTCATGTTTCAAATATGTAATCCTTGTGACAGGGCCTTTCATTGGATATCATGAATGACCTTGACCTTCGGGTAATAATATATTTAATTTGCATTAAAGAAAAGTTTAATCTTCGCTATGTTGCCATACGGGTCATCAGTGTTTCACAAAAACATCTTGTTCCTTATACATGTATTGAGAAGAGATATGGCTTTCATATTTGACATGTGCATTACCTGTGACAATATATTTCCAAGCATGCTATGATTTGTGACCCCTTGTCCTTCACGATTGACCTTATTTTAAAAAAAAATCAACTTCAGTGATAATTTATAAATGACATATGATAGGGCGTTCATATTTGAGACAATGTGTCATAAAAATGACATCTCACCCACAAAGGCACCGAAAGCGGGGGACCACAATTCTTTGAATTTGCTTGTTATTTCAAAAGTACATGTATTTATGCAAGGAATTGTAATAAAATCTCGAAAATGATTCAATCTCTAGACCATATCACTCTAGTAAAATCTTTTCAAGAATTCCAGCTTAATGGATTTTCATCTCAAACATCTTTTTAAATATACCGGTACTTCTAGGCCATAGGGAAACGTGGAATAATAGATGGTTTCACAGACAACGGGGGCATTGTCGTCAAATTCCAGGACAACAGATGGGTCTTCAACCCAAAGGCTCTAAGCAAAGTACGTACATATAGAACAAACGTATACATGCGTATTACTTTAATAACCACTGGTATTAGAAGAAATGATATATATTGTAGTGGTTCGCATTACTCTTTGGCAGGTTTGGAGGGTGGCCGCGGGGGAGACTGTCCGTGTAAAAAATGATCAACAAAAAGTTGAAGCCCTTCAGAAAGGCCACGGAGAGTGGAATCCAAATATGTCCAAGGTATATTAATGAAAAGAAAATATGAATTTTTAAAAATCGATTAATTATCAGATAAATGATGATAATAGATTGAAATTTGATGTAATTAATTATAAGTACATTGTATTTTGATAATTACCACATTTAACCCAGGTTTTGGGCAAAGTGGGTAAGATAGCCCGAATCACTCCTAAGAATGACGTGGTGGTGTCCTTTGGGAGGAAACACTGGGTATTTAACGTGGCCTGCTTGACCCCGTGCCCCGGGGCTCAGGTCGACGAGATGGAGGAAGAGGAGAATCTCACTTTATCCGTTGGTTTGTAAAAATTCCCTTGTTAAGGAAACTATTACCACCTTTTAATTTTAAGTTATATTTCAACATTGGTTGAAAAAAATGAATAAATTATATATTAATGCTTAAAATGAATGATATACTAGAGTATATCGTATTTCAGCAACTGCTGGTTTAGCGAATGGATTGGGGTTATTACTAGAGCAACTGCGAATACTACAAGCCCAGAAAAGCAGACTGTCCCCTGAACAGTTTCTCAGAATGGCGGCTGATGGAGACGATAAAATGGTGTCACAAATGGTCAAAGGGGAACCAAACCTGGTAAGCACTTTGTTCTCACCCGAAATAAAAATCTGGTGAGTTTTTGCTTTTGAATTTGTTATCTTTTCTTTAATTTTCCCCATCTTTATAAAACCAGTGTAATATGCAAATAAAAGGAACAACGGCGTTGATTGCTGCATCATTTGAAGGACATGATGGCGTTGTTAAGATTTTGATTGCCAGTGGAGCAAAAGTGGACCAAACGGACCAAAACGGAAATACGGCATTACTGGCCTCTGTTTCTGCGTAAGTATGAAGATGAAAGGGATGTTAATGCTGACATACGGGAACAAAATGTGTTGAGACAAACCCAAGTACGTGTTTGCTTTAAAACTGAACTGTAATTTTCTGTGGCCTAAAAATGTTTGAGTCCGTACCCCATTGCAAAGACCAGGCTGAAGCTAGCAGCCAATAACAGCAGCCACTAAGCCCGTAGAAGCTAGCAGCCAATAAGGAAATTCATCAAAGAACTGAGAGTACTGAGAGGCAGTACTGTTTTTAATACTTTATTTTAGATAATTAAGGGTTAATGATTGGATAATTAATGCGAAAATTAATTATATAATAAATCAGACACTCAGAGGGAGTAAGGCTCACCTGAAAAAAATGTTCTTTTTTTGAAACTGAAAAAAAAATAGAAATAAATTACCCAATCATCTTAGTCCACTTCATCAAACAAGCACTAAGACAGTCATGTTTAACTACTTCAAGAAGAATGCCTTTTCAACTCTTTCAGGGACCTCAAGAATATGACAGGGCCAATAAGCTAACCTGAAAATTGGTTACTCTATCGATTGTAAACTGAAAAATTACACAAGTGTAAACTACGTTGAAGTATGTTTCGAACATTATAATCCGGGCAACTTTAAGGGTCTATAAGACTATTAATAACCGTTATCAGTAATAAGTGGTGGTGGTGCCACCAAGTGGTATTATACCCATGATTTATAAAGTGCCCACCATATCGTAACTAGGGCAAGGTAGAAGGGCCCCAGGACTTTTGTTTCCTGCTATAAGAACGGCTTTGTAGTGGTACCACCAGGTGGTGCCAAGTGCGTAGAGTATATTTCAAGCAATCAATTGTCATCATTTATTGACCACTTGAACAAACTATCACTGGGGATGGATTAAGGGCCTTAGGAAGTATCCCTTGTCAACCTTTCAAAGGGTCCCAGGGACCACAAAGGGCTAGTAGGCAAACCTGGACGTTGGCTTTTACATTATATCCCGAAAAAAACCCATTAGAAAACAGCTATTCTTTGAAGTGTCAATCAATGATTATTGGGGCAAGGTAGAGGGCTTTTACGGATATCATTTCCCACTTTCAAAATGGGGCTGTAGTGGTACCACCAAGTGGTGCCAAGTGGCTGGGGCATATTTCAAGCATTCATTTGCCATGTATTATTGTGCACCTGGACAAACTATCACTGGAATGGGTTCACGATCTTAGGGGGTATCCTTTGACAGAGTTCTGTAGAGGCCCAGGGTCTGGAAAGGGCCAGCAAGCTTACCTGAACTTTGCTGTTTTTTTTTAT